TTTTTTTGTCTATACAATAGCTAATAATCGATGGATAAAGAAGATATAAAGCATATGAGAAAGTGCAAATATATAAAGAAATATATTCCCAAATAAAGGAAATCGGGAAAGGCAAGAAAAATTGAGAATATTGACAAGGCTTTTTAATTGATTTTAAATAAAGCTTCTCGTCTCCCCACAAAAAGTCAATCATTTTTAAAAGAAATCCACTCATTTGACATTTATTTTATTTAAAAAATTTTTTTTTAATTTGCCCAGCTTTTAAAATATAAATTATGAAATATTGTTAGAGAGATGTTGAGGAATTACCGAATACTTTTGGCCATTTTGCTTTTTGCTGTTTTAATTGATAGTAATTCTATTTGTTTTTATTTTACCGTTTATAAGTGAAATAATCCTTTTATTGAGTTGGATTATGTTTGAAATTCATTGTAATAATTTTGGGAGGGTCAGATAACAATATCACACCTCAATTTAGTATACATTCTTTATGTTATTTGGCCAAGTGGTGTAGGTGCATCTTACCACAATTTAAGTCATCTTATAGTGAGGTCCGACTGTAGCCTACATCTAAAAATAATTTAAGGAATAGATTTTCTCGAGATATAAAGTCGTTACACGGATCTCGCAATTTATTGTTTTAGGATTAAAAGCAGACGATGATGATGAGGAAAATGGGGAAGGGAATGAAGGAGGTGATGGGCAAGCAGGTGAAGCTGGAGACGGACAGGAAAATGAAGATGGAGCGGCAACTGAAGAAAATGAAGCGGAAGGGGATGGAGAACAGGATGGGCCGGGCGTAGGCGAAGCAGGAAAGGAGGATGAGGAACAAACTGAAAAATCAGGTTTGATTGTATAGAATAAAAATTGGGATAGAATTGAGATGAAAAATAAGGAGATTGGACACCTTTTACAAATATTTTTTTGATCCACTCTAAAGTTAAACTATTTAATTCCTTATTAACTGAACAGATGTTGATGCTGAAAAACCTTCAGGCGAGGATGAAGAGAATAACGAAGATGGGGCTCAACAGGGAAAAGATAAAAACAAACCGGGAAAGCCAGGTTTGCCAGGAAAGGACTCCAAAGATGCAAACAAAAAAGATGATAAAGGACAACAAGGTTAGGATTCTGATGTAATATAATACATAAAATTCTAACAAATTAAAGGAGGCATTGACCAAGGAAATAAAGACAGAAAAAAGACTAACAATGCCCCAGAAACTGACAAAAATACGCCTATAAATCAACCAGGCGGCCAAGGTACTGGACAATCAGGCATAGGACAGCCTGGTCAACAACAACCAGGAGGACAACCAAATGTCAACCCAAATAACAACATTCCTTACTCTCCAACAGTCTATCCAAATGGTCTGCCTGGCCAATCACAACAAACAAATATTAACCCTTCAAATGTGAATCCGATTAATCCTCCATATGTCAATCCAATACCCAATCCCGTCTATCCACAACAAACAAATGTGCCTCTTCCAACAAATCCCCCTCCTGTTTATCCTCAATATCCATCCGCTAATCAACAGCCACCACAACAACAGCCTTATTCTCCTCCCTCCGGTTTTGGAACTAGTAATTCTGTCAACGATATAGATGCCGACCCTTTCGGGTTTGGAATAACTTTACAAAGAGAGCAACAACAACAATATTCTCCTTATTCTCAATATTATTCCCAACCAAATCAAAACATTCCTCCACAGTATAATCCACCAACAAACAATTTGTATTCTAACAATCTGGGCGGATTTGGAAATAGTAATGGGAAACGTGTCCCAGGCCAAACAAGTTTCCCGGTTGAAGAGAGAAGTCAATTACCTATGATTGTGAGCGGAAGTAATTCTAACAATTATAATGATCAAAGAGAGCTTTCTCTTGGAAGAGGACGACGTTCTGATGATCAACAACAACAACAGCCACAACAAGCTCCTGTTCAGCCAACTGTTTGTTTCCGTCCCTCGCCTGGAACGAGGTTTTTATTGAGACATGATATAGCCTATCTTTTTTTCGATTTATCCCAATCTTTAAACTTTTCCGTCATAAGTTTAAGCACTTATTGTCAGCCAGAAAAATTTTTGTAAAGATATCCTTTCTTAAAGATTTTCCATTTGAAGAAAAATGCCCATGAGTGAGATAAGGGGGTGCAATCTTTAAAATTATGGGTGTAATTTCAAAAGATTAAATTTATACAACAAAATCCCAAAAATTAATCTTTAAGCGATTTTGCAACATGGTTCCAAAACATCACTAATGAAATAAATTCAAACCCTCAAAAATTCCAACCTGTTCAAAATAATGGTCTGTCTAATTTATTACAACAACAAGCACTAAATGGGGGAATTCCTGAAATTTGTACAAAATTAGCACAACAAAATATACCACAAACAAATGTGTTTCAACAAGGAATTTTGGCACGTAAAAAGCGAAGCAATGGAAGAGATTAAAATTGTGAAAATGAGAAACTTTTTGATATAAAATTTGAAAGACGCCCGGTTATTTTATTTAAAATTCATTAATTTATTTTATTATTACTCCTTTTTTAAATAGAGTAAAGCGAAATTGAAATTTGTGGAGAGAAAGAGCTGAGACTATCAATTGTAGATTGGGTTGGTAAATGAATAGAAATTCGAGATTGTTATTTCGAAAACAGTTTTCGACAAAGAAGATCTCGTTTCGTTCCTATCTTCATTAGGAATACAATGACTGAAACTTGAACGAAATTTGAAAGGATTACTCGTTCATAACTGGCTTTCTAGTTTATCCTTAGAAGCTTAAAATTAGACGCGGTTTGCTTATTTTTTCTGAGCATTTAAGTTTCTTTTTGATTATTCAGTGTGTTTTTGCATATTACGCACTATAATGCATATTTTTATGCATATTTTCCCCTTATAAAATCCCGGATCAATTTATAAATAATAAAATGATTTACTTGAATTTCATTAAAAATTACGGATTTACTCATAAGCTTGACTGTTCTTTACTATAAGGGAGACTATGACAGCTGAACACATTAAACTAAAAACACTAGCAAGATGCTTGTTTCGCTTACTCTATTTATTTTTGTATACATATTAATGATTTTTAAATCATTTTTTTACCATTTTCGAACACTGGAAAATTTTTGAAACACTTTGTTAAACAATTATAATTTATATTTACACTAAACATTTCTTTTTTAACAATTTTGATTTTTATTAAAGTCATCCTATTTTTTTAATTTAAAAGGCACGAAGATTTTTTTACTTTCAAATCTAGTCATTTACCATAAATTTTCAAATAGAAGCCCACTCAATAGGACCCATTAAAATATAAAAATGAGAACTTCTATTAGAGCATTTATGTTAATTACATTTAATTTTTTGTAAGCATTATTTAAATTTATGTACTATATTTATAACTCTGACTACTTTCGTAAATTATTTCCTACTTTTTTATATTTACATAGTAGAACTGATTTTAAAGTAAAAATTTTTTATCTTTTTTTATTAAAAATTTTTTTATTAAAATTAAATCACATGTTTTGCCTCCATTTAAGTGGCAACAATTTTTATGACTTTTATTTAAAGACAAATGATTGACCGAGATAAAATATAGACAGAAATTCTTTTTTTTTAACTAAATAATGCAAAATAAAATGTTTTGTATTAACAAGTAGTGCCAGGCAAGCTCATTTTTCGGGTTCGAAAAGCGGATTTTGCGCTCATTACGGATCCGACTGAATTTTTTGGCTTAATCCGGCAGGAAACCGGATTTAGGATTTTACTCCAGTAAGAGTAATTTGCGGACTTCAGAAGAGTTTACCCGGATTTGTGTCCGAATTCCTGAAAATCCCGGACACTATTAACAACTCAGAAACATTTAATGAGGATGGGAAATCTTCTTCATTTTCTTGAATTTCTTTCGAACTAAAAACTTAGAAACTACATCTATTGAAGTTTTTTAAATATCACAAATCTAATCAGGCAAATATTCAAACAGAAGTGACCAAAAATTAGAAGACCTTGGCTTCATTACAATCCTTTAACAATATTTATAACTATCAAAAATTATGTCTTCAAAAAAATTATTTTTTTTAAATTAATAATCTACATAAATTGTTTGATTTTCAATTTTTTCTTAAGCTTCTTAAAAAATAATTTGATTAATTTTTACTGTCTTAAGTATTCTTTTTTCTTCTTAATTTTTGCTCACTTTTCTATTCTTTTTATCATTTATTTGTCATAATTTTTTATAAAAACATAAGATGTCCTCTAATTGTCTTATCAGTAATTTTTTTAATTTGCCAATAATTCGATTAACTAAAAAATATATTTTGTCATTTTTAAATATTAAAAAAATAATTTTTATTAAAATATAGTGGGTAATTTAATTTTAAGATGAGCACAATTTAAATGATTCTCTAGGTGTATTAGAATAAATCGGATAGAAATATATATAATTGTAAGGATGATTAAGCTTAGAGTATTTAAAATGCTTAGGCGGGGTTAAACGATCTAAAAGGATTTTTCGATGCCCTGGTAGCTCAGTGGTAAAGACTCTTTATAGGGTGAGCGAAAGCGCCTAGCTATAACTACGAGGAGATCGTAGCTTGGAATCCTACCCGATGGATAAACTTTTGCTAAACTCTTTCTTAATTTTAAATATAAAACACAAAAGTGTAGAATAACTTTTGAGAGTTCTACTTTTGAGGTCCATTAAATTTAAATTAAAACTTTAATAGAAGGAATACCTAAAGGGTCTAATTTTAAAAACAGGCTAATAAACATTTAGGAAATGATACAAAATTTCAATAAAATTATTGGAATAAAGTAAAGTTTTGGCTTAAAAACTAAGGAAGTTGAACGTAGAAAAAATTTTTCTTTATTTTAAAAATAAGCTTATTTTTACGCTTATTTTCTAAAATTAAAAATACTTTCTCTAAATTTATGCAAAAAAAGTTATGGTTAAGGACCTCCAAAAATAATTAGAAAGTAAATTTTCGTGTTAGGTTAAGAATATTCTTTTTTTGTGATTTTTTCTTTCGATTTTTAATGTTTCGTTTAGTATACATATTTTTTTGCAAATTTGGGTTTTTTTCTAAACCTTCTATGTAAACCAAAAAATATTTTTAGGTTTATTTAGTATTCTCAATTTTCTCCTCTTAAACAAATAAAAAATTTAATGCAAAAATTAATTTAATAAATTTTCTAATTTAATTAATAATTTAAAATTAATTAAAAATGGCAATCAATCGCCGATTTAAAAATTTTGATTCGACTGTTTGCTGCTTTTTTGTGCTTTTTTTAAGTGTTTATTTTCTTGAATCTATTGGAGGGTTTTTTATGACTAGGTGATTTTTCGAAATTTTCTTTAAACTCTCTCTATTGGCGACAAAATTAATTTTTAAGTGCCATTGTCTCAATAGAAAAACAATTTCAAATTCCAAGCAAAATTTCTGGAATGATGGTATCTGCTGGGGATTTTGGTTATATTCCCTCGTTTGTTTAAATTTTCTAATTTTTAATTTTGGCAATTTTTAGTGTTGTTTTTGTTGCTTATTTGGGGAGTAAAGTAGGCGTTTATTTTTAAAAAATAAATACAAATATTATTCTAAAACCACAGCTCCTAATAAAAAATCATACTGAATTTTCTAAAGTCAGACCTCCACTTAGAGGGTATCGCAAGCTCTACACTCTCACTCATATTTTATTGTGTGTTCTAGTATTTGATATACATACCTTATTTTTAAGTTCGACTGTTATTTCTATTTTTCTGTGTTCTTCCTTCTAGAATCGTTCTGTTCTGTCTATAGTTACCAATCCTGCTATCTGGCACAGCCCGGATATCCGGAAACGTTTGGTTCGGATTTTGATAATAACAAGAATTTCCCCGACCCAGTGGCAAAATCTTCTCGAACTACTTTGTTTTCGTAAAGCCTTTCGCCTTTAAATTAATTCAAAAATATTTTTAAAACAATAATTAGGGAAATAGAGCTCGCTGGATTGGCGGTGGTTGTATTTTAATTGCAAGTAAATATAATTTTTTAAATTAAAAGACATTAATTAATTCAGTTGCCAATCTATTAATTAGTTCTTCACATTTTCTTTTTCCTGTCAAAACAATAGAATTAAATACTTCAACATTAGAATGGCAAATAGAAAGCGATATACGTCGATTACCTGTAGGCACAGGTTTTGACCAATTTATTGCTGAATTGCCGGCAGAGCAATGGGCACAGCCTATTCGATATAAAGTTTGGTGATTAGAAATAAGTTTTGACATCCTTCAAGTTTTATTTAAAAAATTCTAAAAAATTTCTCAAAATTTATTTTTAATAAAGCGGGTACTATGGGTATTTTGATATAAAAGGTTTTTCGGGTTTTTGAGGGTTTAGCCCAGAAAATCCGGCCAGGTATTTTTAAGAGAAAAAACCCGGATAGTTGGTCTGACAATTTGAAAGGTTCGAGCTCTATAAAATACCATACATATTTTTACTTTAATAAAAAAAAGTCTAATATTCCATCTTTTTTGGCCATAACTTCAGAAATATTATTAAGAAAATTCTGAAATTTTAGTAAATGCTAACTAACACTATAACCTCCAGTCCCCAAATTTTTCGTAATTTTAGCCTCATTTTCAATTTTTTTAGTTAAATAATTACCCTCAAGAAGCATCAACTTCTTGGCTATCAGAATTTGACCAATGCATGGAAAATGATTGGAATTTAGTTGAAAATGGAAATGAGACTTGTTTAGCTTTTTATGTATGTAAGTTTTTCTTTAAATTATTAATTTAATTTTTAAATTTAAAAATTATTTAATTAATAAGTTTTTTAAAGAGATTTTTGAGAAAACACAATACAGCAAATAAAAAGGATGTAGACAATTTACGTTCACTAAGTACCACTTCTTATGCTTTTTGTGATAAAACTTTGAATGCTTTGAGGGGAATGGTAAGAAGGGATTTTAAATATTTTAGGTATTTTGTTGGGGGTTTTTAATAAAATTTTGAAAATTATGTATGTAAGAAATGTTGATTGGAAGGGGTTTCTCAATTCTTCCCTCGATTACACCTTTTGATATAGGTATGTAATTGAAAGGAGCAATACCGTATTTATTCTAATATAACGACAGGTCGATTTAATTTTAACGCCCTTCTAGGGTGTCGTTTTATTAGAGACTGTCTTTATATTAGAATAAATAAGTGAAGGATTGAGAGATTTTAAAAATTGATAAAAAATTTTAATGGAATGCTTACTTGCATAGAGAAATTTTTCCAATTTTTGTATTTTATTTCTATCGTTATGGAATTATCTTTAGCGACTTCCATTGATGTCATACAGAATCTAATTTACCTATTAATTTATAAATTAAACCCCAATAACCTAACAAATCCGTAGAAATATTCAAATAAAACTACATATAAAAAGTCAATAAATCTTTCCCCAAATTAATTTAAAGATAGAAAAAATTCGTTGTAACAAAAATGTCTCAAATATGGGACCTACAGCAACCATCTTCTTTGGGCTTTTAATTTTGGGTATTGGAAGGACAATGCCTTTCTCTTTGGGATTGGTAAATAATAAAATTAATTTTTAATCAAAAAAAATAATTTTCTTTATTTTTTAGCCTTTAATTGATGATAATGTTAAAAAAACAAATTTACCTTTATATTTTGGTTTAAAATTAATTAAATTTTAATAAATAAAAATTTAATTTAAAGCGGGAATGTTTTGTATTCGTATAATGGGCCCAATGCTTGGATTTTGGATGGGTTCTGTTTTTAATAAATTATATTATGATGGAGAAGGTTTTTTGAGTAGAAAAATGTTTATTATATTTATTTAGCGCCTCATGGAATTACTCCAAGGGATCCAATGTGGATTGGTAAGGATATTTGTTTTAGATTTGTTGGAGTATTTAAATTAATTTGAAATTTGAAATAATTATTAGAAATTAAATGAGCTATGAATAGGAGATGGATTTGAACCATAACGGAAAGAGCCCAGACCGAAGCACAACCGACTGTGCCACTATCCAACCCGTTGATGGGATCTCCAAGTGCGGACGCAACATATGTATACAAAAATTTGAGTTTGGGGAGGAGGATATGTGTGGGTGACGTTGGGGTATTTGAAAAATTTCCTGGTATTACTTGAAAAATTTTAACGTCATAAACTATCTTGTAATTAGGGATGGAATGAGTGACCCGTCATAAAAAAAATTTTTTTTATTTTTAGGTCGTTGGTGGCAAGGTTTTATGTTAATTGGGGGTGTTTTGTTTTTTCCTTCTGTTCTCCTTTTTTGTTTTCGAAATCCAAAATCAACAGAAAATAACCAAGAAAAATTAGTTGAAGGAGAAGAAAAAGTTCCTAGAAGATTGGCTTTGGTGGATAGACATTTGGAAAAATCAGAAAATGGAAATGTAATTAAATATAAAAAATTTGGGTTTAGTTTAGTACATACATCCCACGAATTTGTAAACTTGGATTTAATTAGTGCCGGACCGGCTCCGGTTGGATTTTTCCGGGTTAATCCGGTGTGGCTAACATTGAAAATAGACACAATCTATTAATTTATTCATACCTGTTTTTTAGAAATTTTTGAAGATTAGACTATCCAGAGCTAACTAATAGATAACGAATAGTCTAACTCGGAACTCGAACTAGTCAAGTCCGGGTCGTCCGAGACTCGAATCAAAGAATCTAAGACTAATCACAAAAATATAAAAAAACCCCCCAATATAACGGTACGAACGCCAATTTTTAAAATAAATCCAAAAATTATAATTATTTTTTTAAAAAAGATACCAAAAAGTTTCAATGCTTTGTCTTCTGATTTTCAAAATAATATACTCACTGTGTTTAAACGTCCAATTTATCGTTGGGCGATGATTGGAAGAATTATTGATGTTCTTGCTTTTAAAGTTGGGAAAAAATATTTTTTGAAATTAAATTCGATTATTTTAAGGGTTTTCATATTTTTTTGCCAAAATATTTGGAATTACAATTTGGAATACCTCAATATATAGTTAATAGATTAATGGGTATTTTAATTATTTTTTATTTTAATATTCTTGCCTCAATAGTTCTTGTTGTTACTAGGATCTACGGAGATTAGACTTTTTTAATTTTCACACAATTCTTTGTTCACTATCACCGTTTTCTTTTAAAAAATCCTTTTCCGCAATCCACAAAAAAAACATCCAATTTACGAATTCCGCAAACACCTGATTACTTGTAAAATCTCTAATTAATGTATCAACTCGAAAATAGACTCAGTCGAATCTTGATAATCGAAGGGATTGGTTAGAAGATTCAATTTCGAGAGGGGTTTACATTAAGATTACTTATATCAAAGCTAGACTTTCTAATATGACAGCATTGGGTGAATCTATCTCCAAAGATAGTTAGATGATCACTTTCGATTAATTTCCTGCATGGGTGTGTTAAGGACCCCATCTTTTTGAGTTTTACAATAAATATATGTAAATGTTCCAAAAGTTTTACAGAAAATTCCTTTGAATAGGTGTTGTTGGTATTGTCGCTTTTGCTGTTGGTGTTTTATGTGGGAGTTTATTAATGAGAAAATTACGTTTACAAGGCCGACGAGCTGCTTTATTAGTTTGATTTTTTAACAATTCATTCTTGTTTAATCTTTATCAGGTTGCAATAACGGGTGCATTTTCTGCTTGTTTTTCTATTTTAAATTCGACTGTTGGGTGTAAATCTACAATGACAGCATTGGGGGAATCTATGTAAATGTTTAAAATTTTAACTAGTTCACAAAAAATGGACAGGGTGTAAATCGAGATTCTCAAAAATAATTTTGGCCATGAGCCAGTATCAGAATCTGTGCCAAGATGTCTGATACTCGGCCTCAGGTACTGGAAACTTAAGACATCTGCCCTCGATATCTAATATAGGGAACTTTCCTTTAAATATGAAAACTCTATAAAAAATTAGTGATGGTTTATACTAGTGACCGGTAAAATAGATTTTTCTGGACCCGGACCCGAGCAAATTGAACCGGACTGGACCCGGCCAGATTTTTCTGGATAAATCCGGTTCGGTTTTAATCCGGAATTTGCGAAAAAATCCGGCCGGATCCGGTCCGGCCCCGGTCACTAGTTTATCTTTAAGCGAATTTTCCTCTACATAATTAATTTCTTTTAAATTTTTCAGTGTCCAAAGTCGATCTCATTTAAATCCAACAAATTTCAATTGCCTTAAAGGTTGTTATTGTGAAGGTTCCCCTTTATATCCAGTTTGTGACCGTTCCGGTTTAAATGTTTTCTTTTCTCCCTGTCATGCTGGTTGTCATATAACAAATATTACTTCAATTTTGAATAATCAAAAAACGCCAATTTTTGATTCTTGTAAATGTGCGGATGGAGGAAAAGTTTCGAGAGATTTTTGTAATGAAGGGGATTGTATGAATAAATTGTAAGGGATTTTCTAGCTTTATTTATAAAAAAATATTTTTTTAAAATTGTCCTTTCCCCTCATAAGAGGACGGGGATAAACATGAAAATACAACGTTCTCTTTTGATAGGTAAAGCTGTCCGAGAACTTGATCTTGAGTCTTGACTCAAAGCTTTTATTAGGGTTTTTAAGGTCTTGGTCTAGGGGTCTAGTCTTGATCGTTGAAAATTTTCGGTCTCGGACAGAAATACTGAGAAGTACTCCAGACTCAAATAACCCTTTTCCCCATGTTTTGTAGAGGATATAGGAATATTAGAGTATTAATCGAACACTTTTACGGAGTCTTATTTGAGACTATTTCCAACTAAAAATTTTTCTTTTAATTAGATATTGGTACTTTGGAAATATGGCAATCGGCGGGGTATGTATTTTCTCGAGTAAATCTTTTTTTAAAAACAAAATTCAAACTTAAAGATTGTTGGTGGAATGGGCGTTGTTCCGGGCGTTTTAATTATGTTACGGTAAAAAATGTTTAGGGATTTATTTAGGTATATTATTTTTCAGTTCTGTTCCTCCCAAACATAGAAGCATTTCTTTGGGTTTTAATGGTTTTCTTGTTAGTTTACTCGGTAATTTTTTTTCCTATTTTTAAAGACCTCTTTATAAGAGACAAAAATATTTTCTTCTTGACAGTCGAAACTCGCTATTAGAATTAAAAATTTAAAAAAGCAGCTTCCATTCAGTAATCAACTAAATTTTGGAAGCATCTTAAAATACTGGGTACCTAATTTTGGGGGTATTCAAAAATGAGGTGGACTGTATGTATACGTAGGGATGTCAGTTCTTGAAAAATCTTCGGATATCCGGAACCGACCCGATATCCGAACCGAAAAATCATCGGTTCTTTGGTTCCGTTCGGTCCAGAAACGACAACCCTATGTATAAGAAATCCTGTTGTAGGCAAATTCTTACGAGAGGAAATGAGGCCATTAAAGCCTTATAAGAAAGCAAGTCTCTTAAAAAGAGGTTTTCTCTCTCTTTTTCTCTCTAATTTCTTCCCTCTATTAAAAAGCAACTTTACCTTCCCCAATCATTTGGGGTGCAATAATTGACAATTTTTGTCTATTTTGGACACAAAAGTGTGATAACAAAGGGGCATGTGCTTTATATGCAACAGACAAACTTCGAGTTTGGTAGGGAATTTTGAAAATAAATTTAACAAAAGTCCTTTCAATAAAGGCTTCATTCACTTTATGGTGCTCTTCGTCTTCTTTCCTTTATTGCCGATCTTTTTGTTATTTATCATTCAAAAGGATTAAAGTTAACAGATTCTGAAAATGAAAAATTGGAGGAAGATAAAGAAGAAAATAAAAAGGAAAAGGAAAATGGAGTTGGTGAACAGTTAGAACAACAAAAAGAATTTGAGGAAAATGATTTAGAAAGGTACAGGGAATAAGGAAAGGGGAAGAAAAAATGAAAAAATGGTCAGAAAAAAGAGGGGGTAGGAACCCAAGAATTATCATAATCTTGCCTTGTGATATTTGGGATAAGTTAGGTCTACCTCTGTAACAACCACCAATCTCTCTCGAAATAATGAACCTTTCTCGCCAATCCCTTTAATAGTTCATCTATTTTCGACTGCCTGTTTTGGACTTGAGTTTTGGAGCTTTTTTAAACGTAGGAAAGTGTCAAAGCTTCTAGACGGTTTTTTTGGCTAATCCAGTAGAGATTTAAAACATTAACTGAATCTTAGTTGACTGACCCATAGTAAAGAGTTAATCCATAAACAACTTTATAAAGTAATAAAATTCTAAGAAGGGGAAGCTTAAAATTTTAAATAAATACCTCTAAACATTTTTAAAAATATTTTTTAATTAATAGAAAATTCACTCATGTCCATGACATTTCTTGCGCGCCGCCTGACTACGAAAATAATAAAGAAAAAGGTTTAAAAATACATATTTTTCCTCTAAAAAATATTTAAATATTTTTTAGAATTTTATGAGAAAGAATTCCAAAGAATTTCAAAAATGTTAGATAAAGAGGATGCTTTATACAAAGAAAGACGATTATCTTTACCTCCATTTTACCCCCAAAAATCTTCTAGTTTGCCGAGAGATTTTTTAAAACCTGGGGAAATTTATCATCGAAGAACTGCAAGTAGAGATGAAAAAGAATTATTAAAGGAGAAGAAAGATGGAATTTTAATAAGCCCCAGTGAATTCGAGGCAATTAGGCGAAGTACTAGTCAACTTCCTTTTATTGAATAAATGAGAGAGAAATTTTTGAAATTTTTGAAATTTACATTAATTTTTTTTAATTTTTGTTAATTTTAAAGGATTTTTAAATAAAAATTTTTCAACAATTATTATATTCAACTCGCGTTTAATTGTAAGAGTAGAATAGGGTTTTGCCTTAAGCCTCCGGCTGCGGACGATTGAAAGTTTAAAGATTTCTTGAACTTCTATTTCGGTTGAAGTCTATGACTGCTTTATTGGTGTTATTCTGACTCGGCTTTCAAATCACCTTCGAAAACCATCTAATCAATATCAGAAAAGCTTGAAAAGAAGCGAAAAAAATTTATATTTTTTATATTTTATAGTAAGATTCTCTAAAAAGCCTGGTAATATTTTAATCGCCCTCCCCTTCCCAAAAGCTAACCAAATTATAAGAAAGTATAGTAAGCCCATTTTTAATATCCAAAAACGAATAAATTGGCTCCCTCAAATTAATTTTCATATGCTGCAATAGGTCGGAAAAATAATTGCCCGAAACTAAGGTATACCGCCAAAAAAATATTGAAAAATAAACGAATATTTATTCATAAGCTTAGAAAATATTTTTTTAATTAATGAGATTCATCTCAGATTTTCTTCAAAATCATTGTATAATAACTCCAGGTTTTACGAGAATAGTAACTCCATTTACTTGTCCAACTTTGTTACTTTTAAATATTTTGAAGAAAAATAAACGGCAATCCTCTCTAATTGTTTTATTTAAAAATAAATAAATAATTGGAGGAAATCCTTAAATTTTTATTTTAAAATTTGGGAAATTAAAAAAAATACCGTGAACGTGAAACCTAAAAAAGAAAAATTTTTCGAATTTGATTCTCACTAAAAATATTTACCAAGCAAATTGGGATATTACAATAAGCCATTCAGGCTTTATAAATTGCATAACAAAATACAACGAACTACATGTCGTGTTTATTATTGATATTGTAAATACTTGAAGGAAGACCTAAAAAATAATTTTTTTAATTTTGAAATTTCTAATGGCAAGATGTTGAGAGCAGAGGTCGATCAGAAATGACGAAGGCACCGGAAATCGGAACTGTCGGAAATCGGAACTGGCTCAAAAAAATGGCCCAAAAAGTCGGAAATCGGAATTCCGATCGACCTCCGGTTGAGAGCGTCTAAAAGCCTTCTTCGCCAAAATTCCGTTCTTCTCTGGCAGTTATTGCTAGGAGCTTTCGCTCTCCACGTACAGGTGCTCTACCAACTGAGCTACCGGGACGCTGTTTTCATCTTCTCTTTTAATAAAACTTAAACCCCCGCCTAGTGAGCGTTTTAAATGCTAACCAGCTGGATCGTTCTCTTATTTAGTACATTTGTCAAAAATGCAGGAACAGAATGAAAATTGCATATGTCATTTTTCGGACAAATAGGGGGGGGGGGGGGGATAACTCTGGACATTTATCATAACTTACTAATTTCTCCGCATGGCTAATTGAAAAAACTTGGGTATTAGCAATTTGTTTATATTTGTGATTTTTAATAATTAATCCAACAGCAAAAATTAAATAAATAGTTGGTAAAGTAATTCCTACAGTTAAATTATGGTAAAATTGTAATTGGGTATTGAACTTTAAAAAATTTTTTATTTTCTTTTTCTTTAAATTTAAACAACTTCTCCATCAATATCCTCTTTATAGCCAACAAAAGGATAATAAAACCAAGAAAAATAAATTCCAGAAAAAAGTACAGGTCTCAAAAAACAAAAACAAAAAAGAGCATACAAAAACGAGATTAATAACCAAAAATATGTTTTTATCCCTTCAAAAAAAAATGAAGAAACTGAGTTGGAAATAACTTGCAAGCAACGATTAAATGCCAAAACCTTTAAAAATAAATTGGAATTTGAGATGCCTCGTACATAATCAAATATACTCAGTGTTTCAACTGGACTTGCTCACGGATACTGATTTCGGTATCCGTATACGGATATCTTGATATATCTGTATCCATACCCGTGTCCATGAGCAGTCTGGTTTCAAACTTTCATAGAGAGAGGGAAATTAATCAAGAGAGGGCAATTATGTATGTGTAGTTGGGGGAAAGTAATTATTCAGAATATAGTATAGTATTTCTGAGAAAAAATTTTGATACAAAGCACATACCCATTATTTCAATCTCGAGCTCGTTATATACGGATATAACTGTGGTAGAGAATAAGTTCTTAAAAATTAAAAAACTCATAAGGGGTTAAGCTCATTTTAGAGGTATAAAATCGGATATGCAAACAATATGTCATTTGTTAGTGCTTAAAAATTATTCAGTAAATACATAATATTTAGTTGAAGATAAGTATTATTATACTATTTTGATTAAACTAACCAAATTAGCAGTGCTCTCAGCAACCCAAACAACTTAAAATATATTTTTTAGAAAATTTTTTAAAATTCTGACACTAATGTTTACATTTAGCTACTCCCCCAGCAATAAATATAAGTGTTGGATATGAACAAAAAACAGCCCCGAGTAGTGCAAGTATAGGGTGTAAAAAGCCGGTAATAATCAATCCAACTATATCAACAATCCCAATAAATAAAAGTATTGTATAACAATCATTCTTCCAATGCTGTTTCCAAATAGAAAACAAACAGGGCAAATAAAGCAGAAAATATATTATTCCCAAAATTAAATTAATTAAAGCTAATAGTGTTAAACGACGTTTTTCTATCGGAATTGAATCAATTACGAGATTAGTACAATTATAAAGACGTTCGTATTCTTGGTGGTTAAATAATAATAATTCCATTAATGATTAATAAAATTGAAAAAAATTTTTTAAACTTTAAAATAAAATTTTTTTGTTTACTAATAGCTTTAGTTTAAAAAAATTTTTTGTTAGTCAACAATTATTAAATAATTGGAGTGTTGAATATTTAATTTAAAAAAAATTTAAAAAATATGAATATTTAATTTAAATATTCACCTGACATTTCAAATAATTTAAAGGTTGCCAAGATGAATTTAAATAAATAGAAAAATGTTTTGAAATAATTTTAAAGTTTAATATGAATAATAAATATTAACCCTTAAATTATTTAATTTTATTATCGAAAGACAGGAGAAAAAGAAAATGAGTGCGATGGAAAAAATATGAAATTCGGGGATTGTAATGTCCGTGATTTGGAAATATGTATATACGAATTACGATTACGAAAAAAATTTTTTGATTACGACGCAACTCTGCACGGAAGTACCGGACCAATATTTTTACGCACTACTGGTATCGGTAGTATCTAGTAAAGAAGTTTATTTCATTTAGTTTCACAATGGACAACCAAATTTTTAAAATTATAGAGAGTATATTTTTAAAAATTATTTTTAAATATAAACAAATTAATTAGAACAAGATTCTTCTCTTTTTATAATTCGGCATTTAAATTTTTTACATCTAGCTGTTCCCCCATTAATTCGTTTTAATGAAGGAATTCCATCATTTCCAGGCATAAATTTATATTTATTTAATAAATTTCCTAAAAATAAGAATAATTCCATTCTTGCCAAAGCTTCTCCCAAACATTGCCTTAAAATTTAAAAAAATATTTCAATCAAAATTTAAAGAAGGAAAAAACCTTTTTCCAATCGAAAAGGGAATTAATTCATCAACTTTTTTTAGTTTCCCATTTTCATCTAGAAAACGTTCCGGACTAAATTCTTCAGGGTTTTCAAAAATTTCCCCATCTGCCAAAACTGCTGAAATTTGTGGAATAATGGTTGTATCTTTTGGTATATAATATCCATCAATTTTAACATCTCTTGTTAATTTATGAGCTACATTTAGAGGGACTAAATTTGCCATTCGCTGAATTTCCTGTAACAAATAAAAGTGTATAATTAATGGAAACAGTCTTAGGTTGTCGTTATCCTTTCAAGTTACAAATTCTCTCAAGTTCCGATATTTTCCCCAATTTCGAAAATTCTTTAAAATTTCTAATTTTCGGCAGTTGGGTTAGTTAAAATTTTTGAATATTCCGGTTTTCAACAGTCTCAGGTTGTCCTTATCCATCTCTAAATAGTCCCCGAGAAAGAAGGGCATATGGAAATCAAATAGAGATAACTTGCCAAATTTATCGTTGTTTTTAATTGCAGTATACTATTAAATCCCCTAAACTGTCCCCAAACTATTAATTAAACTTAACGTTAATTAAGGCATTTAAATAAGGCAAGGATGGCCTATCTGCCGTTGTAATAATTCTATCGAAATCTCCAATAATCGAATCCAATTCTGCATGTACTTTGTCTTGAACATTTGGATTATTAATTAAAAAAGCAATTCCCCAATTTAATGTGGTGCTTGTTGTTTCTTGACCGGCAAACCAGAGGTCGTTAGCAACTCCTACTAGTTGCTCAATCCTAATTTTTTAGATTATTTTTTTATAATTCGTACTATCAGTTTTCTAAGAGACTAGAAAGGGAAGTTTCTGTCCAATAAGATTGGCGGGTCCAGATATCCGGATCCGAAAAAAGGCCGGATATCTGGAAATTTTCGGTTCGGATACCGGATCCGGATATCCTAAATTTTCGGTTCGTATATTGGATCTGGATCCGGATATTCAAAGATTTCCAACTACCCACCTGGCCAACAAGACGGTTGAGAAAAAAGCTGGGTCGGGTCTTCAAAATCTTCTAAGGTTCGGGGTTCGGGTCTAGAAAATTCCGGGTTTCTGGTTTCAAGAACCCGCCCCTATCCTGGTTCCGAATATCCGTAGATTTTTCAAGAACTAACAACCCTTCAAAAATTAAAATATTACGTAAAATCATGAGGTACTCCTATTAAATCCTTTTGCTGTTTTTCTAACAAAAAAGCTTCTACAAAGTCTGTTGGAGGTGAATTAATTGAATTTAAATGTTCTTTAATTTGTCTCTTATGGAAATCAAATAATTGGTTATCTACTCCTTTCAGATATTCAAAATAAGAATTAACAAAAGGTAAATATCGTAATGAGGGCCATAATCGTATTAAAACCATCGATGGATGAAATCCTGTATCTAAAATAATATCCATCAATTTTTTAAGTTGGCGGAATTCTCCAAGCCTTTCCTTAAAATTAATTTTTAAATCAACAAAAAATTCCAAAAAACTTTACATTATCAAATCTATACCCAAAAAGGAAATTGTTAATAATAGAACCAACACTTATATCAATATTTTCACCAAAATCAACATCCTTCTCTAGTTTTATTTCTTCTTCAATTCTCTCAAATAATAATTCTAATTCACTTAAAATCTAAATTAATAAACAGTTTTATTCTAGACGTTGGAGAGAGTTATGCATGCTCTTAAGTCTTAGGTTAATAATTTTCTTTGGGATCTTTGGGTAATGTCGCCTTTCTAAGTATCGTGTGAGATAAAATTTAAGAAGCTGTGGCTACCTCAGAAAAAAAGAAAAATAATTACAACTTAGCATCACCTAACACACTATCCCAATTTATGAAACCAACTTTATAATTATGGTAGTTGTTTCGTTAAGAAAATGAGACTTTACAATGACTATACGAAGCCATCGAAAGTAAATTTCCCTTTTTAAATTGGAAAACTAAAAAATTTCGTCTGCGTTAACAAAATTGCAAAGTTGTCTTAAAACTTACAAAATCACAACTTTTGTACCTAAAGTTGTAAAATATTTCCAAAAAAAATAGAAAATATTTTCATCCAAAAGGTGCTTTTTAGCTTAACTAATTCCCTCAATTTTTATATTTTAATAATAACTTTATCTTGCATTAAATTCTTTCCAAGCCCAAAATCTCTAAATATTTGCAAAGCAAAACGTCTCTGTCCTCGCCAAAGTTCACCTTCAGTCATTATTACACCATAAGTTCCTCCTACATAATAATTTTATGTTTATGTTTATTCTTTGGACAATTGTTACCACAATACAACCGCATCATGGGTAAATTTTTGAAACGACCTAAGTATTACCAAAAATACCGAATCTGTATTACTCGGAATTGCCGATACTTCTGCCATGCCGATAAAATTTTTGAAATTTTCGTTACTCATCGGTATCGTGCTTTAACGGAATCCATTCGTATTCTCTCTGTAGACTTTTCCCTATTTTTCCCATCCTTCTCAATTAACTATTAAATTACCTCTAACAAGTTTATCAAATTCTTCAAATCCAAAACGTCCAGAATATGCTTCTCCATCTTTTTGGAATGTTTCAATAATTTTATTATATTCAGCCACACAAACTTGTGGCTGTTCTCCAAACCAAATTGTAAATATATTCCCATATTTACGCCTCCAACGTAAAAAACATTGTTCTGGCATTTCTTTCTCAAAACTTAATAAATTGCCAATTATAGGAAGTGGGGGTGGACCAGAAAGGAAATTTTATTAATTAATAAAAATTATTAAAATTTAGCTTACCGGGAGGCAAATTACGCCTTTTAAAATAAAAATTGTAAAATAATATAGAACAAACGAAGAAATTAAGCAAAATAAAAAATAGAGAAATCATTTGGTGTTGAATTAATTTTTTATTTAAAAAATTAAATAAAAAAAATTATTATTTGTTTTGGGTAACTATTTAAAATAAATTTGTGAAATAACTTTTAATTTTAACTTTGATAAGAATAAACTAACACTGGTATTGTTGCAATTTTACATCTCTAAATGGTCATATAGTAAAGCAGTTGGGCTATAGCTATTTCTCTCCCTTAGCTAGTGCAAAAGGTATTCGGCGGCTGGGAGCGAACCAGCATCTTCAGTAGACTGGACGGATGTGTTAGCTGCACAGCCTTAGGAATTAAATAGCTATATGCTTTACAATATACATAGAAGGCTGGCTGTATTTTTCAACGAATCTTATTGAACGAGGTTCTATTAAGGATGGCGGTTCCTGGGGAATCTCCGGATATCTGAAACCGGAATATACGAACTGAAGATTTCGGATAGTCGTTTTCCCGGTTCCGGATACCCGGAACCGCCAACTTTAGTTCTAAAAGTCATAGGCTTCTATTGGGGCCGGGCTTTATATTAGAACATTTATTTTATATTAAAATAATTTTAATGAATTAATTTTAATTTTTATTATATTACTTCATAGCAGATATAAAAATAAAAATAAATACACCGATATAAAAAATAAAAATTAAAAGGGATTTTCTACTGAATTTAATTTTGTTAAAACAATTTAAGTCTGTCATTAAATTTAAAAAAATTAAATTTTTAAATAATTTAATGAATTGATTAAATTAGTGCATTTTTATTTGTTTTAAATAAAACGTGACAACTTTTTAATGAAAATTTTATAGTTTGTATTTTGTGAATTTAATCAAAAAATTAATCGTAAAAATAAAAATAAAACAAATTTAAAAAACAAAAAAATTGATAAATAAAATTCAAAAAAAAATTTTTAGATAAAATGCCGTATCAACAAAATTATACATAGTAGATTGTATTTTAAGGTTTCTGATTTGTGTTGAACATAAAAATAGTTAAAAATTAATTATATACTAGAGCTCGACATTTTCACTTTGCCGGTTCCGGTATCCGGGTTTTTTTCTTCCGCCCCGACCCCGAAAACCCGGAAACCCCGAAAACCCAGATTTTCTCAAAAATACCCGGTTCGGGACTACCGGGCCCGGAAAACCCGGTTCCGGGCCCGGCCCGGGGTCGAGCTCTATTATGTACTATTTACATATATAGTAGTGTTTCACCGGAACCGAAATTTTGACCGGAACCGGAACCGGAACCGGATCCAATTTAAGTTCCGGTTCCCGGAACCGGAACCGGAACTTTTCAAAGTTCCGGCCCGGAACCGGAACCGGAACCGGAACTTTTAAAAAAATTTTTGCTAGCTCATTTTAAAAAATTTTTATTATAAGTAGAGGTGCGGTTTCGCCAAATTTTTCGATTAAATTCTGCCAAATTCTTCTGTTAATCGAAACGAAAAAAAATCCAAGTTTTGGAAGACCAAATCCCCAGCTATTCAATCCCTGATATCTAACTTGCACAGCTATTCCCTGGACATCACACCCAAATCCCTCCTCTATATTACCTATAACCCCTTGAACTCACATAATGTAACTCAAAATCCACCTTCATCCATCCAAAGTCTTCGATTTACCATACAACTTCCCTTCATAGCGCCGCAGGCGAAAATTTTGGGATTTTAGGTGAACCAAGGATACAAATTTCTTCCTTTTTAAGCGCCGCAGGCGAAAATTTTGAGAATTTGTGTAACCAAGTAGCTAGATTTCTTCGTTTTCTTGCGCCGCAGGCGAAAATTTTGAGAATTTTGGAAGGCCAATCGCGGAAAGCCAATCATATTTCTTAAAAAACTAATCCTTAGGGGTGTAAAAAAGTTCCGGTTTGCCCGGAACCGATTTGTAAACCGGAGCCGGAACCGGAACCGGAACCAATTTGAGTTCCGGTTCCCGGAACCGGAACCGGAACCAAAAAAACACCGGAACTTTCCGGAACCGGAACCGGAACCGGAACTTCCGGTGAAACTCTAATATATAGGTAGTTCATGATACTTTTAGTTGTTTTTATTATTAGTATTATTTTAATTAAACAATTGCTAAATTATTCATGGTAAATTATTGAAACAAAATTTTTTCCAAGAAAATAGATTTTTTAAATACCGTATTTTTTAGATTAATCCCCCTGGGGAATTATTGTTTCAACCCACTAGCATGGTAAATTAATCGAGGGGAGGGGTGGAATTATTCGAGTTTTGGCATTTGAACGTGCCGAAGGGTATTTGGAAGTGGGGAATTATTTTTTCAACCCAACTCTAGCATGGGGAATTAATCGAGAAAATTATTTTCACTCCGGAAAAGGTTCACACCGGAAAAAGTTTACTCCGGAAAAAGCCCGATTAGTACATATTTGGCCATAACTTTGTTGCTTTTTGACGGACCCGAATAATTCCCATATTATTCGAAAGGTTTCGAGATTCGGCATCTTTTTCATAATTGGCTCGATCTTATATCACAAAAATATCTAGATGTAACTTTTTGAAAGATGATCTGGTCAAAGCAATCTAGTTGACGAAAATAATTCGAACATCCAGGGCTTTCGAATGATAAAAGATTTATTCAAATTGGTTAAACCAGATAAATTATGGCCTAAAATATGGTTTCGTAACTCGACCGGAGGGACTCGATGGCCCTAATTACTCTGATTTTCTGATAAATTTATACTATAAAAGCTTTCTACAAAATGTTGCTACAAACAATCAACTCAACTCCTTCGCACTCCACTGCTTCTTCAACTTCATTGGCGCTCGTCGTTTTGATCTATTTTGGTTGGCATGTTAAGGTAAACCCTTTTCTAATTTTAATTTTCCTATTCTTCAAATATGTTCCTTTTAAGTTTGATCGACTTTGGACCATTCTTGGCTCTCTTCTTTGTTGCTGTCTCGCTTTCTGGATCCGTGTCCTTGCTCTTCTGCTGCAAATCAAAAAAGAAGTCAGCAACAAAAAGTCAGATCCAAAAACAAGCATTGGTGGATAGCAGAAAGGTGAGAGAAGGAGAGGGGGAGGGGGACATTACCGATCAAAATAATTTTTATTTTCATTAACAGAGCAAAGACAATATTCCACTAAAGGAGGGACCAGCACCAGGAGAAAAACCACCAGCAGCAGCAAAAGGAAGGCAGCAGAAACAACTAAAAACACCACCACCTCAACCAGCAAAAGGAGCAGCGATTGGTGGCGGAGGCGCTGCTGGGATAAGAACTGCTGCTTTGTTCACACCACCTCCTAAAGCACCTGTAGCTGACCCAAAGAAGACCGCAGCAACAAAGCAACCAGCAACACCACCAAAGCCTGCTGCACCAAAACCTTCTGATAAGTCAAAGAAAGACGTGCGCGCTGGCGTTGCTGTTCCCGATGACGACACTGCACGAATGGAGGAGGTTTCTGATTCGTGGCGTCAAGTTAAAAGTGAGTTTAGAAAAATTTTTCCTCGCTCTCCAGTCTAATAAATTTTATTTTTTAGAGCAAGCTTATAAAATGCCCGAGGAAATGACACGACGCCGATTGGACGATCCAGACTATCAGACCTGGAGGGGATTGGGGAACATCTTTGATGCATCCAAAAGAACGAAAGGAGATATGGGAGGAGATGGTAGTTTGGCGAAAGACCCTCGCTCGGACTCCAAATCGAGGCTTGATAGTAAATCGAATTTGTCGTCAAAGTCATCGGATGCGGCTAACTCAAAGATGGATGAGGTGAGAAAAAAGATTCCTCCTCTAGAAAATTTTCATTATTTTCTTTTTAAGGAAAAGCAGGCAAAGAGTGAAGGCGACAATAAAAAGGCAACAACATCGCAAAGCAAATCTTCATCAAAGGATAACGTGCACAATAGCCAAAGCACTGTGAGGGTAACAATGACAAGTGAGACTAGTGTAAATGAAGAAAATCAAAAGGACAACACAAAAAGCGAGCACGATGACAACACGAAAAGTGAGAACTGAATAAATAAAAATAAATATAAATTTGTGTGTTGATTTGTATAAATATTGTATTTTTGTGTTCACTATTGTAATTTTTTTAAATAAACCTTTCTTTGCTTCAAGTTTTGCTTTGGGTATTTTGATAGGAGAAAAGTCCATCTCGCTTTGACGGAAGTCATTGCCGGACTGATTTTGACGAATATATCATTGACGAACTTATTATTGACGAAATGATCAATCGCCTCTCGTTTTCCCTTGATGTTCCTTTTTGTCGTTTACCTTTTTCTCTTTTTCCCTTTTTTGTTTTTTCGAAAATTAATTCTTTTGACATTACCGAAATAACAGACAGCCAGATAAAAAATATTATGGAGAATGAAGAGAGTGTAGAGACATTAAAGTAAAACCAAAAATCACTAAAAATATTGGTTTTTCTATTGTTTTTTTGTTGTTTTTAATTGATATTTGATAGTTTTCTCGATTATTTTTAGACAATTAATTGAATAAAAGACTTATTTTTTATTAAAATGGCATCGCAAACTGCAGGAATTCAACAATTACTTGCAGCAGAAAAGCGTGCTGCTGAAAAGGTTTTTTAAAGTGTTTTATTACTTCGAAAACGTCTTTAGATTAATGAGGCACGTAAAAGAAAGGCGCAACGACTTAAACAAGCAAAACAAGAGGCGCAAGCTGAAATTGACAAATATAGAGAGGTTTAGATTAAATTTATTCCCTTCATTCTGTTAATTTTTAGGAACGCGAAAAGCGTTTTAAAGAGTTTGAACATAATTACCTGGGCGCTAGAGATGATATTGCTGCGCAGATAAAGCGTGAAACTGATGAGACGCTTAATGAAATGACTCGTAGTGTTGCGGCTAATAAACAGCAGGTAATTTTAAAGAGATACTTTTTTCGTTAGGCCTAGATGATTTGAAAGTTTGGGCTAGGCCCGCAACAGGATTTTTTTCGAAGGAGGGGCAAGAGAGTAGAATTTTAATTCCCCTGCTAACGAAATATTGGGTTCACTCTCCCGTGAAGTTCTTTCCCACGGATAAAACTACTTTAAAGAGAGGACCTCAAATGTCGAATTTAAGTCAGAATTGGCTCAATTTTTGTTAAGAATTATATCCCTGGCTCTACCGATTTTGGGTCTCACTTTATTGTTAGAGAATTATTTTTTAATTTTGTAGGTAATTGTTCGTCTACTTCAACTTGTCTGTGACATTCGTCCAGAGCTGCATCACAATTTACAACTTCAACTTAAGCTTAATGAAAAGCCTGCCTAATTTGTAGTTGATTGATTATAAAAATTGAAAGGAAAATAGAAAAATGTATTTTCATTCCAAAAAATTTTCAAATTTTCACTAAAAAATTGTCTCTTAGAAGAAAAAAATTTCTCTTAATTTTAGATAAAATTTTATTTTTAAACAAATCCAACTACCAAAATTTTCTAAAAATCCGAAACTCTTCCTTTTCTTTCCCAATCCCCATATCTTGTAGGTTCTGGTCCTTTAGGTCCATTCAATTCTTTTGGAATTTCTTCACTTTCTTTAATATTCTCTTCATTCATTTCTTTGTTGTTTGAAAATTGACGAATTCCAAAGACGTTAATTTTGGAAATAAAAATTTTTGTGGGAAAGGTGGAAATTGTTTGTTGTAATTTTTGTTGAAGTGATGACATTTCTAAATATATTTTTTTTGAAAATTATTTTTGTTGTAAAATAAGTTACCTTTGATTTGGTGGAAAAGGCTTCTTTTTTATTTTTTTATTTGAAAGGGCAATCTTTTGAAAAATTCCTGAAAAAATAAATTAAAACTTGAGATAATTTCTTTAAAAAAATAAATTTTAACGGAGAATGTAGCTACGGAAAAATAACAAGGAATTGCTTAAACGGTCAAAATCATTGTTGTGTTTTGTTCCTTAAATCTAAAACTGGAAACAATCCTGTCATTTCAGTGGGACACGTCCAAAACGGCGCGAGGCCATAAAGGCGCAAAGCCATAACTAGCTTCAAGATTTCTTAATCCTACCAGATTTAGTATCAAACGATTCCACTCATCGAGCTAGGGAGATTGGCACCGAAATTGACAAGGACCAGACATTTTTCAGCAAGTTGTGGCTTTGCGCCATTATGGCCTCGCGCCGTTTTGGGCTGTACCCCATTTCAGTCTCTTTTTCCGAGACTTGCTTAAAATTTTTCAATTTTATTCTTCCTTTAATTTTTTTAATTTTTTTCATTTTTAGATAATTTAAAATGGCCAATACACAAGAAAATTTAAATCAGGTAAATTTCCAAAAAATATTTAAAAAAATTTAATTTTCATTTTAGCCTCAATTTATTAAGCCAGAACGTGCAATTCTTAATATTGGAGATGTCTCTACTTGGTTAAAATCTGAGGCACATTACAAATATATGAAATTTATTAGACAATTAAATAATTCTGTTAGAGGTATTTCAACCGATTCTTCTGATATTTTTGTTTCTGAAAATGTGAAGAAAATTATTGAAATGCTTGACTTATTTCAGGTTACTTTTTTGCATATTTTCAGTAGATTTTTGTTTTTAATTAGTGACCGGTAGTTAAGATAGACTTTCCTGGGTAGAAAGAAATAATCACGAGACAGGAATTTATCCTGCTGAAATTTTCCGAAAATTAATTAGGAGATTACGAAAGATTTTTAAAATGATTTTTCTGACTTTTACTCCGGTCCGGGAGCCCGTCACTAATTTTGATTTTATCTTATATTTCTGTTTCTCCTAGTCAGGGAACGTAGCCAGGATTTTTTTCGGGGGTGGGGCAAGGTGGAAAATTTTGCGAATTTTAGAAGGCCGTAGCTACGGGCCTGTCCCTAGTTAGTTGCTTTTAGTTTCCTCTATAGGTCGTTTAGGACAATTTTTTTCATTTTTTTAAATTATGTTTTCGATTAATAATTTTTATATTTCTAGAAATGGATAGAAGAATATCCTCCAGAAGATATGGGAACTCAACGATTTGGAAACAAATCTTATCGAAAATGGTATGAAAGATTGACTAATGTAGGTTATGTTTAAAAACTAATTTTATTCTTTAATTAAAAGGATGCAGAAAATGCCCTTTTGAAACTGTTGCCGACAGTATTGGGGGAAGCTAAAATTGAATTGCTTCCTTATTTGATGGAATCGTTTGGGAATTCTACTCGAATTGATTATGGATCCGGTAAGGGAAAAATTTTGTTTTTTTTTTAATAATAGAATGGAAAAATTTCTTGGATTTCTCGTTTGGGTTTTCTAGAAAGTTTTTTTTGCTTATTAAAGTAAGAATGTCTAAAACCAGTCAATATAGGCCCTGATACAGGCTAATTTTTCCGCTTATCAATTTTAAGAAGAAATTGTTTTATGCGGTTATTAACGACCAATAAGGGAATTTTTTAAAAACCCAAATATTTTTCCCTGTTCGATTCCTAAAATTACCTCTTTGCCTCCTTTAAATTTCTCAACGTTCTTATTTCAGGTCATGAAGCCTCTTTCCTAATTTTCCTATTTTGTCTTTATCAAATTAATTTTTTGGTTTCTCCAAACGATAATTGTGCTGTTGTTTTGAAAGTATTTCATCGGTTGATTTTTTTAAAAAATTTTTCAAAATTTTTATTAATTTTTTAGTTATTTATCTTTGGTAAAATTTCTTCAATGTATTTATCGAATGGAGCCGGCAGGAAGTCGGGGAGTACATGCAATTGATGATTTTCAATTTTTGCCTTTTCTTTTTGGGAGTTCTCAACTTATTGGTATTTTTAAAATAAAAAAAAAATTTTTTTAATTTTTTAAATAATTTTTTTCCTTCTTTTTTTAGACAATAAATATCGTTTAATTCCTGATTATTATTTACGCCCAGAAATGGTTTCGCAATATAAAAATGATAATTTATTTTTTGAGGCTATACAATATATTAATGAGGTAATAAAATAATTAAAATAATTTCGGAAATATTTTTAGACAAAAACTGGCCCATTTTATGAACATTCCAATCAACTTTATAATATTAGTGCTGTACAAACTTGGGAAAGAATAAATGAGGGAATGTTTAAAATGTATGAAGGAGAGGTTTGTTTTGATAGAATTTTTGACTAAAAAATTATTATAAAAATTTTTTAGAATATTTTTTGATAAAAAAGATAACCTATTTCACCGTTTAAAATAATAAGAAAAAGCTCAGCCCGCGAGGGGACTTGAACCCCCAACCTTCGGAGCCTCCCCCATTAACCGGAATCCGACGCCTTATCCATTAGGCCACGCGAGCATTGAGAGGGAATCGTATTTTTTCTTCTTTAATTTAAGACGAATATTATTGAAAATTCTTAAAATTAACACATTTTGTGGTAATCTTGCTGAAATATAAAGTTTCTTGTAAAATAATGCCTACAGAAAAATAGCATTTTTATTTATCCATTTCTGCCTTAACAAATTTTTTTCTTAAATATTAAATTCCAAATTTAGGTGCTAAAGAAGTTCCCCGTTGTTCAACATTTTCTTTTTGGAAAATTGTTTAGTTTTAAAGAAAGTAAAGACTCTTCAGAAAGTTCAAAAGCTGTAGGACTTGATACTTTAGCAAAAGGAAGACATCCATCGAATCTTGGAATTATTCAAGAATAATTTTAGATTTTTTTTGAAAAATATTTTTTTAAATGATGTCCTTATTGCTTTTAAAAAAATGCATTTTAATTAGCTTTTTAATTTACTTTTTGTTTCTATAAAAATTTTTTTAAAAAATGTCCTTTATTAATTTAATAAAGCTTATTGAGGAAAAAGCTTAAATATTTGTTAGAGAAAAATTATATTTCCGACTAAATTTTTTTTTAATTAAATTTTCCATTAGAGTATTTCTTGCATTAATTTTAGAGAGCGGAACAGGATCGGGACCCAGTCCCGTTTCCCGGCTTTTTTGAAGATGTCGGGATGAAACCGGGATCGGGTCCCGGCCGGGTTTCTTCTGCTACAATTTCCCGTTCCCGTTTTTTCAAAATTCCGCTCTCTAATTAATTTCCCTAATTTTAAATAATTTTTGTAAATTTATTTTTAACTCCTTTTAGTGAATTAAATCTAATTTAATAATGATGAAAGACGACACATCTTCCCTGGAATCCGGAGAATCACCTTCTAGCAACGAGGAAGGTTGTAGCCTCAATAATTCTATAACGTCTTTTCTTCATAGGTAAATTGGTTGAAATTTAAATTTTAAAAGAGATTTTTTTTGTTTACAGGCTTCGACATATGCCGGAACAGAAAAAGCAGCAATTAGTCTCCAATTCTGTAGCAATTGTTAGAAATACAGGAACTCCCAAATCTAATGGAAATTGTGCAAGTGTGGAATGTTCTCAACGGGAAAGTGTTCCCTTAACAGCAGATGAGGTTTTTGAAGTTGTTTATGGTGTCAGGGAAGTTGATAAAAGTGTTCAAAAGAATGGGAATGAACGGGGTGTTCAAAAAATTGAGAATGAAAGAAGTACTCAAAAGGTGGAGAATGAAAGGAGTGTTCAAAGGAATGAGAATGATCGAGCTCCTTTTAAGATGGAGAAGCTAGAAAGGACTGAAAAGTCAGGAATGGTTTTCGTTGTAGATGCTCACGAACGCAGGGTTCGGATTGTGTCGAGGGAGGAAATGAGGAAGCAGGTTTTTGATATATTTTTTTAATAAATTGGGGTTTTAATTATCCGTTGGAGTTTTTTCCTTCGTTAATTTTGAATTTCCTTGTTTTTTTTCAAAAAGGAGCATAATGGTCAGACTTCCTGAATTTTTTGCTAATTTCATAGAAAAATGTAAGGGAGAGCTTTTACATTCCATACTTTTTCTACGTCAGATTAATAATATATTTGACTAGGATTGCCGTTCCCGAGTTGGGCCGACGTTCGAGCCATTTTTTTCAGGCCTCATTTTTATTGGGTCGGCCCGATCGAGTCTTTTTCGTGTCAAAATTCGATGCCCGACTCGATCTTTCGGACCGAGCCGGCAACCCTATATTTGTCAAATGAATTCCATAGGAAAATAAAATGGAATTGACCAAGGAAGACTTGTGCGTATTTTGAGGAAGGAAAATAAAAGACGAAATTCAAAATTACCATTTTACTTTTAATTTAAAAAAATTTTTTTAGTCAACACGCTTAATTCATTTGGAAGACTTACCTGAGGAAGAACTTTCTCGTTTTGGATCCATCTTTGCTGACGACATTGAGAGCTCTGATAGATTTGTACATTGTGATATTTGTGACCAATATTTTGGTATTCTTAAATTTAAAGAAAATTTCTAAATTTTATTTTAGACTTTTGCTGCCTCGAACATCCACTTTATCAATGCCAGGATCGGGATCCTGCTGTTAGCGCTCAGAATTCGCCGTCCAAAGAGGGGGATGATAGGGCTTCCTTGACATTGCCAGGCTTTTTGTATATACACAATTCTCCTATTCCGAATGCTGGCAAAGGTTTTTTAAATTTTTTTATAATTTTTAGAAATTTTTAAAAATTATTTTAAGGTGTTTTTGCTAAAGTAGATATTCCTGTTGGAATTGTTTTTGGTATTTTTTGAATAAAAATAAATATAAAAAATTTAAACAAACTTTTCAGGTCCATATGAAGGTATTCTTTTTCAAGATCCTAAGAAAGCAAGTCAGGATGGATACTCTTGGGAATTACGAGTTGGCAATGGAAAGCCCTCCTTTTATATTGATGCGAAGGATCCTCGATATTCTAACTGGATGGTAAATTTTTCGAATAGAAATGCCTCTTAAAGGTGGGAGGGCCCACACTTGGGGCCACTTTCGAACTTTTTCTATTTTTCTTCAGTCAAAAGGCTTTCAATGATTTTTTAGAGTTCCATAATCTTTTTAGAGCTAATAATCTGATCAACGCTCTCGTTATTTTTTTAAATTTTATATTGAAAAATCAATCCATTTTTATTGACTGATTGGATTATCAGCGGTCATGAACAAGTCCGAAATTTCGGAACCTCCCATCTTTACAAGTTCTAAAATTTTCTACATTTATATAATTTCTAGCGTTATATCAATTCACCAAGGCACGAAAGTGAACAAAATCTTCTAGCATTTCAATATCGTGGTTCTGTCTTTTACCGTGTCTATCGTCCTGTTGACAAGAATAGCGAATTATTGGTTTGGTATGCAAGTCGAGTGAAAAGAAATTTTTTTAATTTATTAATTTTCTTTTCATTTGGCTTTAAAAATATTTTCTATTTTTTTAAAAAAATATTTGCTTTTATTTTAAGGTATGGAAAGAGCTTTGGCAAAGAACTCGGTATCATAAACGCAACTAGTAAGAAAAAACCTTTTGTTTTCTATCCCGGAAAGAATCCATTTGTTTTGTAGTCTTAACTGTTTTAGAATTATAAATGTATTAATTTCTACTTCACTTTTATTCTCTTTGTCGATATTTTTTCGAATTAATTACTGGTTCAAAATTCTGATATTTGCTGCATAACTCTCCCATCTCTTTCATTTGCCTTTTTTTCGGGTGGGGGCTAACTCGAGGAAATCAAATTTTTCAGAATTTTTTTTGAATCCTGTTTGTTAAAAAAGTCTTATTTTTTAAAAAATATTCAGATTTTTAAAAAAATTCCGATTTCTAAATTATTGCGTGTTTTGGTCATTTCGTGAGTTGGTCGTTCCGCGACTTGTCGTTTTGTGACTTTTCCGTTCTGTGAGTTAGCCCGACACGTTTTTTTCATGGTATAAATATTGTTTTTTTTCTGGGGGAAGATTGTTTCTGCTTTTTTATTACATGCATATCCTTATACATATATATTTTTTGATTAGTATGATAAATTAGATTTTTTAAATCTCTTGTAATTGGTGTTTGATTTGTTTTAAATTTTCTATTTTATTTTTAAAGAATTTTTAATTGTTTTTCAATTAATTTTTAGGAGTTTTTTAAATAATGACAGAAGATATTTACAGAGTGGATGATTTAAGCAATGGGTTGGAAAGGAATAAATTGGCTGTTGTGAATAAGGTTTTTTTTATTTTGATTTAAAATTTTATTTATTTTCGCAGTACAATTATGAGAATCTTCCGCCTTTTGAATACATTTTGGGTGTTGAATTGTCTCCAGAGTTGAAAGATTCGTTTACAAATCGAGAGGTATTTCGATTTTTGATTAGACGTATGGTTTTGGATTTTTCTAAATTTAAATATTCTCTTATCTGGGAAAGGGACGTCTCCAAAATTTATATAATCTTTAGCTGCTACTATTAGGGTTGGATTTTTCGAACCGGGCCGTCGTTCAAGTCATTTTTTTGGGCCGAACCGGTCGAGACTTTCGGATATTTTTTTGGGCCAAAATTTGAGGGCCCCAACCCTAGCTACTAATATAAAATATAGATTTGGATAAAATATTAGGGAAGACGTGTCGTTTAATTAAATTTCTTTTAGAATTTCTGCAAATGTTTAATCACTGATTGTGCCAATAATATTCGAGATCAATGCTCATGTAATGACAAAACTGCGTTTTGTTGTTCTCTATGTTCATGCTCAACTCAAACAGAAGCAAATTGTTCCAAACGTTATTTGCCTTTAAATTGTTTATTTCAAGTTTATTATGTCAATCCGCAAAAGAAGTGGGGCTTACGAACTCTTAATTTTATAAAAAAGGGAAGCATTCTTTTTGAATATGGGGGGATTTTATCAGAAGACAAAGATGGAATTGAGGACGATGATTATATTTATTTATTTGATTATGTAAGTTTTATAAAAAGCTTTGTTAAAACTAGGGTTGTGGTTTTCGAGTTGGGCCGACGTTCGAGTCATTTTGCGGGCTTCATTATTTCGGTCCTGACCGACCAAGTCTTTTTCGGGTCAAAATTCGATGCTCGACTCGATCTTTCGGACCGGACCAGGCCCCCACTAGTTAAAACCACCGGTTCTTTTCTGTTATATCAACAAAAATCCGCAACATTTTTTTGCACTTCGCAAAAATGCGCATAATGGTCAGACTTTTAAGTTCTAATAATTTTATGTATATGGTCTCTATATGCCATATGAAAATACGTTAAAGTTGAGGAAGAAAACTGCGGACATTTTCCGTCGTTAGAAATAAGGGGGAGGTCCAACTTCAAGTGAGGTTTAACTATTCTGAAACAATTTTTTTAATTTATAGAAAGACAAAAAATACATAATTAATGCTCATAAGAAAGGCAATTTGGCACGTTTCGCAAACCACTCTTGTGCAGCTAACTGTTATACCCAGGTTTCGGAGATTGATGAAACAAATGTGCCTCATCTAATAATTGTTGCTGCGAGGGATATTTAGTTTGATATTTTTATTTTATTTTTTATTTTACTTTTAAATTTCAGTCCGGGTGAGGAAATAACACTCAATTATGGACATTATTGGTGGAATGTAAAAATGATCAATTCAAATTTAATTTGCTCTTGTGAATCCTCTAAATGTCAATATTCTAGGTAATATTTTTTAACTTCTTTTTTTACTAACGACACTTCCTGGGCTGAATTTTTCTGATGAGTAAATGTGTTATCGAGATGTGACTATTCTTTTAGTTAGGAACAGGCCAACGTACCGCCGTGCTAATATGCGGTATTTAGAGCTCGTAGCACGTATTGGGCTTGTGGTACGTTGTGCTGTATTCATTTTCATAATTAAACATTTTTTATTTCATTGACAAGTTTTTTTACCTATGGGGTTTTTTGCAATTTTTTAACATTTTATAAATTTTTTTAATTAAAAAATTTAAGCTTTCCTGCTCAAAATGGATATGTAAATGGTGAAAATCATCTAACTACAGAAAATGGCGAATGTTCAAGTGGGATAAGAAGCCCGCAGTGTGCTAGAAAGTTTGCAGGCCCAAACCCCCAATCTGCTAGGAAGATCGCTGTCCCCTTCTCAATACGAAAAAATTGCGCTAGGAAAGATGCGGCGGCTCCATTTTCAATACCGAGAAATTGTGCCAGGAAAATGTGTTATGAGGAATCTGATGAAATTACAATATTATCGGATAGTGAGGAAGAAGAAGACGTGGAAAAGGAAGACGTTGTTGAGAAAGACGTTGTTGAGAAGGAGGAAGTAGCTGAAAAGGAAATTGTTGGGGAACAAGAATTTGTAGCTAATAGCGAGAATAACGGGATAGATTTTGATGACGACGATATAATTTGTATAGAAAATTGAATTTTTGAATTTGAATTTTGAAAGTTTAAGTGTATTTATTTTTTCACTTTTTTGAGGAAATAATACCTCTATTTATGTTAAATTTAATCATGTTTTTTTAATTATTATGTTACATATTTTCTCTTATTTTTTTGAAAATAAATTTTTTGATATTTAAATGTTTTTTAACTATTTGATATGTTATTTACATAAATACTTTATTTTTATTAATTTTTTTAATTAAAATAATTTTTTAAATTTATGATTGACATCACTATGTTACAATTTTTGCTTCTATTGGCAGCTGTGCTTTGTTCAGTTGCAGTATCTGATCGAGGAATTACATTGGAGGTTGGGAATTTTCGGATACATTAATTACATGTTTTACGTGCTTTTTCTTGCTGGAGCGAGATTTGTTTAAATTCTGGGTGTGGGTCACTTTCTCACTATTAGTAGTTTTCTCAGAAAAATAATTAGAGAAAAGTCAAGACTAATAAATAAGAGATTTAGGTCTAACAATAAGCAAATCATTTTGTTTTCAAACTCAAAAAAATTTTTTTAGGAAAAAGTCCGCAATTTACAAGATTCTATAATGAAACGACCTGTTATGAGTTTAAATTTGGAAATGTGGAAAACTTATATTCAATCCTCGCCACGTAATTATTCAATGATTGTTATGCTTACTGTTTTTTCTCCCAATATGAATTGTCCTATTTGCAAGTTTGTTTTCTTTTTAATTTTTTAATTATTTTTTTTTTAATTTTTAGACCTGCTTATGAAGAATTCCTTATTACAGCAAATTCATATCGCTACACCTTTTTGAACAACAAAGCTTTATATTTTGGAGTTGTTGATTATGAAAATGCACCACAAATTTTTAATTTGGTTTATTTAAAAATTATTTTTTATTTCAAAATTTTTTAAAGTTAAATTTAAACACGGCACCAGCAGTCTTTCATTTCCCTGCTAAAGGGGCAAGACGACCACAGGTTGAAAAATTTTTTTAATTGTTTATTGGATTATAAGTCCTCGTAAAAAATAAAAAAATTAAAAAAAAATTTCTCTCATTATTTCCAAAACCTTTTCACTTCTTTTTTTGGGAAGATTTTTTTATCTATTTTTCGACTTTTCAGAAAAATATTTTCTTGTAAAATAATTCATTTAAAGGATTCTATGGATTTTCAACGTATGGGTATTGATGCTGAAGCAATGGCCAAATTTGTTCAAGATCGAACTGATATTCACGTTTTCTTTATAAATTTTATTTCCCTAATTTTTTTAATTTTTAGATTCGAATTCTTCGTCCTCCAAGCTATGCCGCTCCCGTTGTTATTCTTCTTTTGGTTATGCTTGTACTCGGTCTTCTCTATATGCGTCGGAATAATTTGGAATTTCTTTTTAATCGAACTTTTTGGGCTTGTGTTTGTCTTGTAAGGAATTTTCTTTTTTTAATTTTATTCTAAAATTTATTTTAAAGGCAATTGTCTTTGCTTTCATGTCCGGACAAATGTGGAATCATATAAGAGGCCCTCCTTTCATGATGACACATCCTCATGGACGCGAAACTTCTTTCATCCACGGAAGCACTCAATACCAACTTATTGCTGAAACCTACATTGTTTTTGGACTTTATTTGGCTATTACTGCAGGGGTTATAGTTTTGAATGATGCTGCTACTAGTAAAACTGATCCAGGAAGGAGGAAATGTAAATTCTTTTTAATTTTATAATTTTACATTAAATTTTCAGTTATGTCATGTATCGGTCTTGGAATGGTTGTTGTGTTCTTCAGTTTGTTGTTGTCAGTTTTTCGAAGCAAATATCATGGATATCCTTACCAATTTTTGTTTAGTTAAATATTTATTGGGGATTTTTTAAACTTCTTTCTTCGGTTCTTGGGATTTTCTTTTTTTTTTCATTCACTATTTTGAAATTATACTATATTAAAAATGTGTTATTAAAATTAATGAAATTTGTTAAATAAATTCTGTGTTTATTAATTTTTTTTGTAATTTCTAAAGTTTTAACTATTTTAAATTATCTTTTTTTGTTTTTGTGGTAAATAATAAAATTTTCTAGATATGGATATTCAATTAAATTTTCTCAAATTTCAACCTTTAAAGAACTGGCTTGATTATTTTTTAAATAGACAAGAACTAAGGGATTTACTAAATCAAACTTCAGGTAAATGTTTAATAACTGACAATGAGTTCCTTAATTTTAAGACCTCAATTTTGTGATTGCTTTATGCGATCAATTTGTCGAACAAGCATTGGTAACAGAAAAGGAATTGGCTCAAGTTGGGAAAATTTATCTAGACCAAGGTTAACTCAAAAATTTATTTTTCACATCAAATTAATCTTTTCAGAAGATAAAATCTGTTTGAAATATAAAGCCAACGATTTATGGCTTTGTGCTATGAGCTGTTTTGCTTGTTGTAATTGGGACTTGGGGCTGTTGATGAAAAAGTATTTTTTAATTTTTAGATTTTCAATTTTCTTTTTAGCCTAAATGTACAGAAAATTCAGTCATTGTTGGACCAGCTGGTTAAATGGACTTTATTACAAGAAGTTTTTAAATTTAAGATAATTTTCGAAAGATTCTTTTTAGGAAATTATTCAGGATCCTTTCGATTATTTCTGCAGTGTTACCTCTTCTGAAAAATTTGACACAAAAAGAATTTTTTCTGTATGGCTTTATGCTCGTTGGATTCTTTTGGTTGATTCAGAGGCTCGTTTTCCTTCAATCCCTGCAAAGCCAACAGTCAGCAATCCGTCAGTTTTTTGTTATTGATTTAAAAAATCCATTAATTATAGTTACAATTATCTCGATCAGAGTCTCCTTCAAGCAGAGAAGTTGGCACAAACAATCCTCGATATCCAAAAGAAAATGCCGCAGGCCATAAAACTTTTGGACCAGATGTGGAATTTATATAGTGGAATTTATGTACCCAAAAAAGAATGTTTTTATCCTAATTTGGAGGTTATTACAGAGGTTTCTTTCGATTTATGAAGATTTTAATATTTAATTTTTGAGGGTTCTAATCTTAAAAATATTGGTGAATTTGCAAAGCCTGACATCCAAAAACATTCTTGGTTCTTTAAACTTGATATTTTTCAATTGAGAACTGCTTATGATCTTTTAAATGCGCATTTTTGTGCAAAACATTTTTCTAAAGCAAAGACACTTTTTGAATTTGTTTGTTTATTTGAATTTTATCAGGTTTAAAATTTTTTATTTAAGGTAAGAAAAACTTGGCAAAGACTTAAAAACAATCCTGAATCCATTGATAAAGAAAATAAATACTTTTTACCAAGTGAGAAGGATATTAATGGATTTGCCTGTGCCTTGGGATTTGATATTCCTAAAGAAGTAAGGAGTTTTTATATTTTTTCTCTATTTGTTCCGACAATCGGAAAAACATCAAAATCAGATATTTTTTTAATTTACGAAAATTTTTATCAAAAAAATTATTTATGATTTTATTCGTATATTCTTCCAAATTTTACTCATTTTTAGAATTCTTCACTTTGGCAATCTGGTGACATTAATTTATTTATGCAATTTGCCCTTGTTAGGCCCAAACATAAAATTCCTGTTAATATTTTGGTTGAATTACTTTCTATGGGAATTTGTCGAGTTTCAAAAATTTATCTTGACAAAGAACTTCGACAATCTGAAGAATTGCGTTTAGAGTTAATGAAAGTAAACTTTTTTTATTTTTTAAAATTTTCTTCTCATTTTTAGAGTTTCCAATCACATCTTTCTTCTTTAAACGGTTTAAATTCAAAAATTAAATATATTCAACGTGCCAGATTACTTGGCTCTCTTTACTTTCTTTGTTCCCATTGTTTTGGTTTTGCTGATACTCTTGTTAATCATGGAAAATTATCTGAAGATCAAAAAATTAGGTTTTTCTTTATTTTTTATTTTTAAATCTTCTTTAGAAATTTGGCTCAATCTTCTACTATTGACATGACACCAACAGTTCCCTCTGATTTACAATTACAAGGTTTTTTTTCGATTTAAAAATTTTGATTGAAAAATTTTTTTAGAATTCACAAAATCTGAAAATGCTCTTTGGAATGTTGTTACCTCTTTTGATATTAATGTTCTTCGTAACTCGTTTGCACAACTTGATCCTTCAATTCGTATTGAAAATAAAAGGGTATTTTACTAGTTTTTATTTATTTAAATTCTATGCGATGGAGGGTGGAAGGGAAATTTTTATATCTTTTTTTGATTACCTTCATGGCCTTTATTTTTATAGTTTATAATTTTTATTTAAATCGAAAACCCCCTACATTCAAAATTTTAGATGGTCTTCTCTCCAGTTTCTGCTGATCCAATTTTAAATGCCATAAATGCTTCTGGTGATCGTTTTTTTATTCGAAGTCAAATAATGCTATGGAAATTGGAACAACTTGCTCTTCAAGGGGTTATTTTAATTTAAAATTCTCTAAAAATTATTTTAGAATATGAAAAAATGGACAGAATTTGTTAATAAATTTAGTGAAGATTGTAAAGTTATAGAAGAAAATAAAGAATTACAAATGCTTCTTTTGTGTGATTCAATGAGGATTGGGGTTATTTTTAAGTTTTTTTTGTTTTTTAAAAATGTTTTTTTAAGTTAACAAATTGGAATACAGATTTTTGTCGTCCAAGTTTTCCCCATGAATTTGTTAAAAATGCAGCAGAATTGAAACAACAGCTAAATGGTGTTTTGACTAGAGCAATTCAAGATAACAAGAGTACTTTTCAGATTTTTAGTAAAGAGGTTATTTTTTAATAATTTTTATTTTAAAAATATTTAAAATGATGTTTGTGACAAGAATCTTTTTTTTAACTTTGTCGGGGAATTTTCTCTGTCGGGGAATTTTATTTTTTTTCTACTTTGTCTGAGAATTTTTTCTTGGTTTTTCCTGACTTTTTTATTACACAACAACCAGTCAATTCAAATTTTCAATTTGGACAAGTTAGGAAGATTTGGGTTATAAAATTATTTCACATTAATACCCATTCAATTCTTTCCTCAAATAAACATCTTTACCCCGCCGCCTTTTTATTAAAAAAATTTTCTAGTTAACATGTTATTTACTAAACAATCGAGAATGGTCATTCACCAGTCAACGTATCAAAAATCAACCCCTTTTAACTACTCCTTTTACAAATATTGCTGTTATTTTTTCATTTTTCTTCACTAAATTGTATGTGGAAAAGAAACGAGACGAGGCATTTAAAACAGCCAGAGAAGTTATTTGGAAGGTTTTAACTCCAACATTTGATGCTGTTAAATTTGGGTAAGAAATCTTTTAAATTAGAATTTTTGGGTGGAGAGGGTACTTTAATTTTTACTCACATATGAGTCATCCCGTCCCCGCATATGAGTCATCCCCGTCATTTCCCATGCCAAGGATGGAATTCTTTGGCATGATTAGGTTAGTGGAAATATTAGAGGTTATTGGATAACTTCTTTATCTTTTTTTGATCCTTAACTTTCCTTTTTTCTCGAAAGGTGTTGATGTATAGAATTTAGCATCCTTCGAGAACGAATAACGACTTTTTTAAAATTATTTTTAACTAACAAGTTTTTAATTTTAGGCAAGAACCAAGGCAATGTATGATTGGAAAAGAAGCATTAATTAGCTTGATTGAGGGATTGAAGGTTTAAAACTATTTTTTATTCATCAAAATTCATTTAATTTTTATCTTTTTAGGATTTGGAAGTCCTCAATATTTTTATAGGATTTGTCAGTTTTCTTTACAATTTTGTTTTAACTACATATCAAAAACCATTAAAAAGTAGCATTAATTCAACGGGAGAGTCTGATGCTGTAGACAATGCTACAGGGACAACTGATGAATCAACAAGTCAACAACAACATACAGAAACAACATTGTTACGTGCTGTTGGACGAAATGTCTATTTGGATAATGTTGAATTGTGGCAATCAATAAGTACATTGGAAACATACAAGTTTAAATTTTTTTAAATAGATTTTGAGAAAATTAAAAATTTCTAGGACGTATGACATAGATGTTGATTATGTTGAAAAAGTACTAGATTTACTAGCTGAACAAGCATCTCTCGTTGGACCAGTTTATTTGCCTTGGTTGTGTTTTCGAGCTGATTATGCATTTGGTTTTTTTCTAAATTTTTTTGAAAAACAATTTTATAAATTTTATTTGAAGCTCGTGAAAGATATGAGGAGGCAACTTTGCTTTATTTGGAAACAATTATAGCATTGGATCGTGGACTCAATCATCAAACATCTTCACAGGAAGTTGGAGGTACTAGCACAACAACGAAGCAATTAAGAAAGAAAATGGATATTGATTTGGTTATTTTTTATAAATATTTATATTTTTTTAAATTTTTTTAAACACGGAGTGTTGAAAATGTGAAGAGAATTGTAAATAACGCTTAGGAAGTTCTCCAACTAGTAGCTGCCAAATTCAATTTTTTTCAATCCAGGCTAGGACACGTTCCTCTTTCAATCCGTGATAAGTCTCTCTCTTTTCTGCGTCTTTTCTATGCAAGAGAGTGGCCGTAATCTCAGCTGTTCTGAAGAGACATCACGGATTAAAAGAGAAAGTGTTTAAATCTTATCCTAAATTAAGGTGATTTAATTCCGAATATTTTATAGCAAGTCCAACCGTGTATAAAATTTAGAAAAAAATTAATTTTTTCTAATTTTCTAATAATTTAAAAAAACTTTCTTTTAAGATTTATTCAAAATTGGCAGTTTCACTCTATTTTCTTCGAATGCCAACTTTAGCAGCAATTGTTGGACAAATGCATACAGATATCAAACCTCATTTAAATTTGGTAGAATATTTATTAAAAAATACTGCAGCAACAATAGATTCTGGTCCAGCATATTTTCCTTTAATTGCTGATATTCATTTAATGGAAAGGATGGCTGGTATATTTTTTGAATAATTTTTTTTAAATTTTTATTTTAAAAATTTTTTCAGTAATGTATGAACAACCACCATTAGAATTACCTCTTTATACACAAGCTTTGGTATATTTTTTTTTAATTTAAAAAATTTTTAAAAATTTTTCTTTTAGTGCCAACCAAGTAGAGCAATTAATGTAAACAATTCTCAAGAAGTTTTGGACAGAGAAAGGTTAAGAAGAAATGAAAGAATAGCTGAAATACTTTGTAAACAATTTTTTGGAATTAATATAGGAAGGAGATAATGATGGTATTTAGAAAAGGTTTTTGTTTATGTTTTTAACTAGAAAAAGATCTCCAAATTTTGTTTTTTAATTTTTTTGATTAATAAATTATTTTATTAAAATATTTTTTTGTTTATTTGTAAATAGTTAAAATTAACTATGTAAGAAATATATTTAATTATTTTTTAATTCTTTATATATTCTTTTAATTTTGATGAGTGTTGTTAATCTAACAAACGGAACAGATTTATTAGAGCAATATTTTTCTGATAAATCTTTGGATGGAGTAAAGAAAATTGTCCGTCTTATTTTAAACTCGTGGCCATGTTATCAATTTGCAATAAAAAATCAACTTGGAGGTTCGCAAACGGCAATAAAGGTTTTAAATAATTTTAAAAATAATAAGGCGTTGAAGAGTTTGGGGAGAAGAGTAATTGGGAGTAAATCCCGAATTGGGGAGTAGAACCCTCTTTTGGTGTTAGCCCTGAATGCCTGTTGATCCTGGAGACCTTCACCAGATTGTCAACACCATTTTCAATCGGGAGATCTGGAGGAATCAAAGAGAATAAAGTTAGATTTGGAGGGATTAGGGGTAGCTGGGTTTGGATTATTTTATTTTTCTTTAATTTTGAGGATTTTCACTTTATTTACTTATTTTTCATAGGATAATTGGTTCTCTGATGTCCTTTCAGAACACATTTTTAAACATTCTGATTTATACACATACGAATTATCTGAATGGATGGAAGAAATACTTTACAATGAATTTGATACAATTTCTGAAGATAATACACTTGACTCGACAGCTGATTTATTAATTAAAATGAGTAATTGGTTATTGGGAAGGGGCAAGACGAGTGTGGAAGAAGCAAAAACAAAATTTAGAGAAAATGTCGAAAAACTATTGGCAGTGAATTCGAAAAAGGTTTTTAATTATTTTTTGAAGTTTTGTGGTTGGAATAGGGGAAACTTTCAAATAAGTTCGAATAGTTCCCTCTAAAGAATCATGTTCTGACAAGTTCTCATTGGTATCAGAGACATCACGGGTTGAGAAGAAAGTCGTATTGGGTTTTGGAAAATTTCTTGAACATGGTTTCGGATAGAAAAAATCCGGGTAATCCGTGACATGATTGATATGTTTCTTTGAAATCGAAAAAATTGAAGGGGGGGGGGGTATTTTTCAATTTTAAAAATTACTTCCCTTCACAGGAAAATTAGAAAAAGATTTTCTGGACCGCTCCAAAAATTTTTGACAACCCAAAAAATTTTTCTTCTCCAGTTTTTTTATATTCTTAAAGTTCGAAAAATATTTTTTTAATTTTATAGGATGTAGTAAAAAATGTTGAACCTTCCGATTCAAGTGAAAGTGAGGATAGTGAAGACCAAGAAGATTAGACAAAATAAATAATATATAATTTATTTCCCATAATTATTTGTTGAATAAAAAATTATAAAATTCTCAAAAATATGTCAATGTCAAACTTAACAACAAAACATATTTTCTCTCTCTTAAGAACAAGCATCTTGTTGAATAAAAACTTTTTGTAAAGAACTAACTTCTTCATTACAATTTGGACATTTACCTCCTTCACTCGGCACAATAGCTTTTTCAGCATATAAACAACATCCAATAATGCAACCACAAGGAAATAACATACAATCCATTTTGTGACAGTCAAAGTATTTTGGACAAACCAAACATTGTTTTGATGGAAGACGGCTTTTACAACGAGAAAATTTCAAATCAACTGAAAAAGGGGGAAATTTTTTTAATTCAAATAATTTAGGAAAGCCTAGAATTAATTGAAAATTAGTGTTTGTTCCTATAAATGTAATAGCCGAATAAGGAATATTTTAATTTAGGGACCAGACCGAGACGTGATCTCAAGCAAAAATTTCGGTTATCAGGATCGATATTTTTCTAGATATCGTGTACAATTCTTGGACAACACTCCGCCATTCCCAGCCCGTTCTTAATTTTAATTCAAGTTGATTTTACATATAGATACCAAGGTCTTCTTAAATTATAGAATTTTTGCAAAAAATGTTCGGTTTTTAGGTAAAAAAGATTTTGGAAATCGGAGAAATTATTTACAAAATCCAAAAAATATTTCTAATTCTAGGAGAAAAGAACACTTCCCCAAAACTTAACCCATAAAAATAAATTTGTATAAAAACTTACGTCCCAATTCACTTTTGCAATAAGGGCATTTATCTTTCCATTTAGTCTCGCAACGAGAACAAAATACAGTATGTCCACAAGGGATAATAACAATATCAGCAGTATTGTTACAGCAACCAACACACAATGAAAATTCCCAATTTGTCTTCTTTGAAAGAATACCTTCTTTAATTCGATTGGAATATTCGAACAAATAATCTTTTGGATTGAGAAATGAGATTTGATTTTTTGTATTTTCTTTACTTGGCTGTAAAAAATGAAAAAAATTTAATAGGGAAAGCATTCAAAGTTGTTGCGGACAATTTTGTTTTGCGGACAATCAGATTTCCCGAATTTCCGTTTAAAATTGTTCAATTTTTATGAGATTAATTCTGAGAACCAGATCAATCAAAAATGATTAATTTTAGGTCATCCTACACGAGGAAATGAAATAAAAAAATTTTGAGAAAAGATTTCGTGAGCAGACCAATGTATCGCGAGCCCAGTGTACCAGAGCTATAACTTCGTTCAAAGTGGGCGAATCCGGGATGATTCGATGCGTCTTGACGAGCTGAATCGAACAAAACTAGGTCGTCCCAGATTCGCCCACTTTGAACGAAGTTATAGCTCTGCGCAAGGGCGTATCCAGGGGGGGCTGGGGGGGCTAGAGCCCCCCCCGAAATGGGGGAAAGGGGGAAAAAATTAGGAGAAGGATGGTCGAAAAAGTGAAATTTTTTCGCCTACAACCCTCAAATTTAAAAAAATTTTCGCCTGCGGCGCAAAAAATGGAAGAAATCTGGCTTCTTGAGCTCCAAAATCCTCAAAATTTTTGCCTGCGGCGCTAAAAAGTGAACTTTTTTGGCCTACGGCCCTCTAAATTCCAAAAAATTTTCGCCTGCGGCGCTAAAAAAGGAAGAAATTTGTCTTAAGGATCCCGAAATTTTCCAAAATTTTTGCCTGCGGCGCTAAATAAGTGAATTTTTTTGCCTACGGCCTTCTAAAATTCAAAAAATTTTCGCCTGCGGCGCAGAAAAGATGAAAATTTATGTACAAAAAAATTTGCGTCCGGAACGCCAAGGTAAACGCCAAAAAGTTTTGCGCCCACCCAGTGTTAGCCCCCCCGAAACCGACCCCCTGGATACGCCCTTGGCTCTGCGGTACATTGGGGTGTACCCAGAGCTTTCATAAGCTCCCAAATTCCCGAATCTTTTGAAAATGTTCACAAAATCGATCCGCAAAATATGTCCGCAAAAGATTTGCAACTTTAAAAATTAAAAAAACTAACAAATTTATCAAATGGCGTAAAGAAAAAAAGATAGGCATCCTGCAAAATTGGGCACATTGTAAACTTGTAAATACTTGATTTAATGCCATTATGTCCAAACATTATCTTTTTTAAAAAAAATGGTACTACTGAAGATAAGGGTGCTATTTCTGCGGACTTATTTTGCGGACTTTTCCTTTCTTTCTTTTTTAATGTTTTGGTTGTTTTGCTTGTAGCGAGTTTTGCTTGTAGCAACTAACTGTCAAAGGATTAATTTTTATGCCAATTTGAAAAATATGTGTTCACCATTAATTTGAACATTATAAACGATGATAAATGAATTTCAACTATGAATTACTGATCTCGGAATGCTTCATAGAAAAAGAATATGTGATTGTGGATCAAAATGCGGGTAATTTCAAACCTTGTCCCCCCCCCCCTCCATTATTTTTATTACCTAAGATTGTACAAAATGGTCAGATTGTATAAAATGGTCTTTCCTATATTTGAGCTTGGCATATTCAAACAAGAGACATTGTTGATAAAGAGAAGATTAAAATTAATTGAGTTGTTCAATATTGAGTTCAATTTATTTTTTCAGTTGTTCAATATTTTTAAATATAAGTACGAAGTAATGTTTTTACACAGAAATGCATAATGTTATACACCAAATCAATTTTATTTAATTTTTTTTGTTTAACATCGTTTTCGGAGGCAAAAAATGAGTGTATGACTATAAAATTAATCTTCTCTTTATCATGTCTCGTTTGAATATGCCACAGGGCAAATAGAGGAAGGAGAGGAAGAAGAAAATCTGACCTTTGTGTACAATCTTAGGTAAGGAAAATATAATAATTGGGGGGAGGGCCTTTGACAGTTAGTAAACATTTAAAGGAAAGGAAAAGTCCGCAAAAAAAGTCCGCAGAAATAGCACCCTTATCTTCAGTAGTACCAAAAAAATTTATTAATTAAAAATTTACAAACAAAAACCTTAACTTTATTTGGTTCTTCTTTACTAATTAAAATAAAAAAGTCAATTGGAAAAGCACAACCAGGCACAAGTTCATTCCAATATTTAAAATCTTTGTCATTCCATTTATGTTTTAAAATAAATTCACAATCTTCTGGAGAAGTATTTTCTTTAGCTAATTCCCAAAAAAGTTCTTTGACTGGAAATGTTGTCAATCCAATATCTGGAAGTTTTTCTGAGTTGTTCTAAAAAATAATAAAATTTGATTAAAGGAAAGTGAAGTTTAATTGGGCATTTATTTATTACACCTCCCCCAGTCAATTTTTTGTTTAAGATCTACAAAATTCAATAATGAACCTGGCAGACCCCATCTCTTCCTCACCAACTTTTTCCTATATATCTACAGAATGATCAGACTTTCTCCTTTATTCCATCCAAATTGCCCTTTTATATTTTGCCAATCAAAAGGAATTAAATTTTATTCCCTTTTGGATAGAAGTAAGGAAAATTGAAGAAGTCTGACCATTCTGCAAATATATAGGAAGAAACTTGGGGAGGAAAAAATGGGGTCTGCCAGGTTCAATATTACCAAATTCAGAAATAGGACCAAAATGGTCAGCAAACTAGATATTCCCCAATAACTGCCTACTTCCTAATTTAAATATTTCTAGTAGAATGTGATAAAAACATCTCTCAACAAAAAAAAGCTTACATAAAAACACAAAACAAAATGAGCAAAGCTTCTACCAGAAAGAAGTTCACGAATTGAATATCTCGAAGTTGTCCATTCATTAGTCCCTGCTAATTTTGGAACGCCTTGAAATGTTGACTTTTCGAGCATTGAAAAATAAAATTTTTAATTAAATCTAAATCGGAGAAGGTCATCAATAAAAGTTTTATTAATTTATAAATTTTGAAACATAAAAAAATTTAAGAGTAAATTTTCGATAAACTCCAATAGGAAAAGTTTTTAGACCAAATTAACATTTTAGGTTGTGTAGACCAAATGGAATTTAGGTATTGTGAAAGATTGCTTTTGTTTTATTTCAAAATGTCAAAAATGGCGAAGAGAGTATTTAAGGCATTTTTGTCTTCAAACATTTTTTTCTTGGAAAGTTTTAGTTCTTTGGGAGAAAGTTGTGTGCTTATAATATTCTTGGGAAGTAGTTTAATTTAATCTTTACCTTGCAGTTTTTTGAATCGTTATTAAAAGCTAAAATTTTTATTTAAAAAATGTCAACTGTCAAGCCGCGTAGTGAAATGAGCCAGGTTTATATTTAAATTTCTTGTTTATAGATCCCCTCTTTAAAGGAAGAATTGGCTGCTAAAGAGCAAGAAGAATTTAACATTGGACCGCTCTCAGTTCTTACACATTCTGTTCGTAACCATGCGCAAGTTTTGATCAACTGCCGTAACAACAAGAAATTGCTTGGGCGAATTAAGGCTTTTGATCGGTAATTTTTCTTTTGTGGAAAATATTCTGGGGAATAATGTCTAAAAGTCACAATAACTTTCTAAACTTCGTTCTTTCAGTCATTGCAATATGGTTCTCGAAGATGTGAAAGAAATGTGGACAGAGCTGCCAAAGAAGGCCAAGGGCAAGAAGAAGTCGAAACCTGTGGCTCGTGACCGTTTCATTCCGAAATTGTTTGTTCGCGGCGACAGCGTCATTTTGGTAGTTTTAAAATTTTTATTTTTTAAACAAAAAAAACTTTTTAGGTTCTCAAAAATCCTTTGGCTCTTCCGGAAAATCCAACACAATAAAAGAAAAAATGGAAAGATTGAATTTCATGATATTTGTTTTTTATTCAAAAACAATTTAAATTTATTTTTGGTTAAAGTTTGGGTTATGTAATTATTGTATTTGTTTAAATTCAATTGATATTTTTTTTGTTAATTAAAATTTTGAAAAAAGATTTTCTTTTTATTCGATTTTTAAAAGTATTTTCTTTTTAATATTTTTTTGCTTGAATTTTATTTCAATTTAGGAAGATTTTTGACAGCTTTTTCTTGGACTCCATCTTACCCCATTCGAGAAGAATTCTTTCTCTTCTTTTTCCATTAGAGTAATTGTACTCAAAATGTTCACTTAAAAACCCCTTCACAGAATTTTATGCAGTGGTAATTTACTCAAATGGGTCAGAAATTAGTGTGGTAGCGGAAAATTGAGCAGGAAAATCAATAAATTTTTGTGTGCTGGTTTTCCCTTCTTTCATTCTCCTTTGCCATTGAAAAAATATTTTTTGTCAAAAAAAATTTAAAAATGAATATTCAAAGTACTTCAAATCCAGAAATTGTAGAAGTTAAAGTTTTTGCCAATGGAAATGTTAAAAAGGAAGTTAATGATGAAGATGGACAATTTTCTCAATTAGTTGATCAAATTTTGGAAAAAAATACTTTTGTTGAATTTAATTTTACTATAAGTTCTAAAGGGAGGGAATTGTTGAGAAGAGATGGTTTTGAATTTCGTTTTGAAGGTGACAGCAAAATTGAAGAAGGTAGGGAAGGATTTTTTTGGTTTAATTGAAGGATTTGTCTCCCTCCTTTGTGGATATTAGGGAAATTTTGTCGAGCTGGCACGAGCCCAGTGCTATTAAAATAGCATTTAGTAACATGGCCAACGTTGGCGTTGGTTCGACTTGCAAAAGCAACGTACTCATTGATCGGGGTTTGCCTTTGCCGACCCTACACATGTTTTATAGAGATGACCTCTGACCGTTTTGTCCCCTTCATTTTCTATAGTTCCCCATAGAAAGTGACACACAAATGAGCTTTTGAAGTCTAACGAAAGAGAATCTTTATAAAAGAGTGAAATTTTCAAAAATTTAAGGCACGGAAATATGGAGATGCGTACATCAACAGCCTTATTGTAAAGGCCGTATTCACGTAAAAAAAGATTTGTTGGTCCATGATGGCCAAAAATTTAAATTGGGAGTAGTAGTTAATGGAGAACACAATCACCCTGCAAAACACGAAGCTGTGAGGGATGCTTTAAATATTTTGAAGGAACAGGCTTGTATGGAAAATCCGCTCCCTGTTAGAGAAGCTGTTAAATTGGCACGGGAAAGTGTTCCTATTGATTTGAGAAAAGCAGGAGAATGTTCTACTGCTACAATGGGGAGGTGCTATAGAAATTATTTAAAGGTTTCTTTTTAGTGGTTTTTTGGGTAGAGGATTTAGGTTATTTTTTGTGACGTTGTTTTTGTTTTATTCGAGCTGGTCTGTAAGGGCTAATCTCTTTCTCAGGTCAGAAAGGAGTTATTCACTTGATTAGTTATCCTATATATTATAATAAAATGCGGACATAACGTCTTTATTAATTAATATTTGCCGTTACTTCGCTAATCTTAAAGCCTCACAGTAAGTTTCCATTGCATCGAATTCTGTGTCTTTAAATTTCCTGATTCTACAAAAATATCTCGTTTGCCTAAAAGAGCACATTCTCTTGATACACATTTTTACTATGATGTGTATCATTTTTACTATGAATTCTATTTTTGCTTAGAAATCATTTCCTAGAAATCTTTTCCTTCCACGTTTTCAACCAATTTTTTGTGTTCTCCCCTCTCCTTTATTTTTTTCTACTTCCCCATTCATCGTCTTAATTTCCCTCTAATTTTTTTAGAAATTTAAAAATCAAGCTATGGATATCAAAATTGATTTGGACTCTGAACCACCTCCATGTAAATCTTCTTGGTGGTATTGGTTTAGTAAACTTGATGAGAATTTGGCTGGATGTAAAAATTGTGATTGGGTAAAGAGCCGAGGAAATGGTTTATCTTTTTAAACAATTTTTAAAATTTTTAATTTTTCAGCTAAATCAACAAGTATTTTGCGCAGTCATTTAAAGTCTCGCCATCCAGATTTATTTGCTGAGAAACTTGAGGCTGATCAGAATTCTTCTAAATGGAAAGCGCCAAAGAGGAAAGCACCACAGGACACTAATTCTTTTGAAATTGCGGTGAAGTCGGTTTCTGAATGTTTGGAGCAAAGCAATCATTCTTTTGTGGCTATTGAGAGTCCTGCGCGTTCACAGGCTTCGCTTTCTGATGTTCATGACTGTAAGAAATTTTATAATATTTTATGAAATATGGGTAAATTTCGACTGAAAGTTTATGATTTTTGTTAAAAATAGTTGTCCAAGAACGGTTTTTTAGAATCTTGGGCTTGGGGTCTGACTAGAATTTCTCATAATTTTCAGCATTTTACATTGTGTTTCTCGATATTGTGAGTCAAATGCTTCCCTAGTTTCTAGGCTTCTATTCAGAATAGAATAAAATACCTCATTTAGAATATTACAAATCATTTTTGGTAAAATTGAACTTTATACCCTCCTTTCTTCCAATTGAAAAAATGGGCCCATTTTTTATATTTTACAATTTTTTTTTAGATAATTCTCTGTCTGATACTAATGAAGAAAAGCCTCCACCTATTTTCGATCAATCAACAGCCAAACAAGAAAATGGCCAATCTAATAATGAAAAAATTACTGATAGTAAGTGAATCTTTTTTTTAAACTAAAAATAAATTTTTTTATTTTTAAAGTGCTCAGAACTTTATTTAATCCAAATATTTATCCTTTGGATGATATTTTGGTTATGTCAGCTACTGGAATTAGCAACAACACAAATAATTCGACTGGACTTTTAACAGATAATCAATTAAACGAAAATCAACAAATTGTTAAATTGTCCCGTATTGAATATTTTTCGGCTGCTCATCGACTCAACAATCCAAAATTGAGTGTTCAAGAAAATAACCAATTATTTGGAAAATGTAATAATCCGAATGGGCATGGACACAATTACAAATTAAAAGTGGTTTTGGAAGGGCCAGTAAATGCTGAAACTGGAATGGTTTGGATATTTATTTTGTTTTAGATGAATATTTTTTAGAGATTAAATTTGGGGGAGATGTTTGTAAGTAAAACCTCGGGTTTTTAGTCCGTGTTAAGATTGTGGGTTAAATTTGTAAATTTTCTTTTTGGATAGCCTGTCTATATTCAAAATTGGGTCCACCTCAGAAGGTCAAATACAAATTTTGGACGGATTAAGAAGGATTTGCTAATTTTGATTACAGAAGGGCGACCCTTCTGGTCGACCTTGGTTGATCTCTTAATTATACTATCTAGTCAAATTATGAAAGGATTTTAACGTAATATATTTTTAAGAAAATTCAAAAAAGCCATTCCAACTTGTTTATTTTTAAAAAATTTTCTGTATAGCGAGGGAGGGGTAGAAGTTGGGTTTGTTTAATCCTTTCCTTCATAAGAATATTTTTTCGTATTTTAATGAAATTTGCTGATCTCACAATTAATTTTTTATGTAGGTTTACAACTTGTCGGATCTCAAACGTGAAATTTCTCAAGTGCTTGAACTTGTTGATCATAAAAATTTGGATAAAGATGTGGCTTATTTTAGGTTTTAATTTTTTTAAATATTCAAAAAAAAAAAAATCTCCATTTTTCTCTTCGATGAACTTCGTGTTCGAATGGGCAATCCGGAATTATTGAAAAAGGTTGTGGTTGATGAGACTGATAAGAATAGCTTCACTTATTCTGGTTAATTTAAATAATTTTATTTTTTTTGCTAATTTTGACTAAATTTTGATTTTATTTTGCCCGGAATTTTTTTTTCCATTTTGTGATTTTTTGGTTTTCTCGAAAATTGTAACAAAAGAGCTGGATTGGAATTTTTTAATTTTCTTGTTGGGGGTGGGGGTTTTAATCTATTTTAATTTTTGAGGAATTAAAGACCGGCCTGGATTTGGATTCAGACCTTGATTTTCTCTTAAGGTCAGGGGAATTTGGTCAAGGTCTCATTCAAAATCAAGAATTAATATTTTCCAAGATTTTTTTTAAATTTCCTATCTCTAGTAAGGAATAATTAATTCCAATCCAGTTCTAATCCCCCAAAAATAATTTTCAACTAAAACTGATTTTAATATTGTAATTAAATTCCAATTTTTGTTTAAAATATATAAAAAATGATTGATTGATATATATTTACACTTTGATAAAAATTTTCTAATTAATTTAGACTTTGCCTATTTATTGTCTAAATAACAAAAAAATTTTTTTTAGAAAATTTCATAATATTTTTAGAAAAATTTTATATTTAATGACGAAACGAAATTTTTTATAAATAAAAACGTTAAAATATTGGCAGATTAGAAAACACCGTTTTCCCTCATTCAATTTTCAACAATTCAACACACCCAAATTTATTGATAATACAATTCAAAATTAAAACCATCATGTATTTCATAGTCTTGGAGTGTAATGTGGTCCTTGTATGTTGTATACCATTTTTTCAAAACTAGCTTGTCTGCTCTAAAAAATTTAAATAATTTTTAAGAAAAAATTTTTAAATATTACCTAGTTCCAGTTTGTGCAGCAACTAATTTCTTTAAATCTCCAATTGTGTCGGTAGGGTTACATTTAATTCGAACTTTCTTTCCGAGCCTGTCATTTATTGTAATTTCAATCATTTTTATTTTCTAAAAATTAGAACAAATGTGCAGTAAACGGAAACTACAATTTTAAAAAGGAACTTTTGGTAAAATAAAATTTTACCATTTTGACATTCCTCCCTCGATAGCATTACAAAAAATCTAATAAAAATGATCGATTTATTTAATGCGCATTTTTTTTTTATTAATTTTTAATTAGTCAGCTTTTACGATTTTTATTTAATTTTTTTAAACTTTTATTAATCCATTTTAGATTTTAAGAAGTGAATGGTTTTAATTCAGGGCTCTCATCGACAAAATGCCACTCAAAAGTATCAAAATCTTGATAAAAAAGTATATAGGGAGAAAATTTCCAAATTTAAAGTATACTCCAAATTAAATTGGAAAATATTTATGCGTGCTCAAATCTTTTATATTTCTCTCTTAAATGAATCTTTTCTAATAATTTCTTGCTTCCACTGAGCATTTTGTGCATTTCAACGCATGACATGTCAAAATTCGCTGATACAAGAAATAAAGCCCTGACAGTCTTAACCTCAAGCAAATTACTTTCGTCCATTTTCAGCGCCGCAGCGATAATTTTGAGAATTTTAGAGCTCTAGAAGCCGGATTTCTCTCATTTTCAGCGCCGCAGGCGAAAATTTTTTGAAATTTGGAGCCCAAGAAGCTAGATTTCTTTCTTTTTCAGCGCCGCAGGCGAAAATTTTTTGAAATTTGGAGCCCAAGAAGCTAGATTTCTTTCTTTTTCAGCGCCGCAGGCGAAAATTTTTTGAAATTTGGAGCCCAAGAAGCTAGATTTCTTTCTTTTTCAGCGCCGCAGGCGAAAATTTTTTGAAATTTGGAGCCCAAGAAGCTAGATTTCTTTCTTTTTCAGCGCCGCAGGCGAAAATTTTTTGAAATTTGGAGCCCAAGAAGCTAGATTTCTTTCTTTTTCAGCGCCGCAGGCGAAAATTTTTTGAAATTTGGAGCCCAAGAAGCTAGATTTCTTTCTTTTTCAGCGCCGCAGGCGAAAATTTTTTGAAATTTGGAGCCCAAGAAGCTAGATTTCTTTCTTTTTCAGCGCCGCAGGCGAAAATTTTGAGAATTTCGAAGGCCCTAGGCTAAAAAAATTCACTTTTTTGCCCGATCCCTTCCCCAATTTCATTTTCAATCAAAAATGTTGATTTCAAAGTATATACTTTCAATAAAGTATAAATTCAATTTCTTAAGTATGGAGGTCGGTTTCAAAGTATAATACTTTCAAATAAAGCACGAATGAGAGCCCTGTTTTAATTAAACTTCAATTTTATTCGATATATATCAATTTTATCTGAAATTGTTTGAATGTATATGTGGTGTAGTGGTTTAAATCTCAGCTACTCAAGTTCACTTCCGATTGTTTTTTAATGGTTTGTTTTGTCAGTTAAATGCAAATTTGGAGAATTCAAAGACCTTGCGTCAATTTTATTTGCGTAAGCGTAACTCTTCTCCAAAATAATTAATCAGGTCTATTCGTTGCATAATTCATTCTAGAGTTATGTGGCTGCACAGACCTGAGACAAAGAAAATATTTTTCTTTTTTAAAATTATTTTTAATTTTAAGGCCGTGCGAGTGAACTGCCTGAAATTTTAAAATTGAAGACAATATTTGAAACAACCTTTTTCATTATAGATTTAATATTTTTGACTGTTTTTTCGTCGTTTTACGATTTATATATTTCTCTAACTTTGACTATTATTTTCAATTTTATTTAGAATTTTAACCTAGTTGATGGGCCAATCCGTTTCTCGGCTCTTTTCCCTTCTTAATACCTACTTACCAGCAAATCTACCTCTAATAGGAAGACAACAACGACGAAATGTTAACAATCCTGGAGTTGGTGGTGTAATTGTTGATGAACACATTGGCGATGAATTTAGTGGTAAAGGATGCACAAGTCAAGGAGGGGGAAATACTAGCTTCTTTGGCAATCATTTTCTAATGGGCGGGGAATTGTACGACACATCAAAGCAAGAAGTCTTTCTTTTTGGTGCTCAACAGGATCTTGAACTACTCGATGGTAGACCTGTAAAGGTTTGTATTTTTAATTTATTGTTAGTGGTTTGGTCCTGTCCGCATTTTTGTAGAGGAACTTTAAGTTTTTGGTTAGCCTAGGAACTAATAATAAGGAAATGTTTGACCGCCATTTTTTTGGTTTGGCCATTTATACTCTTGAAAGATTGACACAAAACAAAGTTTTTAGTTTGTCCATTAACTAAAATTTTTGACTACCCTGTTTTTTTGGCTTGCGCTCCCGGTTACATCTCCATTCTATTATTAACAATTCCCCTCTTCAACTTTACATCCATCTTTCGCGTCTAAAAATTACACCATTAAATAATATTTTTTTAGTTTCCTCATTGCCCAAAAGGTGTGACTGACTCTGTTAGTGTTCTAAATGCTTTGATTAATGTCCGCAGAGATTCTGTCAAATTTACAAAGTATTTTCTTTCAATTTTTATTTTTCTACTCATTTTTAATTTTAAAGAGTTGGAAGGTCAGGAGGTGGATATTCTTCAGGATTTTATCGTTTAGAATTTACTTTTGACTGTGATGTCCCTTGTTATGTACAAATTCATTTTTGTTCAAGAGAAGTTGTTGACGATTTTCAACAAATTCAGTAAATTCTTTTAAATTTTCTAAACCCTCCAATTTATTCAATTTTAGGTTTTTCTGTCGCCCAAATCAAAGGATTGACCCTTCAGAACGTTATCATTTCCCTGTTGGTTCAAATCAACAATTTAACCATTTTATATTTAAACCTCATCGTTATGATTTAAAATATATGCATTGGGATGGAACTTCTGCTTATTTTCCTGTTTTGATTGAAATGCGTTCTGTTTCTGATAAATTTCAAGAACAGGTTTTTTTTTAATTTTTGCTTAGGGTTTTGGCTAAAACCGAACACCATTCAAAATTTTTAAGGCATTTCTAGAACTCGACCTGGCAACTCTTCGGATGAGCTCCCCTTTTTGCAAGGGAAACAAAAAGAGGGGAGGGGGCGTCATCCGAAGAATTACCCCCGACCTTGTTGGTCCTCTTAAAAAACCCTTAAATCATAACCCAAAATTCGAAATTTAAAGTTATTTTTAAAGTTTCTACTATTTTAGACAACATTTGTACTTTTAGCCTTGGATCACTGTTTATAAATTCCTTTTTTAGGTCCAATCAACATTATGCTCAATAGAACGCTCAACAGATCAATCAGCCGCATTAATTCTCAAACCTCTAAAACAAAAATTATTTGCGAATGGAATTGTTTATTTACTTCAAGAAATTTTTGGAATTGAAAATAAAGAAAATGGTGAAAATAGTTTAATGGCTGAAGAAAATGGGGCAGAATGTATTATTTGTATGGTATGAAAAAATTAAATTTTTTTTTGATTTTATTAAAAAATTTTTCTAAATTAACAGGCAAATCCACGTGATACAATGATTTTGCCTTGTCGACATTTATGTATTTGTAATGGATGTGCAGAGACTTTAAGATATAAAGTTGGGAATTTTAATAATTTTTATTTTTATTTTCTCTCAATTTCAGTTAAATAATTGCCCAATTTGTCGTTCACCCTTCAAAGCTCTTTTAAAAATAAGAGCGATGCGGAGCAGTCTAATAGGACTTGGTTCTGATGGAATGTCTTCTACAATGAGAATTCGGTTAAAATTTTTTATAAAAAAATTTAATTTTAAAGAAATAATTTTAGTCTTAATTATTGTCTGTCCAAAACCCAATAATCATTTTAGTAATTTAAATTCCCATTTTCATTTAAAAAATTAAAGTAAAACGGGAAAACGGGGTTTTTAGACTAACCGAGAAGTTTGCACTATCCAAGACCTAACCTTGGTATTTTGGCAAGCATTAAACAAATTTTTAGTGGAAAATCTTGTTAGTCTTCACCAGAGTTGGGTCGGAATTCTGACTTTTGACTTTAGAGCCAGTTCCGATTTCCGGCTCTTCCGATTTCCGACACCTCTTACTGTTCCAACCCACCTCTGGTCTTCACCCAAAAATCCCCAAAAATTTTTAACTAATTAAAAAAAATTTTTCCCTTTTAAGACGTGAACCTTTAACTCTCTTTGAAGCAATTAATGGTCCTTTACAATCAACAAATACAGATATCTCTTCATTTATTTCTCCTCCTGCCCAGCAAATTTCAACAAAAGCTTCATTAATTGGAAATAAAGGGGATGTAATAACTACAAAAACAAATTTAGAAACAAAAAATTCAAAATTATTAACTTGTGGAGGGGGAGGAGGGTCTTTAAAAGTAAACCAAATTTCTGGTCAAAGAATGGCACCAAATAGAAATTTAATAAATAGTGGAAAGTCTTTGGGACAAATTGAATTAAATATTGAACATATTGAATTGGAAAATTTGGAAAAGGCTAAAAAGAAGGTAAATGATAATTATAGATTTTTAAGGAAAGTTTTTAGAGGAAATGGAGTAATCTTTAGGAAAGGATTTTTTGAAAACATAGGTATGAGAAAATTTCTTTTTTTGTTGGCACAAGTTGTAGATTCTCTTGTGTTGCTAAAAATTGAAAATTTTTTTTATTATTTATCTGGGCCATATCATATGGACTCGGTTACTTGACCATGGTCAAATCATTAACTGCAAGGACATAGTTAGCCTTACGATCGTCACCTATAAAACCGACGGTTGGTGGTATTTAACCAGCAACCACGTTCTTATGATACGGGCCTGGGAAAGAAAATGGCATGATTTCCCCCTCCCCCTCTTATCTTTTAATCAAAAAAAACTAATTTTATTTTTTAAAGTATTCACATGGAAGTAGCAACAGTTTTATTCAATATTCACCAGGCTCTAGTTCAATTATGCGACGTACTTCACATTCTCCAAGTACTGCTAGACGTTCTGTTTTACGAAAACCTTCACCACTTTTATCCCCAAAAGATTCCTCTTCTTCAACTAATAAAAAAGAAGAAAATTTATTAGAAAAAAATAAACTTTTATTAGCTAGTACTCCAAATTTAACAATAAAAATGGAAAATGAAGAAGAAAAAAATTGTTTTAATAATGTGAATGAACAAAAACAAAGAAACAACAAAAATGAAGATAAAAATGGACATAAAAAACAATTATCAGAACCGTGTACTTCTACTACTTTAACTGACAATTAAATTAAATATTTTGTGAAATTAACTAACAATAAGAAGAATACTTAAAAACTGCCAATTAATTTTTAGGGGAATTAGAAATGTAGAAAATTTATATTTAAAATTAATTTACTCAGAAATTAGAGGTTTAATATAGGAATAACCATTTATTGATAGAAATGAAACATTTCTTGATAACTTTCTAAGTATTTGAAATCTATATTAAATGATTTTCTGAGTGAGTTATAATTCTCTCACTTATCACACTTCCAATATATCACAAAATTAACTAACTCCATAAGAAAAAATTTTTTTTGTTATTTCAAAATGTGTGTTAAGTGAAAGATTCAAATGTATATTTGTTTCTCGTATATTGTCATCGGTATCACGACTTTTGCGCCGAGAACATTTGCGCCGCGACTTTTGCGCCGGGCGACTTATGCGCCGCGACATTTGCGCCGCCAATGTTTAAAAAATCCGGATCCGAAAAAGGCGGGATATCCTAACTTTTCAGTTCGGATATCGGATCCGGATATCCGAAGATTTCTAACTATCCGACAAATCTACTATAGTGATTTCCGGCTGAAGTTATTCATTTATTTTTAATGATAGTGGCGGCGCAAAAGTCGATCGGCGCAAATGTTCTCGGCGCAAAAGTCACGGAACCTTGTCATCTAACCTTATTAAGTTTGTTTTTCCTTTTAAGAAATTAAAATCTCATTTTAGAAATTTTCCAACTTTATTTGCATTATCTAATTAGTTTTAAATTTTTTTTGGAAGGGGATTTTTTTATTTTTTAGAAGTATATCGTGTTGTGATTTAAACGAAAATATTTTTGCTTTTAAAAAGATTTTGAATATTTTTGGAAAACAAAAAATATTTTCGTCCAAGTGCTCTTTCTCCACCAAATTTTGCATTTAATTTTCTTTTTTTGTATTTTTTTGTGAAAGGCGATAGAATTGTATTTATAATTAACACATAATATTGTAAAATAAATTGAAGGGTTTAAAAATTAAAATAAATTAAAAAAAGATTTTTTATAGGCAAAAAATAAATAAATAGGTAAATGTACAGAAAATTTTTAAGTATAAATCAGAAGATCTTTAATATATTTTTTTTAAAATAAATTCCTTCCTTCACCAAAAAATATTGTCTTTTTCACAACAAAATACAAGCACATGCCACTTGAGCGGCGGCATAACACACCGGAAAAACAGGACCAGTTGCACCACAAGCAGCAGCAGCCGCTGCCTGACAAGCTGGATAGGCTACAGGGCCAGCCAAAACAACTGCACAAGCGGCCTGAAAATTTAGAAAAATTTTTAATAGAGAATTTAAATTGCCTGAAACGCCGCATAGCAGGGACCAAAAAAGAAAAGAGTAGGAACACAAGCAGCGGCCGCGGCAGCTTGACAAGCCGCATAACAGGCCAAACCGCCTCCTGCTGAGTTGAATAAAAATGATGAGGCAAATAAAAAGAATAAAATAAATTTAATTTGGAAGAACATTTTTAATAAAAAAATTTGGCTGTTGATAATTAAGATTTTTTTTAGATTTTTTGTTCCTTAAAAGGAATAATGTAAAATTTAAGGCAATAATTCCACCACAAAATTAAGGGATTCTATCAATCAAAAAATAGAAATTATTGATAACGTCTGAAATTTTGCTTGTGAAGTTTGCATGTTTTTACAAGCATTTAGGGAACGTTTATTATAAGAAAAGGTAGCGGGGAATTAATCATGCCCTTAGTCAACAAAGGAAAATATTGGAACATTTTTTAGTTGCATTTATCAATAAATAAAAAAACTAAGTGTTAGGTCAGTGTGTACTGGACTGAATTAGTTGTTTTTATATAAGAATGAAGAAGAGGGAGGAGGGGCTATCTATTAGAATGTCAACTGTTTTTGTTTACAATTTTATAAAATGTCAATCTTCTGCGATTCGTGTGAAAGTATTAACTTTAGGGAATGTTTGGGGTACTTATTTTTGAATTTTATTAATTTTATTTTCTACCAATTTTTGCTCTATTAAATCAAAAAAGTAGTCATTTTCAACTCGTTCATTCACAGGCTGAAAGCCAAAAAAAGGATTACATATTAAATTTTAAGAGTTTTTTATAAAAGAGTATTAAAGCAAATTGTTTATAATTTAAATATGAAAATCAAATACCGTATTTTCTCGATTAATTCCCCTGGGGAATTATTTTTCCAACCCTTTCTTGGCATGGGGAATTAACCGAGGGAGGGGAATTAATCGAGTTTTGGCATTTGAACGTGCCAAAGCTCGAATAATTAATCATACCTTAGTCAATAAAGGATATTTGGGGGTGGGGAATTATTGTTTCAACCCAATTCTAGCCTGGGGAATTATTCGAGGGTAATTATTCGAGGGAGGGGAATTAGTCAAGAAAATACAGTATTATACATAGGTTTCTGTTTTAATTAGGATCGTTGACATTGGTTATTAACCGCTACCTTCATTTTTAATCCAAAATTAAAAAGTCAGTCTTCGTCTTTGAGTTTTAGTTAAATATCAGTTTTATTTTGGGGAAATTTTTCTAAAAATCATTAATTTAAAAAAAATTCGTTTTTAAATTTCATTAATACGGTTAATCTTTGGCAAAAAATATCAAAATTTTCAATTTTTTCTTTCAAATAACCAGTTGCTAGTTTAAAGTCAAATTAATCCCTTTTATTGTAAATCCTCTTCTTTATTCATTTTCCCAAAAAAATACAAGCACATGCCGCCTCCGCAGCAGCATAACAAAGTGGGTAGACAGGACCTGTAGCAGTGCACTCTGCTGTAGCTGCTGATAGACATGCTTCATAACTTGCTGGACCAGTTAAAATGACTTCACAAGCGGCCTGAAAATTTCAAAAAAATTTGAATTGCCATCTGTAGCAAGGCAGTGATGGGAAAGTCCCAGTTCCAGAAATGGAACCGGTTCCAAAGAAATTTTGGAACTTTCCCTTCACTAGTCACAAGTTATCCGAAACGCGATACCCTAAATCCGAACTATTTTTGACCCGAAACCCGATCCGAGAAAATTTTCAAAAAACCCTCCCAACCAGGGCTGTGCGTCATGGCGTTTGGCGTTTTGCGTTTTGGCGTTAATTTTGGCCGATTTTTGGCGTTTTGCGTTTGGCGTGATTTTCCGATTTTGGCGCGCCAAACGCCAAAAATATACACCCCTAATGATGGAATTTTTTTTAAATAAATGGAGAAAGGGATGATCGAAAAAGGAACTTTTTCTGCGTACAGTCATCCGAAATTCTCAAAATTTTCGCCTGCGGCGCAAAAAAATGAAGAAATCTACTGCTGGGACTTCCAAATTTATAAAATTTTCGCCTGCGGCGCTTAAAGGAGGAAGCCCCTATCTTAAACTAATAGATCCCTTTATATCCAAAGGGATCTGTCAGTCCCATTATCCCTTTATATCCAACTTAATCTCAAGGAGTTCTATGAATTTCTTATTTTTTTAATTTTTTAAAGGATGAATTTCGGCTTCTTTGCCTCCAAAATTTTTAAAAATTTCGCTCCGGCGGTAAAAAAAGGATGAATCCTGGCTTCTGGGAATCTTGAAAATTCAAAAAATTTCGCCTGCGGCGCTAAAATGAGATGAACAGTAGTTTTTAAGTCTTTATAGACTCTAAAAATTTTGGCGTTTGGCGTTTGGCGTTTTGGCGTTGATTTTGGCCGATTTTTGGCGTTTGGCGTTTGGCGTGTTTTTAAAATTTAAAAAATTGGCGTTTGGCGTTTGGCGCGCCACGCGAAAATTTTGGCGCACAGCCCTGCTCCCAACTTCTTTCTTAACCCGTGACATCCCTGGTCTGTATTAATTAACAGCCCAACTTTCACTTAACGGGAGACTGTTAAAATATGCTTTATGTTCTGCCCCCTTTCCTCCCTTCCAAAATTCCTATTCACCGTGGACAAAATTTTTTTAAAATATTTACATAAAAAGCAACATAACACGGGCCAAAATAAAAATAAGTTTGAGAACAAGCAACTGTAGCTGCAGCTTGACAAGTTGCAAAACACATAAACCCACATCCAGCCGAATTGAATAAAAATGATGAAGCGATTAATTGGAAGAAAATAAATTTAATTTGGAAGAACATTTTTATAAGAATTGGTTGCTGATGTTAACTAAGGCGATACAGGCAATCTCTCGTTATATCTCACTAATTTTCTCTAAAATTTAATTGAGACTATTCAAGGTTCTATTTAATACGGGGTCAAACCAAAAAACCTACACCCTAAAGACCTAGTGACCCAGAAGGCCTACAACTTTTGAAAGCGAATATCAAAAGAAAATATCTAATGATTTGGAGGGAATAAGGGGATATCGATGGATTTAGTGTGATTGAAGGGGATAGAGACACTAGAGTTATGGTGTACACACAAAATCAAAATACGGCACCATTTTAAGACATAAAAGTTTAATTAATTAAAGAAAAATTGAATATAAGGAGAAGAATAAGCTAGAACCTTATAGAGACAAATAAGGCGGGATATGATTAGAAATATAAGTATTTAAATAATGAGGGGAAATAGCGGTTAGGTAAAAAGGAATTTTTGAATTAATCGGTGAAGTAAAAAAGAAAAAAATGGGAAAATTGTTTTAGGGAAAATAAGGTAATAATTTAATAAATATTATGAATTGGAGGCAAATTTTTTTTAATGCAGAATCTACATATTTATTAAATTTTTTTTTGGTCCCGGGTCGGAACCGAAGGACCGGTACCGGAACCATCAAATTCTGGAACTTCCGGTTCCTACCGGAAGTTCCGGCGAAGCTCTAATACCTACCTAGTAATTAATATTATTAATTTTCTATCTCCTCTAAATCCATTTTCTCGAATTTAATTATTAAATTTCTGAGTTATATAACAAAAAAAAATTTATTTTTACAACTTTATTTATTTAGAAATTTACAAAAGTAACTTTTTCTTGCATATAAATACAAAGCTTTTTAAAATTAAAAAATCATTAAATAATTAAAAGAAATCAGTGAATGTGTGTAAATATTTCAGGAACTTTAAGTCCACTATGTATTGTAATTGTTGATTTACAATTGACACTAAAGGCTGGACAGTATAGACCTCGAGGCATGTTTCTGGAATTAAAACTTCATTAAAAAATTTTTTTATCAGATATTATTTAGATAGACCCTTTTAAATATCCAAATTATCTCATTAATAACTTTATGAAGGGTTCTAACAAATAAGGGTTCTTAAGGGTTCTAATTTTAAGGGTTCTTCTGCTATATACGTACAAGGGAACGAGTCGTCCTGATACCCGAAAATCGGGAATTTCATTTTCATGTCGTCTCGTTCCCTCTTCCTTGCTCTTCCTCGTTCCCTTCCCTGCTTCTCTTTCCTTACTCCCTGCTCTTCTTCCCTCCTAACTCGTTCCCCGTCATTGAGACAATTAGTAGCTCTCCGATTCTAAATGCCCTAATGATTATTCGCAAAACAAAAATTCTTTTCTTCGAGGCAAATACTAAATTAAAAGGCAAAACCAATTAGAATCCACTGCCTCAGATCATTAAAAATGTTCAGAAAATGACTGGGCCAAAAATGTCGTTTTACAAAAAATTTCCAATTTTCCTAGAATTTCTCTTTCAAATTTTTAAACCTACTTAAAAGCATCTATACAAATAGGCCTTTCATTTATTGCAAAACTAAGAGTTCCCCTATCACAGTCCATTAAAACTCCAATTAAGGAGTCACACACATTAACACCTCCACTCATTCTTCCATGGTGTGTATCGTTATGGAAAAACCTTTAAAAAATTTTCAAAAAATTTCAAAAAATTTTTCTTTCTACCAAGACCGTTCTCCATCTACATACATACTCCAACCATGTAAATCTTTACCTAAAAGAATATTTTTAAAAATTAATTTTTTAACCAAATAGCATCTCAATTACCAAGCATTGCATGTCTATTGACCGATGGTTGGGCTACTCCAATAACCTTTTGTTTTAAAAATTATTAGATTTTCAAATAAAAAATACAAACAATATCAGCATTTCCATCATATCTGTCCACACTAACCTCCCAATAATGAACTCCTTTTGAGAATGTTACTGTACCCAAAATTGTTCGATATTCCATACTCTAGGAGGGGAAAATTAAAAATTTTTAATTTTCGAAAGGTTGAGAGACTAAAAGAGAGAAGGCTTTGAATAGTATGGAGGGAATTTGTTAATCTAAAAATCAGAAGAGACAAGGTATTGTTCAAAAAGCTCAAAAATTTTCGAGATGACGATCCTCAGACTTAAAATTGAGCTAATTTATTATTAATTAGAAATAGGTAGCTTTCTTCGTTAAAAATATCTTTTAAAATAAAATTAAAGAATTACCGTTCCAGTAACTGTACAGCAATTATTAGATAACAACAATTCTGAATTAACTATTCCCCCAACACTTTGTGAACGTATTTCCCTCATAGTTTGTTGTTGTTCATTAGAATTTTCAGTTGAATTATCCTCACTAAGTTGAAACCAGGCAACTAGAAATTATTATTTTTATTAAAATTAGTATCTAATAGACTCCACAATATTAAATACAACTTCAAAGTGTGCGTCTATTAGAGAGTGTCTATCTATTAGAGTAAATAGGATATACTATTTAGGATATATCAGAACCTCTTCATTAGTGCTTCACTGGAACCGAAATTTCGACCGGACCAGAACCGGAACTTTTCTTAGTTCCGGCACGGAACCTTAAAAACACCGGAGCTTTCCGGAACCGGAACTTCCGGTGACTTTATATCCAACAGAACCTTTTTATTATTTTCATCAACCTTTCATCTTTATCCCGCATTCTCAAATATCCCACTCTCTAAATATTGCCTGAGGCAATTTCCGGGAAAAAACACTCCAAGACTTCACCTGGAGCAGTCTGCAAACAAATTTGTTCACTATAAGCACTCTCCCCTGCCGCATTAAAAGCTTTTAATCTCGCATTGTAAAAGGTATTGAAATGTAGACCATCAACAGAACAAGCATATTCTTGTCCACAATAAACTTCCTTTTTTTTTAATTTTTTGAAAAATTTTTTAAACAAAAAATACTTCAAAATTATCATCACCAGAGTCTAATTCAAGAACAGAACCTTCAATGGAAGCCCCATTTGGCTGACAAACCCAACTTAGGGTGACAGAATTATTTTCAGCAGAACATTCTTCAGCAAGAAATTGTGGGGGTAAAGGGGCTGAGAAAAGAGAAAATTAAAATTTTTTTGAAATTTTAAAGTGTAAGATAAAGGGCTAAATCTAACAACAAAACAAAAAAAACTCGAAAAAACTCGACTAAACACAGAAAAACACAAATATACCGCCATAAACTTCACTTTTAGATACACCTAAATTAATTAGAAGATGAGGGGTTGTCTAAGGGATACTTCCCATAACCCCTTCATTTTAAGGTAGGATTTTCTAGCTTCGAAAGGGTTATCTAAAAGTGAAGGAAGGTTCGATTGTTAATTAACTACACAAGACTTTTTTCATTCCACTAACCTTTATTGTTTGTTTCTTTACTGGTTTTATCTAATTTTAAAAAAATTTCAGAATTTTTTTCTTTATTAGTAGGAATCTGTATTCTTATTATTTAATAATTTCCATACTTAAATACCAGGAATGGACTCTCTTACGCTTTCCGAAAAGTCTGTTTATTTTTAAAATGCGACAGGACCATTCCTATGTCAACTAACGATATATGGAATTCTAACCCAGAAATTCGCTTTTTCCTCACCTTTAAGTTGCAAAAACTCCAATTGTTCTATAGCTGTTTTAACACTTAAAATATCCAAATCAAGTTGGAAATGTTCGTCAACTTCTGGACAATTTGTTTTTACTTCTCTATGCCAAAGAAATTCTTGATCAGTTACTCTATTTGCTAAGGCTGAGCCAACCTAAATAAATAAATATTTTTTAATTTTGAATTTTTGGCTCTATTTGGAAGAATAAAAAATTTATTTCAGATTTTTAAGATTTTGATTTTTTAATAAATTATTTCTTGTACTTAAACTCGAAATGTTATTTTAACAAAATTTATTTTTGCACAGGACAGGTGTTGTAGGCCAGCAATGTTATTCTTAGCCTTACAACTAGGGTTGGGTTTTTCGGACTGGCCGACACATTCGAGTTATTTTTATTGGATCAGACCGACCGAATCTTTTTCGGATCTACTATACAAATAATACATTCTAATAATACAAGCAAGTAATTAAGAGTAAGGTTGGCGGATCCAGATATCCGAAGATTTCCAACTATCCGCCAACCTTAACTAAGGGCCCTACCACTTCTCATACCAAAAAGAACCACAAATTTAAAAAGAACCCTTCCTTCCACATAAAAGCTATTTAACAAGAAATTTGCCTGTAAATAATCCAGAGGTTCCGGCTCTTTTAATATTTCAATACAAAATTGAATCAAAGCCCTTCCTTTCCCTAATTGTGCCGTTGACCGTCCAATTTGTTTTAAAAGTTGTAATTTTCTTCTTTCCTTTTCATTTTTAATATAATTAATTAATTGCTGTCTTCTTAAACGTAATAATTCTTCTAATTGGTCTAATTGACTTTCAACTCCACGTTGAAATTCACAACAATTCTCCTTTGAAAAAATAAAATTTTAAATAAACAGGATAATTTTTGGAATAAAAAAGTAGTCTCGGTCCCCAATTCTTTTTTATTTATCCTCAACAATTTTAAGAAAAATTTCCTGGAAAAGCTGCGATTTTCAACTTTCGAAGTTTTTTTCGTTTCTATTTTTGAAGATAATATGTTGTTTCGAAACAGTTTTGGTTTGCCAATAGTGGTCAATTTATAAGAAAAATGAAAAAAAGGTTTGATCCTGTTTAATAAAGTGGAAAAAGTAATTCAAAAGGGTCCTTTCTTAAATTTAGAGCCTTTAGTTTATTTATAATATCCCTAATCCCAATTTTCAATGGAAACAATACAAGAGTTCTAATAATAATTTTATTTATCTACATCAATTCGTGTTTGTAACCGTTTAAGTCCACCAATCTCTTCAGTAGCCTGTCGTACTTTAGCACCGAGAAGCTGGAGTGAATGAGATAATTCTGTCTAAAAATTTTATATTTGAACCAAAATTAATTCGAGAATTTTGATTTTTTGATATCTTATAGTGTATTTAATTCTCTATCTAAAGGTACCAAGAACATGAAGAAGTGACCCTCCCTTAATGAGTTATAGGGTCGAGACTGAACTGCTCCGGTAATATTTATATATTAAAAATACTCTAGAAAATTTTAAAATCCACATTAAATCTATTAATTTATTCTCATTCGAACAAAGCTTTAAATCAATCACTCATTTTCTTAATTGTCCATCCCATTTATTTTACAAATTTTGTAAAAAAACTTTAAAATATTTTTCCCTCCCATTTATTAAATTTACTCAAACGAAAATTTATTTAAAGAGAAAATCTTGTTGAGATTTTTAAATTGCCTTGGGGGATAAATTGGCCTAGAATATTCGCTTTAGTGCGCGCAATACTGTTGAAAATAAAAGAAATTTATTTTTAAAGTTTTTCCCTAAGGACTTGAAAATTTAAAATATTTAAAAAGAATTGTTGAGTGTTCGTTTAAAAATAAAAGGAATTATAATTAAATAAAGAATGTGTTGGAAATAAATTTAAATTATAATTGGGAAGAGTAAGGGAAGCACGCAACCGAAAAAAATTTTCCGCACCCACAATCCGTAAGTCAAAAAACACGCAATTTTACGCAATCCGCAACTGCATATAGCCCTGAAGGGAAGAGTTTACAAAAAAATTTTAAATTAATTTTCCTCCAAATCTTTGGAAATATAGAAATCCGGGAAATAGTAGAAGGTAAAGTCCGCAAAAAAATGATCACAGAAAAAGCTCCTAATTCTTCATTTTTTAAATAATTTTTTTTCATAATTTCTAGTCCCCTTAAAAGAAAAATTAATTAAATTCAATTTTATTTATTTAAAATCAGAATTTTTATCAGAAATTAAAATCAAAAGGAAAACTTTAAACACTTCACCTATTTAATACGCTTTTTATTCCCAACTTGACTCAAAACTTGTTCAAAGTTTTAACAAAAAAATTTTTTTTTCAAAAACCAAATTTCCCCTTTCCAATTTAACACAAAAATTTTCAACAACAAAAACTCAAAAAAATTAATAAATACATATATTCCTCTACTCAATTTCTTTTTACATTTTTAATGCCGTAAGTGATTTAACTATTCATTTTCTTATTTTCTCCTTTATTTCCAACAACATTTCCCCCCACAAATTGCTTTTTCTCTTTCATTTTTCTTGCCATTTTGGGTGGTCTTTTTATTTCTTTTTCTTCGAAATTTCAAAATCCTTGGCCTATTTCTAACATTTTTCAACATTTTTATTCCCCCCATAAAAACCAAATTTGGAAGTAAGCCAATAATGATGATGAAGAGTTGGAAATATTTTTGGAAATGAAGAAAGAGAGGAAAGTGGTGAAAATTAGAAAAAAAAGATTGTGGGGGGGGGGGGGGGGGGAGAGAGAGGGGTAATGTCAAAATATAGACTAAAAAATATATATACATCCATCATTCATCAATCATTTTGCGCGAGATTAGAAAGGTTATTATTATTATTTTGTTGGAAGGCTTAAAGACCTGCTGGTTTTTGGGTAATTCTTTGCCTTTTTTGATGAATGGATTAATAGAAATGTGTGAATTAAAAAATTATTTTTATATAACGGAAATAAAATAGAAATAGAGTTAGAAAGTCGGATACAATTTCCACTAGTGTTAGACACGGTTCGGTACTACTTAACAGTACTATCGTCAGTACCGGACCGGTACTTTTCGTTATTGCCAGTACCGGACTGGAAAATCCATTTGCCTAACACAAGTTTCCACCCCCATCGATTATCACAACCCGTCTCTAATGCTACGGTTACATAAAAATCGCGCGCGTCTTGCGACAGAAAAGATAATGTAAAAAGAGGAGAGAAAAGAGGAAAAAATTTTTGTCTCTTTTTTCTAGTGGTTACATAAAAAGCGTCTTCCGCCGGCGTCTTGTCGCCGGCGACACTTTTTTTAATTCAAACATGTTTGAATTTTTGGCGACAACTTTTAGCGTCTTGATCATTTCTCGGCCAATTCTGATCTAATTTTCAAAATTTAAAAAGATTCTGAAAGTTCTTTTTATTCTCTATCGATCAATATAAATTTTATATTTTTAAAGTTAAATCTTATGGGTTAAAATTGGTTTTGAAAAAGGTATACTTTTTGCAAAAAATATTCTTTTTTTTTCGATATTTTTGAGATTCTCAGTATCATAACTTTTTTATCAATCGGTCAAAAATTCTGATTTTTTGATATGTTGTAGAGCTTTTGATTCTCTATCAAATGATACCAAAAACATGAAAAAATGACCATTTCTTGATAAGTAGGGCTCGTCCCATATAGTTAGGGACAAAAAATTTGGGGAAAATCGAGGCTTTAAGACTTTTTGAGACTAATAAACATGACTAAGTTGACGATCAGTGATGGGAAGGTTCCAAAATTTCTCTGGAACTAGTTCCAGTTCCAGAACTAGGTTTTTTATTTTTGTAGTTCCAGTTTCGGAACTCCATTTTTAAAATTCCTTAGTTCCAGTTCTAGAACTTGTTCCAAGTTAGTTCCAAGACAGGACTTGTTCCAAGACAGCTCATTTTTAGAGCATTTTTTCTTTAAAAAATTTTTTCCTAAAACCCCGTACCCCGACCCGAACCCCGAGCATATTTTGCTCCCCCGACCCGAACCCCGCCCCGAAACAATTCGAAAACCCCGTACCCCGACATACCCGCCCCCGAGCGTTCGGGGTCAAACCCTAGTTTTACTATAAAACTCAGAAGTTTTATTACTGCTAAGCTAAAAAGGTCAAATTTTGATTAACATCGATGTCAAACAATAAAAATTTCCGGTACATTCAGGTCCTAATAGTTTGTGGTATCGAGTAAATTGGGCATTTTTTCTAAAATATATTGAAAATATCTCGTGTCTTGTGGCAAAATACGAGATACGAGACCTCTAAAAAACACGAGATTTCACGAGATACGAGAGGAGCGCCACCCCTGATCGGTACCATGGCAGAATAAAATGATTTGATTTTATAAATTTTATTTTAGTATGATAAATATTTAAAAAAATTTTTAATCGGATTTAGTGGTTACATAAAATCGCGCGCGTCTTGAGACAGACGCTCGGCGACAAGACGCGCGCGACAGTCGCTAGTGGCGTGGTTACATAAAATCAGCGTTTGTCGCTTTGCGACAGTCGCTTTTGCGGAAGACGCCGATTTTATGTAACCACACCACTAGCGACTGTCGCGCGCGTCTTGTCGCCGAGCGTCTGTCTCAAGACGCGCGCGATTTTTATGTAACCGTAGCATTAGTGTTATTCTTAGTCTTATTCTAGTGCTCCACATATTCGGCATTGGCCATATTCCTATTGTTCGCTACTATTGTATTTAGTATTGTAGATAAAGCACAGTTTGTTAGTTACTGTCTTATCTTGTGTTTATTCTTGTTAGTACGTCGACATACAAGTCACGTACATAACACACCTCCGCAGCAGCATAACAAAGTGGGTAGACAGGACCTGTAGCAGTGCACTCTGCTGTAGCTGCTGATAAACATGCTTCATAACTTAATGGACCAGTTAAAATGACTTCACAAGCGGCCTGAAAATTTCAAAAAATTTCGGGTTATCCGAAATACGATGCCCTAAACCGGTGCGACCCAAAACACGATCCGAGAAATTTTCAAAAACCCACCACACTTTTTCTCAACCCTTGACAGTTAATAGCCCAACTTTCACTTAACGGTAAAAATACTTTTTATGTTCTGCCCCTTTCCTCCTTCCAAAATTCCTATTCACTCCACTAAATTTTTCTAAATATTTACATAAAAAGCAACATAACACGGGCCGAAATAAAAATAAGTTTGAGAACAAGCAACTGTAGCAGCAGCTTGACAAGTTGCAAAGCACATAAACCAGGGCTCTCATTCGTACTTTATTTGAAAGTACAGTACTTTAAAATCGACCTCCGTACTTACAAAATTGAATTTGTACTTTATTGAAAGTATGTACTTTAAAATCAACATTTTGGATTGAAAATGAAATTAGGGAAGGATTGGGCAAAAAAGTGAATTTTTTTGGCCTACGGCCTTAGAAATTCTCAAAATTTTCGCCTGCGGCGCTGAAAAAGGAAGAAATCTAGCTTCTTGGGTCTAAATTTCAAAAAATTTTCGCCTGCGGCGCTGAAAAAGGAAGAAATATGGCTTAAGGAACTCCAAAATTCTCAAAATTTTCGCCTTCGGCGCTGAAAAAGGAAGAAATTTGGCTTCTTGGGTGCCAAATTTAAAAAATTTTCGTCTGCGGCGCTAAAAATGGAAAAAATCTGTCTTAAGAACCCCGAAATTTCCCAAAATTTTCGCCTGCGGCGTTGAAAATGGACGTAAGAAAGTAGCTTGCTTGAGGTTAAGACTGTCAGGGCTTTACCTCTTGTGACAGCGAATTTTGACATGGCGTGTATGAAATGCACAAAATGCTCAGTGGAAACAAGAGATTATTAGAAAAATTCATTTAGCAGAGAAATAGTATAAAAGATTTGAGGGCGAATAAATATTTTGTAATTTAATTTTGAGTGTCCTTTAAATTTGGAAATTTTGTCCCTATGTACTTTAAAATCGAGATTTTTGTACTCTTGATTAGTATTTTGTCGATGAGAGCCCTGACATAAACCCACATCCAGCCGAGTTGAATAAAAATGATGAAGCGATTAAAAAGAAGAAAATAAATTTAATTTGGAAGAACATTTTTATGTTAATACAGGCGATACAGTCTATCGTTATATCACACTAATTTTCTCTAAAATTTAATTGAGGCATATATTTAAGGTTCTATTTAAGATGGAATCAACCCAAAAAACCTACACACTAAAGACCTATTGACCTAGAAGACCTCCATATTTTGAAAGCGAATATCAAAAGAAAATATCTAGGGATTTGGAGGGAATAAAGGGATATCGATGGATTTAGTGTGATTGAAGGGGATAATCTCTACCAACTCAGAGTTATGGTATACACACAAAATCAAAATACGGCACCCTTTTTAAGACATAAAAGTTTATTTTAATTAAATAAAGATAAGTTCAGCATAAGGTCAAGAATAAGAATAAGCTAGAACCTTATATATAGACAAATAAGGCGGGATAAGATTAGAAATATAAGTACATATTTAAATAATGAGGTGGAATGGCGGTTAGGTTAAAAGGAATTTTTGAATTAATCGGTGAAGTAAAAAAGAAGAAAATGGGAAAATTGTTTTAGGGAAAATAAGGTAATAATTTAATAAATATTTGGAATTGGAGGCAAGTTTTTTTCAAATGCAGAATCTACATATTGATTAAAATTTTTTTTGGTCCCGGCCCGGAACCGGAACTGAAAGACCGGGAACGGAACCAAAAAATCCTGGAACTTCCGGACTACCTGAACCGGAACTCCCGGCGAAGCTCTAATACCTACCTAGTAATTAATATTATTAATTTTCTATCTCCTCTAAATTAATTTTCTCGAATTTAATTATTGAATTCCAGAGTTATGTATATAACAAAAAAATTTATTTTTACAACTTTATTTATTTAGAATTTTACAAAAGTAACTTTTTCTTGCATATAAATACAAAGCTTTTTAAAATTAAAAAAATCATTTAATAATTAAAATAAATCAGTGAATGTGTGTAAATATTTCTGGAACTTTAAGTCCACTATGTATTGTAATTGTTGATTTACAGTTGACACTAAAGGCTGGACAGTATAGACCTCGAGGCATGTTTCTGGAATTAAAAATTCTCATAATTTTTAAGTAAATATTTTCGAAGTAGCCCTTCTTAGATATTCAAATTTATATATATATCTCCAATTAAAGGACTATTAGAACCCGCTCCCTTAGGTCATCAAAAATTATCAGAAAATAACTGACTCAAGGATAATCTAGAAAATTTAAGAGATTTTCAATTTTCCAAAGATCTTGTCTAATATCTCAGAAGATCCCCGCAGTAGTTAGTCCAACCCCCGTGTCGCTGGGGGCAGAGGGGTCCGTGTAAATAATCTCTAATTAATTCCATGTAATTAGTCTACCAATTGAAGTCAACTTAAAGGCTTAGGGACATCCGGCACCATTCCTTCAATTTTTTTCCGGCACCATTCCCTCTGCCCCCAGCGACACGGGAGGGGTGAACTAACTACTCCCCTCAACATTTCAAATTTCCCTAAAACTTACTTAAAAGCATCTATACAAATAGGCCTTTCATTTATTGCAAAACTAAGAGTTCCCCTATCACAATCCATCAAAACTCCAATTAAAGAGTCACAAACATTAACACCTCCACTCATCCTTCCATGGTGTGTATCGTTATGGAAAAACCTTTAAAATGAAATTTTTTTGAATTACAAAAAATTTTCTTCTAACCAAGACCGTTCTCCATCAACATACATACTCCAACCATGTACATCTTTACCTAAAATTTTTAAAAATTAATTTTTTAACAAAAAGTATCTCTATTACCAAGCATTGCATGTCTATTCACCGATGGTTGGGCTACTCCAATTACCTTTTTATTTTAGAAATGATTAGATTTTTAAATAAAAAATACAAACAATATCAGCATTTCCATCATATCTGTCCACACTAACCTCCCAATAATGAACTCCTTTTGAGAATGTTACTGTACCCAAAATTGTTCGATATTCCATACTCTAGGGGAAAATAAATAAAAAATTTTAATTTTCGAAAGGTTGGGAGATTAAAAGAGAGAAGGCTTTGAATATTATGGAGGGAATTTGTTAATCTAAAAATCAGAAGAGACAAGGTATTGATCAAAAAGCTCGAAAATTTTCAAGATGTCGATCCTCAGACTTTTTGTTAGTTATAATTAGAAATAGGTAGCTTTCTTTGTTTAAATATCTTTTAGGATTTATTCAAAAAATGAGTACCGTTCCAGTAACTGTACAGCAATTATTCGATAACAACAATTCAGAATTAACTATTCCCCCAACACTTTGTGAACGTATTTCCCTCATAGTTTGTTGTTGTTCATTAGAATTTTCGGCTGAATTATCCTCGCTAAGTTGAAACCAAGCAACTAGAAATTGATATTTTTGTTTATCTAATAGACTCCACAATATTAAATACAACTTCAATATGAGCGTCTATTAGAGAGTGCCTATCTATTAGAATAAATAGGGTATATTAAGAGATACCAGAACCTCTTAATTAGTGTTTCAAACCGAAATTTTGACTGGAACCGGATCCAATTTGAGTTCCGGAACTGGAACTTTTCTTAGTTCCGGCCCGGAACCGGAACCAAAAAAATACCGGAACTTTCCGGAACCGGAACTTCCGGTGAAACTCTACTCTTTATATCCACACAGAACCTTCTATTATCTTTTTTAACCTTCTATCTATCCCACATTCTCAAATATCCTACTCTCTCTAAATATTGCCTGGAGGGGGGGGGGATAAAGACACAAAAACATCACCTGGAGCAGTCTGCAAACAAATTTGTTCACTATAAGTACTTTCCCCTGCCGCATTAAAAGCTTTTAATCTCGCATTGTAAAAAGTATTGAAATGTAGACCATCCACAGAACAAGCATATTCTTGTCCACAATAAACTTCCTTTTTTTGAATTTTTTGAAAAAATTTTTAAACAAAAAATACTTCAAAATTATCATCGCCAGAGTCTAATTCAAGAACAAAACCTTCAATAGAAGCCCCATTAGGCTGACAAACCCAACTTAGGGTGACAGAATTATTTTCGGCAGAACATTCTTCAGCAAGAAATTGTGGGGGTAAAGGGGCTGAGAAAAGAGAGAAAGAAAATTAAATTTTTGGTAATTTAAAAGAATAGGAGGTATGACTGTAACTGACTTTAATACAAAACAAAAAAAACTCGACTAAACACAAAAAAATAATACCATTATAAACTTCACTTTTAGATACACCTAAAATTGACTACAAGAGGAGGGGCTATCTAAGCGATACTTCCCATAACCACTTCATTTTAAGGTAGGATTTCTCCAGCTTCGAAAGGGTTATCTGAAAGTGAAGATTCTATTGTTAATTAACTACACAAGACATTTCATCCTTCCACTAACCTTTATTGCTTGTTTCTTTACTGTTTTTATCTAATTTTAATAAAATTTCCAGAATTTTTTCTTTATTAGTAGGAATCTGTATTCTTATTATTTAATAATTTCCATACTTAAATACCAGGAATGGACTCTCTTACCAGGGGTGTGCCGAAAGTGATTTTAAAAAGCGAAAGGCGAAAATGCGAAAGTCATTTCAAAAAGCGAACGGCGAAAGGCGAAAGACGAAATTTTTTAGTTTCCGCTATAAGTCTGAGATTCTTTGGTCAAATAATTCGAAAGCCTTGCTAAGTGTTCCAAATCTACAGATAACTTTCTTAAATCAATAAATCGGGGATATCAGAGGATTTGCAGGATTAAGAAGGATATCAAAAGAGTTGTACGAATATCGGGGATTTAAAGGACTTCTCCCTTCGTTGTCGTAAAAAGAGTCTGAGAGTCACATGCCGTCATTAGGGGTGTATAATAATTTCGCCTTTCGCCCGAAAAAGCGAACGGCGAAAGGCGAAAGACGAAAGGCGAAACTCGCACACCCCCGTCTCTTACGCCTTCCGAAAAGTCTGTTTATTTTTAAAATGCGACAGGACCATTCCTATGTCAACTAACGATATATGGAATTCTAACCTAGAAATTTTCTTTTTTCCTCACCTTTAAGTTGCAAAAACTCCAATTGTTCTATAGCTGTTTTAACATTTAAAATATCCAAATCAAGTTGGAAATGTTCATCAACTTCTGGACAATTTGTTTTTACTTCTCTGTGCCAAAGAAATTCTTGATCAGTTACTCTATTTGCTAAGGCTGAGCCAACCTAAATAAACATAAATGTTTTTTAATCTGAATTTTTGATTCTATCTGTAAGAAAATTTATTCCAGATTTTTTAACAAATTATTTCTTGTACTTAAAACTCGAGATTTTATTTTAGCAAAATTTGTTTTTGCACAGGACAGATGTTGTAGGCCAGCGAAGTTCTTCTTGGCCTTACAACTATGGTTAGGTTTTTCGGTCCGGGCCGACATTTGAGTAGTTTTTATTGGATCAGACCGACCGAATCTTTTTCGGATCTACTATACAATCCATATACATACATTCTAATAATAAAAGCAAGTAATTAAGGGTAAGGTTGGCGGATCCAGATATCCGGATCCAAAAAAAGGCCGGATATCCGAAAATTTCGGTTCGGATACCGAATCCAGATATCCGAAGATTTCCAACTATCCGCCAACCTTAACTAAGGGCCCTACCAATTCTCATACCAAAAAGAACCACAAAATATAAAAGGACCCTTCCTTCCACATAAAAACTATTTAACAAGAAATTTGCCTGTAAATAATCCAAAGGTTCCGGCTCTTTTAATATTTCAATACAAAATTGGATCAACGCCCTTCCTTTTCCCAATTGAGCAGTTGACCGCCCAATTTGTTTTAAAAGTTGCAATTTTCTTCTTTCCTTTTCATTTTTAATATAATTAATTAATTGTTGTCTTCTTAAACGTAATAATTCTTCTAATTGGTCTAATTGACTTTCAACTCCACGTTGAAATTCACAACAATTCTCCTTTGAAAAAAAAGAAAATTTAGAGAAAAATGGGATTTTATTTATTAATTTTTTAAATAAAAAAAGTAGTTTAGATTCCCCCATCTTTTTTTGTTCACCCTCAACAACTTAAGAGAAGGTTGCCAGCAGGGCTGTTCCGAAATTACGATTTTCACTTTCCCAAGCTTTTTTCTTTCGATTTTCGATATTTTTGAATTTTTTTCTTTAAATTTTCGAAGATTATTTTGTTTCAAAAAACAGCTATGGGCCAAAAATAGAGATCAAGTTATTAGAAGGAAAATGAAAAGGTGATTGTAATTTTATATTCCAAAGTTTCCCTTCTTCAAATTTTGTATATTTAGACTTTAGTAGTTAATTAATCTCTCAATCCCACTTTAATAATAATTTTATTATTATTTACTTACATCAATTCGAGTTTGTAACCGTTTAAGTCCACCAATTTCTTCGGTAGCCTGTCGTACTTTAGCACCGAGAAGTTGAAGGGAATGAGATAATTCTGTCTAAAAAATAAAAATTTGGTGTCTAACCCAAGATCAAAAAAAACAAAATTAATTAATTACGAGAATTTTTTCATTATCTTCCTCTCATTAACCTTTTTTCTTACATCTTTTACATTCTCCAAGCTAACGGAAAAAATTCTTGACCGACTGGTAAAAAAGTTAAGATGGATAAAATGCCGAAAAAACACCTTTTTGAATAAATTCAGCTTTTAAATTAGGTATCTTTTTTACCAACCAGACGAGAATTTTGATTTTCTGAAATCTTGTAGTGTATTTAATTCTCTATCTGTAGGTACCAAGAACATGGAGAAGTCAATTTAAATTTTATTTTTTTAAAATCAATCACTCATTTTTTAACTGACCATCCCTTTCTATTTTACAAATTCTGTAAAAAAACCTTAAAATATTCCTTCCCTCCCATTTATTAAAATTTACTCAAAAATAAAATTTATTTGAAGAGAAAATCTTGTTGAGATTTTTAAATTGCCTTGGGGGATGAATTGGCCTAGAATACTCGCTTTAGTGCGCGCAATACTGTTGAAAATAAAAGGAAATTTATTTTTAAAGTTTTTCCCTAAGGACTTGAAAATTTAAAATAATTAAAAAGGAATTGTTGAGTGTTCCTTTAAAAATAAAAAGCGAATGTAATTAAATAAAGAATTGGGTGGAAATAAATTAAAATTAATTTAGAGGGAGTAAGGGAAACAAAGCTGCACGCAACAGAAAAAAATTATCCACATCCACAATCCGCAAGCCTGAAGGGGAGAGTTTGCAAAAAATATTTAATTTAATTATCCTTCAATATTTTTGGAAAATAGAGGTTCCAAAAATTTTTTGTAAGGAAAAGTCCTCTAAAAATTTCCGCCTGGAAAAAGCCCCCAATTCTTCATTTTTTAAATAATTTTTGGCTCTATCTGAAATGAGGTGCGTAATCATATTTTTTCTCCGTCTTTTCACAAGGTAAAAAGGGTCATTTTTTTCTTAGTATTTAATTTGTGTTGTTTTGCCTTAAAGAAAAACAATGCAGGAGGACTAACTTTTTACATTTTCTTTTCTGTGCCTGTGTTGTCTGTCCGTGTTCGTCCTTGTTTGGTACGTGTATATGTCCGTCTTCGTCCGTGTTTTGTCTGTCCTTCGTCCGAGTTTTTCTGTCCGTGTTCTGTCTGTCCTTGCTCGTCCAAATTTTGTCTGTACATACACGTACCAAACAAGGACGAACTCGGACGAACACGGACAAACAACACGGGCAGAAAAGAAAATGTAAAAAGTTAGTCCTCCTGCATTATTTTTCCTTAAGGAAAAATCAACACAAATTAAATACTAAGAAAAAAATGACCCTTTTTACCTTGTGAACAGAAGGAGAAAAAATATGATTACGCACCTCATTTCAGATAGGGCCTAATTTTTCATAATTTCTTGTCCCCTTAAAAGAAAAATTGAATAAATTCAAGTTCATTTATTTAAAATCAGAATTTTTATAAGAACCTAAAATCAAAAGGAGAACTTTAAACACTTAACCTATTCAATACCCTTTTTATCCCAAATAATTTCCATGTTCTAACAGATGATTTAAAAAATTCCTTTAAAAACCCATATTTCCCTCTTTCCAATTTAACACAAAAATTTCAACAAAAAACCCCAAAAAATTAATAAATATATATTCTTCTACTCAATTTCATTTTACATTTTTAATGCCATAAGGGATTTAACTATTCATTTTCTTATTTCCTCCTTTATTTTTAACAACATTTCCCTCCACAAATTGCTTTTCTCTTTTATTTTTCTTGCCATTTTGGGTGGTCTTTTTATTTCTCTTTTCTTCGAAATTTCAAAATCCTCGGCCTATTTCTGACATTTTTCAACAATTTTATTTCTTAACCACCAAAATCCCCCATAAAAACCAAATAAGCCAATAATGATGATGATGAAGAGTTGGAAATATTTTTGGAAATGAAGAAAGAGAGAAAAGTGGTGAAAATTAGAAAAAAGATTGTGGGGGGGGGGGGGTGGAGGGGTAATGTCAAAATATAGACTAAAAAATACATCCATCCATCATTCATCAATCATTTTGCGCGAGATTAGAAAGGTTATTATTATTATTATTTTGTTGGAAGGCTTAAAGACCTGCTGGTTTTGGGTAATTCTTGCCTTTTTTTGATGAATGGATTAATAGAAATGTGTGAATAAAAAAAATTATTTTTATATAACGGAAATAAATAGTAGATAGAATTGAAATTCTGAATTACAATTTCCACCTCATTGGTTAGCCCAACCCGTCTCTAATTGAGACGGGTTGTATCAGAAGTTTGCTTAGAAATTAAAAATTATTGGTCGAAAGTCGGAAGTAAAAAAGTCGCCCGTCGGAATCTGATCACCCGCCGACCTCTTAATCAGTGTAAATAAACATATTTGGTCTAGGAATTTGTTTTAGAAAAATAAGGCAGACTAAACATTAGAAATTGCAAATTTTATCAACAACAAATTTTTCTAAAGATTCCCATTTTTCAATTTTTCTCAATATAATTTTTGTTCTTTTAATTTACAGAAATTTTAAAAATTTTTAAGTTAAACATTTTTCCAATTAAAAAAAATTTTTTCCAGTCTAAAATTACCCCAAAAAATGCAAAAAAATTTCAGGACGGCCACATACCCCCTCAAGGAAAGGATTATCCCCTAGAGAGGATAATCCCCCAATATTTTTCTTTGTAGCAAAAACTCTCGGTCATTTTGTCCTTTTTAACGTCTTTTTATTCGTTTTTTTATCTCGGACATAAAAAACTCCACAAAAATTCCCCCAAAACTTCCTTTCAATGTCCAACACCTTCAAAAGGTCATTTAATTCCCTTTTGGTTTTTTTACTCAAAATATTCTTCCAAAATTCTTCCAAAAACCAAATTTTATGACAGCAAAAAGTGGATAAAAAAGATGCAGCTGTTTGGCGGATACTTGGAGGTAGTATGTATGTAGTAGTTGACAAAAAATAGCCTCAACAATTTTCTTTTTCTATTAAATTATTGGGACAATTCGCAGACGGATTTTTCACCGAATTTTAGATGTTGAAGATTTCTTATTGAGCAGGCCTTTCTTGTGTCACGTTCTTCCTTAGGACAGCCAATGTATCATCAGAAGTATCTCCGGCAAATAAAATCTGAGTGTTTGTCCCCAAGTTTGTTATAGGGAAAAAATATTTTTTTCAAAGTCAATTCGGTGAAATGACCCTCCAATGACCCTCCACCCTCCAAGTCTTCCTTTCACCCCCTTCTCCATCCCCAAAGCAAAAATAAATCATTTTCGTGTCCGGTTAACTCATCTACTCGTTAACTCATCTACACGGCCAAAAACGTTCAACTCATCTAAACGGCTAAAATTCCTTAACTCATCTACACGGCCAAAAAGGGATCAACTCATCTAATCGTTAACTCATCTAATCGTTAACTCATCTACACGGCCAAAAAGGGTTAACTCATCTAATCGTTAACTCATCTAATCCTTAACTCATCTACACGGCCAAAAAGGGTCAACTCATCCAATCCGAAACGAGACTATTGAGTAACGGCCGTTTGAGTCTTTGGCCGTCTGAGTCTTTGGCCGTCTGAGTCTCCGGCCGTCTGAGTCTCTGGCCGTTTGAGTCTCTGGCCGTTTGAGTCTCTGGCCGTTTGAGTGGTAAGTTGAGTCCATGGGTAAGTTGAGTCCATGACCAGTTGAGTTCATGGGCAGTTGAGTCCATGACCAGTTGAGTCCATGGCCAGTTGAGTCCATGACCAGTTGAGTCCATGACCAGTTGAGTCCATGGCCAGTTGAGTCCATGACCAGTTGAGTCCATGGGCAGTTGAGTCCATGACCAGTTGAGTCCTTAGGACAGCCAATGTATCATCAGAAGTATCTCCGGCAAATAAAATCTGAGTGTTTGTCCCCAAGTTTGTTATAGGGAAAAAATATTTTTTTCAAAGTCAATTCGGTGAAATGACCCTCCAATGACCCTCCACCCTCCAAGTCTTCCTTTCACCCCCTTCTCCATCCCCAAAGCAAAAATAAATCATTTTCGTGTCCGGTTAACTCATCTACTCGTTAACTCATCTACACGGCCAAAAACGTTCAACTCATCTAAACGGCTAAAATTCCTTAACTCATCTACACGGCCAAAAAGGGATCAACTCATCTAATCGTTAACTCATCTAATCGTTAACTCATCTACACGGCCAAAAAGGGTTAACTCATCTAATCGTTAACTCATCTAATCCTTAACTCATCTACACGGCCAAAAAGGGTCAACTCATCCAATCCGAAACGAGACTATTGAGTAACGGCCGTTTGAGTCTTTGGCCGTCTGAGTCTTTGGCCGTCTGAGTCTCTGGCCGTTTGAGTCTCTGGCCGTTTGAGTCTCTGGCCGTTTGAGTGGTAAGTTGAGTCCATGGGTAAGTTGAGTCCATGACCAGTTGAGTTCATGGGCAGTTGAGTCCATGACCAGTTGAGTCCATGGCCAGTTGAGTCCATGACCAGTTGAGTCCATGACCAGTTGAGTCCATGGCCAGTTGAGTCCATGACCAGTTGAGTCCATGGGCAGTTGAGTCCATGACCAGTTGAGTCCATGACCAGTTGAGTCCATGGCCAGTTGAGTCCATGACCAGTTGAGTCTCAACCGGCGGTACTCTACTGGCCATGGACTCAAACGGCCGGTACTCAATAGTCTAGTTCCGAAGGATTGGATGAGTTGACCCTTTTTGGCCGTGTAGATGAGTTAAGGATTAGATGAGTTAACGATTAGATGAGTTAACCCTTTTTGGCCGTGTAGATGAGTTAAGGATTAGATGAGTTAACGATTAGATGAGTTAACCCTTTTTGGCCGAGTAGATGAGTTAACGAATAGATGAGTTAACGATTAGATGAGTTGTATAGGAGCCATCATTTTTGGGTTAACAAATAAAAACGTGTGTTGTTTTGTTGTTGTCAACCACTGCTAGGACAATTTCTTCCCCTTGTTTTTCTCTTTTTCTAATTTATTGTCCAAGAGGTTATTTGCCAGAAATGACCAATTCATCAATTTTATGCGCGTCAGAAAAAAGAAAAAAAAGTTTAAAAAAAACTTTTTGTAATAAAAATAATTTAAAAAAAGATGATTAATTAGTTTATTTTATTATAAATTCTTCAAAACAAAATTCCAAACCAATCAAAAATAAACTTTAAAATAAAATAGGTAGGTATGTCTTCCTCCAACTCTTTTAATTTTTAAACTAAGGATAAATTTAATTTAATTTTAATTATTTTAAAAATATTTTTTAATCCGTATTTTACCGTTTAACTACCCTGTTACCCCTCTAGTAAGAAGAAAAAATAATTCCCTACATTAAATACCCTCCAACACGTTATAATCTCAAAACAATAATAATTGCCCGTTCTCGATTAATTACTTCACATAGCAAGAGATCGAAAATGTAAGTACCCAAGGTAATTATTTAAGAAAGTATTTTGGAAAGTTAAAATTTAAATTTTATAAATATCTAAAATTTTTGGCGTGCTGCAAAAAATTTGCTTGTGCACACTCAAAAAGTGTAATATCCCCCTATCATTGCTTTATTTAAAGATTTATTGAAAGAAAAATTGTGGTAAACGAGAGGGAAAAGGAAAGGTATTTTGACCACCCGCGGCGAGATCCCAAAAAAAGAAAAAAAAGATTAAAAACAAAAAAAAAAGAAGGGCCAAGGACAAAAAAAAAGTTTTTTTTTCTGAAGGTTTTAAAATTCTTTGAAAGGATATTATTAAGGAACGAGAAAAAGGATGTGTGTGCCCTCTTATTAAATATTTATTTTTTTAAATAAATTCTTTTGATTTTTTGACATTTTTTGAGTCAAAAAAATTTTTTTTTCGAGGATTTTCTTAAGAAGAAGAATAATCCCTTCTTGATTGAAGGGGTGACTAACACTTAAACAAAAAAAAACAAAAAAATTTTTTATAAGGATCTCTGGTCCTTCTCCTCCTCAAAAAATTTTTTTAAATTTTTTTCTTCTCCTAATTCAGACAAAAAAATATTTATTTTCATTATTCAACACACATTTAATCCCCTCAATTTCTTAATATAATGTTCACATATATATAAATTGTCTTGTGGTGGTTGAGTAATGTTTTTGGTGTTAGAATAAATTTATTTTTTATTAGAAAGTATTGAGAGGCTTATAGAGGAGGGAATTAATATATTTGTATTTTAAAATTGGTGACAATAAACAATAAAAATGTGAAAGAATTTTTATATTGTTTATTTTTGTGCAGGTGTTAAAAATAAATAAAAAGAGGAAAGAATGCGCGGAGGAAAATAAAAAAAAGTCAAACCATTAAAAATATGGAGAGTTTAGAGGGGGATATACTTAGAGTTACTTTCAGACAGTCTAAAAATATTATCAGAGATTTTTAGACTTAAATTGGTTAAATAAATAAAATCGGGTAGGTATTTAGTATGGTTATAAGGACACCAAAAGACCACTCAGCTTAACGACATTTTACTGTTAAAATAAAATCTTGGAAGGTCCCCCCTAGAGGAAATGTGGATTATTAGGAACTTAAACATTTCTCATTTTTACTAAACTTGAAAAAATTGGAGAAAAACTTGGAAATAATATAAAAAGTTGCAGGTTGAAGAAATGAAACAGACAAATTGAGAATAAAACGGGGAATCCGGGATTCCAATAGGAGAACTTTCCCCAGACTTACTTCGAACTCTAAGAGACACTATAATTTAAACTCATCCTCCATACCTAATTTCCCCGCAAACTTCTTTCCATTTTTCCTCATATTTTTTGAAATTTTCTTTTAAAATTAAATATTTAAATTTTTTCCAGAACATCTTCCTCTCTCTCCCTTCTTTTTTCCTTTAAAATTAATTTCCAATCCACTAACTAAATTTCCATTATTCTGCTTCAACGCCTTTTATTTTTACATTAAAAAAGAATAAAATCAAAGGCCTCAATCTCGTTAATGATTGGCTTAGGCGCGAATAAAATAAATATTATTAAATTATAAAAAGGGAAGAAAGAACCGTTTTTGTGTGCCAAAAAAGAAGGAAAAGACTCAAAACAATCAGCCGACAAACACAAAGTCGAGAAACAATTTCCCCCTTCTTTCCCCCCCCCCCCTTTCCCCTCTCCCCTCCCTTTGATTTATGTTTAGGAAAAAATGCGCACAGATGTTAACCCTTTAAATTTTGATGGAAAATAGGAGGAGAAAGAGAGATTATAGTTGAAGGAATTATTTTGAAGGAACGGATGGAAAGAAAAAATCAAAAACAAAGGAAGATATTGAAGAAGAACAGATTGTTTTATGAATTTTTAAAGCTTTAAACTTTTCTTTTTTTACTATGCAAATTTTTTTGATTTATTAGTTTTTGATTTAAACAAAGAAAATAGAAAAAACAAAATTTTAAAAATAAATTTAAAAAAGCGAACTCAGGGCGAGTGTGTGATATTATTATCAAAGAATATCTCAAAAAACACTAAACTCATCATCACAGTCCGCGAGAGTCAAGAACACTACCGACTTAACCAACCCCTCCTGAACTTGATTTAAACAAAAAAAAGTTAAATATATATCAGAAAGTCATTTTCTATGCAAATTTTTTTAGATTTATTTTTATTTAATTTGAACCAAAACTAAAAGAAAAAAATAGAAAATTTTGTATAGAAATTTTTTTGAGAATAAAGAAAAAAGCGAACTCAGTGCGAGGGCAATATTGTTCTCAGAGAGCCTCATAAAATGCAATCATCATAGTTCGCGGCAGGCAAGAACACTACCGACTTAACCATCCTGCCCGTAAACATAACAAAACTTATGACTTAAATATAAAACAGTATGTATATAACAGTAAAGTGACAGTAATGTCAAGAAATGTCAAAAAAGTAATATCAAAAGCCTTTGGATTGGAAAAAATCCAAATTTTGGATACTCGGATCTAGATCGGTCAATCAAAAAATTAATAACAAAACTAGAGACCGGCGCGGGACGGGATCCCGACGGGATTTTCCGGGATCCCGATCGCGAATTGATTTTCGGGATTTTTGAAATTTGGGGTTTTTTCGGGATTAATCCCTCGGGATCCCGTCCCGGCATCTTTTAAAAAATCCTGACTCGGGATCCCGGAAGTGCGATTTTGCCGATCTCTAATCAAAACACTGCATGTTCCAAAACATCGATCTTTAAGCGTGTAAAATAATTGCGTTTTTTTATTTACCCTTTCAGCGACTCATTTAAAAATAAAAGGACCGGGGCTTATATTAAAATAATTAAATTAACGTTTAAAAGCCAGTCTTTTTAATCTCAAAAAATCAAAAACCAGCCTTATGTGCCTTAGCAGCCAAATGTATTGGTTGAACAGGATGCCCAGAATGTCTCATTCCATTAGTACAAACATTACAAATTGCCTGTCTACACAAAGAACAATATAAATTCAATTCTTGTTCAGCATGCAATGAACATTTGGCAAGTGAAGAAGGGAAGGAATATTGTGAATTAATTAAGGAAGTTGAGGCACTTGGAGAAGACAAATCGAATTGGGAGGATTTGAAACGTCTAAAAATGAGAGTGGAATGAGGGGGAAAGAAATTTGAAATATTTTCTACCTAAATTGTTCTGACGGCACAAGTTGATGGAATTTTAATGGCCCTCTAGGTGGATGTAAAGCTGCTTGACAATCTTCACAATAAAAATAACCACAAGTTCCGCAATGGAATTTTGATGGGAGAGCACCCAATGGATTTTCACACCACTAAAAACATGAGTCTATATTTTATCACTTGTTAATCATTGACTGATCCCCTGTGATTATCAAGAGTTTTAATTTCGAAGAGCTCGAAACGGTCAATAGAAATAGGGAGGACTTGTTTATATGGGAGAGGAGGGGGGCATAAATAAAACTAAGAGGCCGGGAGAGGCTCCTTCATCTACTTCCTAACGAGACGGCCAACAGGGAGAGAAGGGAAGCCTTGTTTCTAAGAGAGGGGGAGAGAGGGGGGGGGGGGGTATAAATTAAATCAACAGGCCGGGAGAGGCTCCTTCCTCTACTTCCTGAAAATTCTCTCAGTTTCCCGAGCTTGAGTCCTCTCACAACTTCAAAATAAAAAAAATTTTGCCTGGCATTCAGGTACAGGTTCAACTACAGTATTATTCGTTGTAGTTATTTTCCCTTCTTCAGCAGGAATCGTCGCCTGTTTTTGTTGCAAATATTTAACTAATAATCTAGCAATTGTTGCATTTTCTGGTAATCGTCTAATGGCATCTTCTTCATCGGCAAAATATGCTGGTTTGTGACAAACTAGGCATTGAAGTAAAAATGTTGTACTGGCAGAAGATGGAGAAAGAATTGAACAGGGAAGTGGAGGGAGAGGGCGAGGAAGGTGATGACCGGTTGTTGAAAGGAAACTGTTTGGACGAGAGCCTGATTGTTTAAAAAAATAAGGGGAAATTTTATAAAAATAATTTTGAGGATGACATTTGGTCCCATCTAGCGGAAAAAGGTTTTTTCAAATTTTTCCACTTTTTATTTTATAATTAAATACAAAAATCAGTCTTTTAGCTCATTTTCTCTTCAAAATTTCCCTTTCTTCTCCTTTAAAAGACTACCAACCACTTCCTTTCTGCTTATCAGTTTTTAACTTTTCCCATCCTTTGATTTATCCGAATTAATTAATAAATGTGGGAAATTTTTTTAGAAAAAGCGCACCAACTGCCACAGCACGGAACACTCCACCACCAAACCCAGAGTCGGCTGAGTCACTAAGAAGTGACAGTTTGTCCAATTTATCGTCTGGTGCGGAGGAGTGATCACCCTCATCACAACATGACGGGGCTAATGAGAGAGTGTCAGAAGCACCTGAGAAAATAATGGGAATTTTTAAAAATGAAAAATATAGAAAAATTTTGAAAATTTTTCTGAAATTTTTTTTGAAATTTTTCAAAAAAAAATTTTTCAAGCTTCCCAACATGAGCTTGAAGGCGCTGAAGATGAAGAAGAAAAGGAAGGAACTATAGAACTGCTGCATAAATTAGGTTGTGGCAGAGGAGGAAGAGAGGGCAACAATAACCCTTCATTTCTCCTTTGTTGTTTCAATAGAAGAACACAATCACGGCAATAACTATGTCCACAAGGGAGAAGAACGGGTTGGCGAAGAAAGTGACGACATTGGGGGCATTTTAATTCTTCTTCCATTTTTATTTAACTTCTGAAAATAATTCTAGAAATTTTGTAAATAAAGAAAAAAAATTTTTTTGAGGGAAGAGGGGTATATTAGTTTAGAACAGGGTAGAACTCCGAGCCTTAGGGGGGGGGGGGGGGCGGAAGTGTCGGGTTTCGGGGTTTGCCGAGTAGAGCCCTCGGGGTACAGGTCGGGGTTTTTGCTTAAAAATTCGTCGGGGGACGAGGTGCACCCTATTTTAGAAGATACAAAAAATAATTTTTTAAGTATTTAATTATTTTAGAATAATTTAGAGAACAAATCTAGCTAAAAATTAAATTAAATAATATTTAATTCTGATCATATTTATATTTTAAATTTGGAAAGATTTGAGAAGAAACTTGTTAAAATCTGTTAGATTTAAAAAATAAAACTTCTGGCTAAGTCCAATACACAAACAAAAATATTAAAAGAAAATGGGAGAGATCAAAGAGATTTTTTGAAGATTAAAAAAAGGCTTGAGAACAAAGAAAAAAAATTTTTTCCCAAAAAAATTTAAAGGAACACACATTTTTTGATAATTTTGAAGAAAGTCGGAAAACAAAAAATTAAAAAATTAAATTAATTTTTAAAAATAAAGGAAACCGTAAATAAATATTTATGTATTTATAAAAATATCTTAAAAACACACATTTGTGCTTACCCCAAAAATCAGAAAAAAATAAATAAAATTTATTTTTTATTTTTTTTGGACATTATTTTTGTATAATAACACAAATTCTTTTTACATAAAAAAGTCAATTAATCATTGAAAGGGAAGAAAAAATAAAAAAAAAAGAAAAAAGGTAATAAGTAGCCCTTAAAAGAGTCGAGAGTGGACTAACTAGAAACACTAAAAACAATCCCTTCTCTCCTTTTTATTTTGCCAGCTGCTTTTTGAGGTAATCTACATAGTATATAATTTTATATTTATTTTTAAGGAAAAGTAAAAGAAAAAAAAGATTTTTTAGAAGAAAAGTTTCTTTGGCAATTGTGTGTTTGTTTTGTTAGTTTTATTTATTTATTAAGGGAAAAAATAAAAGTAATTTTTGCGCCAAACAAAAAAATGAAAGGAATGTTTGTTGTGTTTATTGAAGCATATAATTGGGCTTCTAAAAACTGCCTAAAAGAAGAAAGAAGGGAATATCATCACGTTGGGCAATGGTCAGTGTTTGGCAATAATTGGGGGAAGGAATAATAAAAGTGTTTTTTATTAAAAAAAAATAAATAATAAAAAAAATAAAAATGAAGAAAAATAGTAAAAAGATTTGAGGATTTGTGAAAAAATGGGAGATTGAAGCAAAAGCAAAAAAATATTTGGAAAATTCGGCAGGAGGAAAGAAAATGATGATCAAATTTAAAGCAAAACTGAAGCAGTCAATAAAAATGAAACAAATCAGAAATGGTCGGGGGTGCTCGAAATCACTCCCAACATGTTCTTAATCTCTGAAACAAATAAATAAAATGAAAATAACTAAAGCAAAGTTATTAAAAAAATTAGTAAAAGTTTAAAAAAATTTAAATGAAGCAAAGGATAAATAAAATGAAGCAAGGCCGAGAATTAGGGTCGAGGGCCCGGCCTGGTTTGGTTCGACAGTTCGAACCGGGCCTCGAATTTTGGCCCGAAAAAAGACTCGAACGTAGACCCGGTTTGAAAAATCCAACCCTAATAATAATTAAGCCTTAAAATGAAAATAAAAAAATATATAGTAAAGCGGTTGGTCCCATTCCCCAGTCTTACAATATGGAAACCCGGCCTTACAATATGGAGAAAGTGAAGCAAAAATATTTAAAAAAATAAAAATTCCCCAAAAAACTATATATTAAGCATGCGAATTAGTTATTTGATAGAGGAGAATATTGTGAGGCTATTTAGAAGAATGTCGCGGCCAATTTGTTTTTTATAAAATTAAAAAAAGTGATGGTGCAAAGTGGAGGAGGCAAAGGATGAGGATGAAAGCAAAGTGGAAAAGAATTGGACAATAGAAAAATTTTTTGAGTGATTTTTAGAGTTTTAAAGTATTTTAAAGAAAGGCAAGTTTTAAAGAGTCCATCAGCGGGTGATTTAACAAAATTGAAATTTGAAACTTTTTTTTAAAAAAAATTGACCGAAGCAAAGTTGCTAACCTTTTGAAAAACAAATATTATGGGAGGTCTTTCAAAAAAATTTTTTTTTCAAAAAATAAACAAAGAAATAGGCAAAATTTTGATTTAAAAGTTGAAAAAAAAGAAGAAAATCTGTGAGCGGAAATGTATCCTCTCACCTACCTACAAAGATTCTTGTTTAGAAGGGGAAAATATTAAATGTTATAGAATGGACAAGCCGTGAGTTTTTGAGAGAGAAAGGGACAATGAATAAAGAGACCAACGGGTATCGAGGCCAAGGGCGAAATGGACAAGTGGCCCTCCCTCCCCCTCCCCCTCCCCCTTCCCCTCCCTCCCCTCCTCCCTCCTTTTTATTTTCCTACTCTCGCCCTTCCTTTTGCACGTTTAACCCTTTTTTATTTTTATTTGTTATTGCCCCGCCCAGTGCCGTTGGAGTCGGAGAAAAATTGAAAGTACAGACTTTAATGAACAAAAATTTTATAATAAAAATGAGGAAAGGCACGAACATTATTATTTCATTGAACTATGTAAAGCTAGTAATGAGGGAAATGTCCAGTAATGAGGGAAAGGTACAGGCAAGAGTGTCTTTAATGTGACATCGAGAGAATTTGTAATTATTAATGCCTTATAAAAAATAAAAAATAGGAGGAACAAAATATGAAAATAATAAATATATGGAGGAGGATATGTTCAGGAAACTAAAGGAAAAAAATAATTTTTTTTATTAAAAAAATAAAAAAAATTTAAAAATTAATTAAATGATAGGTCTAAAAGTTAAATTAAATTAATTTAAAAATAACGAGTTAATTAAAAAATTAAAAAGACAATAAAAATTATTATCTAAATGCAAAATTTTGGTAATAATTTTTTTATTAAAAAGATTTTTAACGATTGCAATAAAAATTTTTAAAAATATTTTTATGAAGGTCGAAAATCTTTATGAGCTCCTACTACTCCTATTTATGCAAGAAAGTAAATATAAAATTAGAGATCGAATAGGGACGAGAACTCGTTGAACGTTCAAAAAGCTCGTGAATAGGGTTGCCGGTCTGGAACCGATGATTTTTCGGTTCGGTACTTCGGTTCGTTTCAGATATCCGAAGAATTTCCAGGAACCGACAACCCTACTCGTTAGCGTTCAAAAAGCTCATATTAATTTGATTTGCATCTTACGACAGAATAAATAATAGAAAAAAAGAAAGAGAAGTCGCGCGCGATTTTGTCACCTCCTTTTTTCAAGGTTTTTTTGTGACGCAAGACGCAAAGCGATTTTTATGTAACCACACCATTATCAAAATTAAGAAAAAATATTTTTAGGGAAAATATTTGAATAAATTTATTTAAGAAAGTCAATAAAATATTTATTTTCCAGAACAGTCTTGAGGAATAAATAATTAAAAGAAAAATGTTATATGTATATTATTGACAAACCTAGAAAAATAATTTATGAAAATAGGGAATGGATTGAAAATGAGAAACGGGCAATTAAAAATATTTAAATGTTTGTTTTAGAAGAGGGGGGAGGTTATATAATTTAGTAGTAACTCAACTGGAACTAAATTCGACTGCCTGAGGATAGGGGAAAGAAGAATGTATTAAAAATATTTTTTGATGAGAAAAAAAAGTAAATGAAGTGAAAAGGATTGAAAATGATGAGGAGAATTTAAAAATACAAAACAAAAATTTTATTTAAAATTTTAAAAATGTTTTTTGGTTAGATGCTATGCTTGAATAAAAATTTGTGTGTTCGTCTTGCGACAGAGAAGACAACTAAAAAAGAGGAGGGAAAAGTTAATGAGCGATTCTTTTTCAATGATATTTTCTGTCGCAAGACGCAAAGCGAGGTTAAAGAGAATTTTTATTTTTTTGATTTAAAAAATTGGGATGGGAAAATTAATTAATTTAAAGTTTTTTAAATAAATTGAAAATGAATTTTTTATTTTAATTTTTTATTTTTGTCTTCCTGCGAGATCAGTATCCGTGACCAGGTCTGGATCTACCAATTTAGAGTACTTCAGAAAATTTTGATTTCTCACGTTCAGAAAAAAATTTTTTCAAAAATCAAAAAAAAAAGATTTATTAAAAAAACTTTTATTAGAATCAAATTTTCAAGCTTAATAAATTAATAAAAAATTAATAATTAATAAATTAATAATTAACAAAAATAATAAATTTAAAAAAATTAGAGATCCAACAAAGAAAATTTAAAAAATAAGAGAATATACATAACTTCTTCAATAAAAATCAGAAAATTTAATTAAAGAAAATCGCCACTTAAGTTTTGAAAAAGAAGAGAAGAGAGGAGATTTTCTTCTCTTCTTCCCTCTTTCTTCACGCAATTTAATAATTAAAAAATCTAAATTAAAAAATTCTTTTAATGCCGTAAACGATCAAAGAAGTCTCTCCCTCCCCTCCCTTTATCTCCTTCTTAAACCAGCCACTCTCTTTTAGAACGATGACAACAAAAATATTAAATATTTAATTTTGGTTTTGAATGAAAAATGAAGAGGGGGAAAAGATTGGTTTTTATTTAAAAAAAATAGAAAAAGCTAATTGCACAGGCGTGTAGTGTGACAAAATAATAAATAATAGTAAAGAGAAAATGAATATATTTATTTGTGGGGAGACAAGGGGTTTTGGCGGAGTAATGTGAAGAGAGTGGGGAAGGAAAGAAGGATCTTGAAAGTGACAGACTGACCATTAAAAATAATTTTAGGAAGATTTTTTAATAAAAAAATAAAAAAAATTTCGATTTGGCCAGTTCTCTTTGCATTTTTATGTGTTGTAGAGCAGTAGGCGGCGTGGTGTAATGGCTAACACATCAGTCCGGTCTACTGAAGATGCTGGTTTGCTCCCAGCCGCTAGCTGAAGAAGAGCAGCTGCTTTACTATATTATTCCATATTTTAACTGATAAATCTTATAGTAGAAAAGATAAATCCCTAAAAATGAAAATTTTTTTGAAAAATTTTTTTAACTCTCGAGGAGATTTTTACTTCAGAGATCTCCAGAAAAATATTCATTAGATTGATTTAGAAAAATAATTTTATTTTAATTTTAAATTTATTTCATAGAGAAATTTTATGAAAAAAAATTTGGAAAAAATCGAGGATTGGAAAAATTTGAGTTTTTTACCTATCTTTGTTCTCAATTTCCTTAGGATTTTTACTCATTTTTTATTTTATTTTGCTGTTAAACCTCATTTTGTGTTCAATAATTTGTCCTAAAATTTTTTTATTTAAAAAATTAGCGGAAATGGAAAACTATTTTTAAAAATGTTATAAATCTTTAAAACTTGGTTTTTAAATGAAAAATTAGTTTGGGAATTGTCTTCTTCGAATTATAAAATTAAATAAAATGGGGAGGAATATACATATTAACACATTTTTGAACAAAAACATTTTTTTGTATAGTTTTGTACTCTTCCATGTTGTAGAGAGAGTGTCTAAGAATGGAACGAAACAAAGAGATTTTAAATCAGATTTTTTTGAAAATTTAGTAAAAGCGAGGTAAAAGTTTAATCCCGTGCAAGCTTCCTGGCAGTTATTGCTAGGCGCTTCCGCTCACCACATACAGGTGCTCTACCAACTGAGCTACCGGGACGCTGCTTTCTTTTAATAAATCTTAAACCCCCGCCTGGATCTTCCTCATCCTTACATTTTCTGATTTTCTTTTTTATTTTTATACAAGAGAGCGACTGAATCCGTCACAGAAAACAAAATTATGGAATAGATCTTGAGCTCTAATACAAGATTGTTAACTACTCAATTATCCGCTACTGAGTGAACCATTCCACGTTTACCGTAAATAATGTCACTCTCTCAAATAATCACCCTCTACCTATTAATTACCCCTCCAGCGAGAGATCGAAACAATAATTACCCTGGGTAATTATTTTAGCAACTACGGTATTTTAAATGGCAGAAGGAAGACTTTGTCAGGGCCCTAATATGCAAAAATTGAACAGAAATTCTTTAACAAAATTTACTGAACAAAATCAACAAATGTTTGGAGAGAAATATAACAACAACAACAAAATACATTTATTTACTACAGAAAAACATTATTTATCCAAACAAACATCCTTATTTAAACATTTACAACCTCCATTTTAACAAGCGTTGAGAGAGAGAGAAATTCTTCAATTGTAAATATCGTCGGCCGCTTCTGATAAATTGAAAAATTTAAAAAAATTTAAATATATTTTTGTTTTTACCTTTTTTATTACCGCCTTTGTCCGCTCCCTTTTGCTGTTGTTTTTTATCTGGCTTGCCAACTAAAATTATTAAATTAAACTGTGAAACAATTATAACTTAGGGTAATTCACCGAAAGGACAATTCACCGAAAAGACAATTTACCGAAAGGACAATTCACCGAATTTTGTTTTTAAAATGCTTACAATTAGAGAGTGGGAATTTACTCGATTCGGGAGTGTTTGGCATCTCTTCCGAAATAATTCTCTAAACAAAATTGTCCTTTCTACAAAAACTCAAAAGCACCTGGTACTTCCACAATATCCTCGTAAGTCCCAGGCACCACAACCCCAGCTGCCAATGCCAAGTCTTTATTAACTGGAAGTTCGTCGCCAGCATTTTTCTTTGGCTTCTTTGATTTGGACTTCTTTTTCACGCTTTTCGGTTTTTGATTTTGTGGCGCTTTAATTTGTTGAGGTGTGCTGCGTTTTTGCGAGGAAACACGTTTTGGCGGCTCAGAAAAAGTCTCTACTTGTATTTCTTCAACGATGATCACTTCATGTGGCGACGTCTTCTTCTAAAAAAGATTAGGATTTCTTTATTTAAACATTTTTAATTTCACCTTTCGACGGCAACAACAGAGGAAAATAATGCAAAGAAGGACCAAGAAACCAATCAAAACCCCACTAATGATAATCAAATCCGTTTGTGAGAGAGGAACATCCGGAAATACAGTTGCGTCCATTGCACTTTTTGTAGACGACATTAGAAATTATAAGTTCGGGCGTTGCGATTGTAGACGATGTTTTGATTGAAAACCTTCTCTTTGGGTTTTTATAGTAGAGAATTTAGGAACATTTTTTAAAGAAAAAGTTAAAATTCATGGAGAATTACTTCACTGATCTCTAAAAAAATTAGTTAGACAAAAAACACTCAAAAAATAATTTTTACTCCTTTTGATGTCTTTTTCATAGAAAATGGACTTAATTAGAAAAAAATATTTGAAACAAAGCTTAAATGAGAGAATATAGTACACAGAAAAGCATATCTTTAAAAGTACGCTGAAACATCCCTTTTTCGCTTGACACTCTAATCTAGGCACCAAAACGTCATGAAACTTTATTTTTTATTTTTCAATTTTCCCCCAAGGTTAAAAAATTTTTCTAACCAAGTTTTTTGTATTTGGAATAAAAGGAGATTTTAATAAAATATTTTTGAAATTGAAAAAAATTAAAAGAACTAATTTTCAAGTTTAATTACCTACAACACAAAAATGTGCCTAATATGTTTTTTACAATAATTATTTTTATCATTTTGTTTTGGTCTACCATATATTTTTTGGATCTTTATTTTCGTCATTCAAAGTCTTCAAGGTTATATTTAAAAAAAATTTTTTTTTCAAAAATTTTTTTAAAGATATATAAAATTATTGAGACATTATGGCCTTTCTTTTGCTCCTTTTCAAGTTTCTTAAAAAATTTTTTAAAATTTAATTTTCTCAAAAATTCAGTTTCGTGTTTATTTTACTCAATTAGAGCACCATTCTTCTCCCTATTTTTTACAAGAATTTGTGGAAAAAATTTTGTCTAGTCCGAAAAGAACAAAATTAATTGTATTAACATTTTGGCCCTATGTGAAAGGAGTGCCGGCGTCATATTTTTCCTTAGTTTGTTATTTTTCCTTAACCAAGGACAATATTTTTCTTTTAATTTTTTCGGACCGTGTTATTTATGGACCAAGTTTTGGTAGACACGTTACTCCAAAACTTGGTCCTGAAATACCACGGTCCGAAAAAATTAAAAGAAAAATATTGTCTTTGGTTAAGGAAAAATAAATTAAGGAGAAATAATTATTCAAGGAAATAGGGAAAAATATAATGCCGGCACATCTTTCACATAGGGCCAACATTTTTCTAACTAAAATCTAATTTCTCCAAAATTCCCAGGCGTTGTGGTTTACAATTGGAGCTTTTATTTCTCTCATTTTTTATGTGACTACGCCTATTTATTTGTTACATTTATTACTTTCCGAATTCTCTTCAACTTTTTTGTCTGAAAAACAAAATTCAACGTCGAAAAGTGAGACAATTCAACCAAGTTATACTTTGAGGCTTTTACATCCTCCAATTTTTCTTCCACTTCATGAACATATCAATGGTTTATTTTTTTAATTAAAAGTTTATTAAAAGAGTTTGTGGGTATTAGTTGATGATTAACAATGTTTTTTTTGTTAATGTTAGTCTAATAGCTATGCCTTTTCCTTGAGCTATGCCTTTTCCTTGAGTCTTTTTTAAAGATTTTTTCGTTTCCTTGTCTCAATCATGTTTTTATCAGAAATTTTAAGGCCTGATTTATTTAGTAAAATTTTTTGAAACTCTTTTGATTTGTTTAAAATCGGGGAAATGCTGTGTTTACTGGGTTCCACACCTGCAATCTCCTATATTTTTTTCTTTGCGGAATTGCTCCATTAAGATCCCGTACCTTTGCGGGATCCTGCACTTCTCTTATTTAATTTATTTGTTTAATTTTCATTTTTTTTATTTAGCTGGAATTACTCCCGTCCTTCCTGGCCTTAATCTTCCACTTTCCCATATGCCCATATTCGTTGCTGTTTTAATTATTGCAAGTATTTTACATGAAGCTGGACATGCAATAGCTGCAGCAAGTTCAAATGTAAGGGTTACTGGGCTTGGATTTTTTGTTTTTGCTATTTATCCGGGTGCTTTTACTGAAGTAGAACCGACAGAATTGGGTAAAATTAATTTTTTTAGAATTTTTTAGAATTAAAAAATCTTTAAAGATCGCTGTTCATGTGCTCAAAAATTGCGTATTTATGGTGCTGGAGTGTGGCATAATATTATTCTTGCCTTTTTTGGATTCTTTTTGCTTTTACTAATTCCTGTGATATTTAAACCTTTTTATTCTAACAATGCGGGTGTTGTTGTAACAGGTTTTTAATTTTTATAAAAATTATTTTTTAATTAAAAATTTTAATTTTGGGACTCTGGAGGGCCAGATCAAAAAAAGGGCAAAAACGGCTCAAAATCCTTGCTAGAAAGGGCATATTCTGGTAATAGTGCAGTTACCGGGCCCCCATTTTTCTCGTTCCCTGACCATTTTGAGCTTTTTTTGAATGATATATAGTTTATTATAAAGCATTCGAAACAGCTCTTCGAGCCTGGTCGAATGATACCATGATTGGCTAGATTTGATCATTCTTAGCAAAATTATGAAGCTAAATCCTATTTGGGTGAACTTTTTGTGCCAATGCAAGTGGATAAAATAAACGGTCACAACTAAATTTACAAAAGTTGTATTTCGTTGATTTTAATGTCATTCGACTCAGTTCGAAGGGCTCTTTCGAATGATATATAATTTTGCCATAAAATGAGAAAAAACTAGGAAAAAATAGAAAGGAAAAAAGGGGGCCCGGTAACTGCATTATTACCCATATTCTTTATCGAATGAGCCCGGTCTCGACCGTTTTTGTGTCGGACACCTCGCAACTTCTCCGTGTAAAAATCACCAAATGAAATTTTTAAAGAAAATGAATAAAAGAGGGGTGGGGCTTAGGGGAGGGAAACTACACAAATGGCCATTTTTTAAATTCTTAAATAGCCTGCTTGTAATTTTTTTGAATATTTTTGAAAGACTTATTTTTCTCTTCCAAAAAACAGGTATATCTCCACGTTCTGGTCTTTACGGTCAAACAGGCCTTCAACTGGGTCATCAAATTCTTCGTGTCAATCAATGTAAGGTACGCAACGCTGACGATTGGTTTGCTTGTTTAAATGGTAAAATCAGTACAAATCATTCAATTGGATTTTTGGCTCAATATCGTGCAGTTTCGAGAATGACAGCTTCAGAAGATAAAGTTGCCCGTTCAGAAGGAGAAGTTCAATGCTGCTCTGAATTTAATGTTACAAACACTACACATATATGTTTTCGATATTTATCGCCTATTAAAAAAAGCACAACACAACCACCAACAGTTCAAAAGCCAATATTTCCTGAATTCCCAAATTTTGAGGCTGAATTTGGGGTTCAGAAACGTCAAAAAAGGGCAACAGATTTAAAAACAGTAGATAAATTTTTCTGATTTTTAAATTAAAATAATTTATTTTTAAGCGTTTGCTGTCATTAAATGAAGCTACAACTCGTCAACCTAATATAAATTTGAAGGATGACTCTCTTTCTTCAATAGATTATTCACATGCTTGTCTTCCTGCAATGCAAGGTATGAATTTTTTGTAGAATTAAACAACCTCTTTTAAATATTTCTAATATTAATCCTTGTTTTTTAAACAGTCACGGAACATGCACAATGCCAAATCTCAAGTAGAAGTTCAAAACCTTTTTCGGTAAGCATTATAGTCGAACATTGATTTTAGATACCTTATTGGTATTGAAAGTTGGTAATTCAGTGCGAGGTTATTTCAAATTTTTGGCTCTACCCAGTGACTAGCCAAAATATCTACCTAAAAATGTACTTAAATTGAAAGTACCCGAGTTTATGGATATCTAAAATCAAAATCCGACTATATCTACATTTAAGTCTGAAAATTTTTATTTTTTAATTTCTTTTAGATTTTGCCTTATGGTTATGTTTGTGTTGTTCCTGCACTTTACAATGATACAATTCTTCTCCGTTTTCAAGTTAAAGATCAACGGAAGCCTGTACTATTTATTGGTTACCTCAGCGAGGTTTTTACTTATTTTTCGAAATATTTTTAAAAATTAATTTTTAGCCTCTTTATTTGGTTGGCATTTCTGATTTGACGCCTCGTTTTGGTATTTTATTTTTTAAATAATTATTTTATTTTTTTTAATTTTAAGCTTTTGTGCCTTGGTGGATTCCACGAATTTTTGAGCTTTTTTCAAGTTATTTAATTACCTTTTCTTTGGCTATGGGTGTTTTAAATGCCGTTCCCTGTTATGGACTTGATGGCCAATTTATTAGCAATACTGTTGTTAACTATTTTTTTCAAAATTTATCTTCAAGGTATTCTTTTAAATTATTAAAAAATTTTAAATAATTTTTAAGTTTACGTAGACAAATTGAAAAATTGATAACATTTTGTGGAACTTTTATTCTTTGCTCAAATATTTTGTTTGGTCTCGTTAAATCGATGGCTTATTGAAGAATTTGAATTTAAAATGGAAAAGATGAATGTTTTTTGTTATTTCTCCTTTATTGTAACGGGCCTTAATCGCAATTTTTTATTTTTGTGCTTCGGTGACCGATGGATATTTGTCTTTTTGAAAAAGGATGAAATGGACGAAGCAACTAGGGAACGACATATCAACGTTTTCTTAAGAAAAAAAAGTTGATTTAATAATATCAACAATTATTCGCGAACAACTTTTTTTTAAATACATAACGCCAGAACAACGTTAATATCAACGTTTTGCGCCAAACAACTGCGAATCAACGTTTTTGTATCTTTTTTTCTCTGCTCTGCCATTATATTTCTCTTCTTTTTTTCTGTTAATTTTCGGTCGAGTAGTCTCTCCACCTGTGTTGAGGTATTTTTGCGAACCTCTCAAAATGTCCAACAAAGTAAAAATTCGCAATTTGTCGAACTAAATTTAAAAAGTGAAAAATCTCACCTGAACCTAAATTCTTCATGTACAAATTTAAAAATATCTTGCAAAACATTTACAAAAGCCTAAAAATTTACAAAAGAAAAAATTTCTTAAACAAAAAATTTTAAAACGATAAAATTTTAATCAAAAAAGTTATAAAAAGCCATTGTCAATTTTCACTTATTACTACAAAATCTACAACACCAAATACTACAACACCAAAAATTATAAAAAAGTTGAGAAATGACACCAAATCGTGACACCAAATGTTAGAATCAAAAAGACTGTTCGAAGAAAAGAGAATTGAGCTTGATCGTGAAAAGGAACTCCTCAAAAATTCGAGACTGTTGGAGTGATTCGAGACTGTTGGAGTGAAATTCCAACAGAACGTCCAAGAATAGATCAAGTCAGAACAATGTTAAAACAAATGGTTAGGGACGGGAGTCAAAATTTAATGGATTATGTTTTTGGAATGTTAGAGCAATATGCAAGTTCTTTAAAACAAGAAGTTGAAGAAAGAACTAGAGAATTAGTTGAAGAAAAAAGAAAAAGTGATATTCTTTTATATAGAATGCTTCCAAAACAAGTTGCCGATAAATTAAAATTGGGGGAATTTGTTGAACCAGAACAATTTAGTGCAGCAACAATATTCTTTTCTGATGTCGTTTCATCTACAACATTAGCTAGTAAATGTTCTCCTTTACAAGTAATTAAAATATTCGAAATAAATAAATTATGAATTAAAAAGGTTGTAAACACACACCTTTCACCATTTCTAAGCATTTTTTTAGCAGTTTCTTCTTCTTCTACTTCTTGTGAACGCATATTTTCTCGTTTTTCTCCTTTAGTATATGATTATAAACGAAATCGTTTTGATCCGCATACTATTTCCACACTTATTTCATGGTTAGGGACGGGAGTTTTTTATTTAACAAAATTTTTTATTTAATAAAAATGCGAAATAAGATCTCAACTTTTTTTTTTTTGTTATTTCATTACAATCATTATTTAAAGATGAATAAAATTTTGTTGTTTTATACTTTTTCAATTTTAATAAAAAAATTCCTACTCGTAAAATTCTTTCAAATTCCAAAGGAGAGACTACTCGACCGAAAATTAACAGAAAAAAAGAAGAGAAATATAATGGCAGAGCAGAGAAAAAAAGATACAAAAACGTTGATTCGCAGTTGTTTGGCGCAAAACGTTGATATTAACGTTGTTCTGGCGTTATGTATTTAAAAAAAAGTTGTTCGCGAATAATTGTTGATATTCGCCGCGAATCAACGAAAACGTTGATTTGTCGTTCACTAGAAGCAACAAACATTTAGTCATTTTGCGGTTAAGTGGCCCGTGATCAATAATAGAGTTTGTTTGCCAATTAAGGCGCCTCTAAATTTTAAAAACATTTTTTATTAATGTTTTACTTCATTCCTTCCATACAAAATTTATGTAAACGTTATTTCTCTTAATTCTCTATTAAATTATTTATTTTTAAATGATTCTCATTCTCTAAACTTTTCATTTTTTCCCGTTACTCAAATTGGCTATTTCGATAATAAAAATTTTTAACAAAAATGTTTAATTAATTTTTAATGATTTTATTTATCAAATAATTTTTTTAAACTTTTTAATTCATTTTCTAATCAATTTTTAGCCAATTATTCTTTTGGCTGTTTAAATAATATTTTATTGCGAGACGCTTCTGACAAATTAAAAATGGAATCTAATGGAGTTAATTTAAATTCTGGTAGTCAACATTGTGCTACTACTAATGGTGGAAGTGACAGTTTTGGTAAAAGGTTAGAAATTTACTGATATATTTGTTGTCCGAAAGTTTTTTTGAGTTATTAATTTAGTGGAAAATATTTTTGATGAAATTTTGTAGAACTATATGAAATCTTTTGATATTAGAAATTTTTTTAAATAATTCAAACTTTATTTTTTACCTTTAAGTTTTTCAACTGATCACCCTAAAAATTCATTGACTGAGCCTGCTTGTGTTGAGCATGTTGTTCAATATAAAGAAAATTCTAACGAGGTTTGCAATTTTCATGTTAGTATAGGGATTATCCTAAGTTTACTTGGGTTGGAAATTTCTCCTGTTCAGTTGTCAATTTTTAATTTTTTACCTATCCCCTGAGATACTGGAGCATCCTCCTAAAGTGGGTGAAAATGAAAAAAATTGAGAGAAATTCTCAAGAAAGTGAATTTTTTGCCTGCAACCACAAGATTAAAAAATTTCGTATATGATTTAAAAAGGAATTGCCCTGGGTTTAGAAAAGTAGGGGGTAATTCTTCGGTTGTCGCCCCCCCCTTTTTATGTTCCCCTGACCATTTTGAGCTTTTTTGCTTGACATATAATTTATTATATATCATTAGAAAGAGCTATCCGAGCTGGGTAGATTGATACTAAGATCGGTTAGATTCGGCGATTTTGAACAAAATTATGAGGCTAAATCCTCTGTGGACATGCCTTTTGTGATGTTGAAAGGGATTAAAACAAATGCTCATAACTATGTTTATTTAAGTCGGATTTTGATGAATTTAGTACCGTTCGACTCAGCTCGAAGAGCTCTTTCGATTGTATATAAAAATCTATAGAAATTTTATAGGAAATGAAAAAAATAGAACATAAAAAAAGGGGGGGGGCGACAACCGAAGAATTACCAAGTAGGGTATTAATTAAAAGATATCCACAATTAAAACTCATCTTTACACACAAAAACAAAATAAATTCTATTTAGGAAGATTATCAGAATGGTGAAAAATTGAAAAATAAAGTTCCTTCTTCTTTTGGAAATTTTTGTGAAGCTTCTCTTGACAAAGCTTCTTCAACTAATATTTTTTTTATGGCCAAAAATTCTTTTGCTTTGACTGAAAATAATTGTGTTGACAAGGTTGTATACCTATTTTGAATTAATAATTTTTGAATTAATACTTAGGGATGTCTTATATTTACGGGGTTTCTTTCGGATGATTTCTCTATTCTACGAGTAACCAAATTTTAGCTAACAATAATCCTTTAAAGCATTAATCGTTTATTGAATCGGGAATGTATGGGGTTATTAATTTAGAAATTGTCCGATTTATTTCCATTTAAAATATTACTCCTCATACACACTAAAACAAAATTCTATTTAGGAAAGTCATCAAAATGGTGAAAAATTGAAAAAGAGAACTCCAGTCTCATTTAAAAAATTCTGTGGACCTTCTCGTTCCTTGGTTCGTGCTACTTCAACTGATGATATCTCTCACATGACGATAGTTGATTTGTTTGGAATTTTTAAGAACAATGTCTCTTTACAACCACTTTTAGCTTATTTCAAAAATATTTATAATATTCAGGTTTGTTATTTTTTTCTAGCAAAACAGTCTTGATGATAGTCTTGATGATTTGTACATATGAACCAGAAATGTCACGGGTGACAGATTTTTTCAGATTGTCGTTAATCTTGTCAAAATCTAGATTCGGAAAAAAATCGGGTAGGATTTCCGAACAAAAATTAACCGGGTATCGGATTTTGGAAACCCATGATATCCCTGACAAGGGCGTAGCCAGGGGGTCGATTTCGGGGGGGGGGGGGGGGGGGGGGCTAACACTGGGTGGGCGCCAATTTTTTGGCGTTTACCTTGGCGTTCCGGACGCAAATTTTTTTGTTCATAAATTTTCATCTTTTCTGCGCCGCAGGCGAAAATTTTTTGAATTTTAGAAGGCCGTAGGCCAAAAAAATTCACTTTTTTTAGCGCCGCAGGCGAAAATTTTTTGAATTCTGGAGCTCAAAAGGCCAGATTTCTTCCTTTTTCAGCGCCGCAGGCGAAAATTTTTTAAAATTCGAAGGCCGTAGGCCAAAAAAATTCACTTTTTTCCCCAACGCCTTCCCCAAATTTTTCCCTTTTCCCCATTTCGGGGGGGGGGGGGGCTTTAGCCCCAGAAGCCCCCCCCCCTTGGCTACGCCCTTGATCCCTGATATGTACCTCGAAGAATCGGGTTATTCCCTAAATATAAGCAACCCATATGACAAGCATTTTTTGAGTAAAAAATCGAATTTAGATTTTCGATTTTAACAAGATTTATGATTAAATGAAAAATTTTCTTTCTGTCTTGGGGTTTCTAACAACACTAATTTATTTTTTAATTAAAAATTATTTTATTTTGTAGTCAAACAACTTGATGGCCAAGAGTTGTGCTCTTCAAAAATACAATCTACAACTTTTTGATGGTTTTGGTGTAATTCAGGAACTTCAATTCTTTCTTTATTTACTGGATGTGCATGAACAAAAATATTATCTATATTCTAATGGAGGAAATAATAAGGATTACAAAAAGTTTGTCGTTCTCGATGTGAAATCTTTTCAAAATATAGAGGCTTTGGCGATTTATTTAGACGAAGTTGACTGTAATTTTGAGGTTTGTCTGGTTTAATTTTTTATATCTTGGACTTAGATTTTCGACTAAATTACGCGTTTTATCTGGTCAATCGACCATAAGGGTATGTCAAAAGTATAGACTTAAGTAAACTGCGCCAAGCGTTCCGAACTCTAATATTTGCGCGCTTATTCTTTTCTGGAATTTTGAGAATTTGTTATGTCCGCAATTGAAAGTTTATTTTCATTTTTGTTCAATCCTCTCCTAATTCTTGTCCTTATCTCAATTCAAGGAGCTAGATGCTACTAGCATGCCAATGTCAAACAATTTAAAAATTATTTTTAGATCAGATACCCAAACATTTTTGAAATTGGAGGTGGTTATGTTAGTGGCGTTGAATTTATTGCCAAACTTTCAAGTATTCTCAGAAACGCCTACAAAAACCGACAAAATATTTCCACTTCTTTTGATGTTTGGATTTGTAAATGGTAACTTTTAAATGATTTTAATTAGACGATAGCGTCAGATATTTAAAAAAATTTTTAGAGCTCTAACACAGAATAGGGTAAATGCGCAAATATTTGACTATAAGGTCAACTTACAGGGGTATTTACGGCGTAAATGTGATTGAACGCATAAAATTTTGTTTGAATACAAACATTTTATTGGACGCATGAGAATGTGATTGGACGCGTAAAGGTGAGATGGACGCGGAATCTGGACAAGAGCCCAATTGTATATGATTAGAGTCTGCGAGTCGATGTTATCCTGTCTCCAGCTTAAATAGATTTGCCAACAAGCCTTGAATTTCGTCCAAAAATTTTATTTTGAATTAAAAAAACTTTAAAATTAAAATTTTGAATTAAATTTCTTTTTTGTTTAATTAACAAATTGTCTTTACGCCAAATCAAAAATCTCGAATAATGTTTTTATAAAATTATTGACTCCTATTCTTAGAAAAGTGTTTAGGTGGAAATTGTGTCAAAAATAGGATTAGTGTTAAAGAAAAAATAATTATTTTGCCAAGGAATATCTTTGAATTATTTTTCAAAATTTTATATACTGTAGGAATCAAATAGTGTGCGTATATAAAGAAAAATAATTTTAGTTTTTGTTTAGTTTTACCTAATTCATAGTTTGAGAATTTTTAAAGTTGTTCATCTGTTTACTAAAAATGTTTTTTATTTTATAGCATTCTCAAACTCATTTTCTTGATGCGTCTACGTGATATTGTTGTTGACCTGACAGAAACCGTCCGTAATCAATCGAGAGCTTTAGACCGACAAAGCGAAGCTTTAGACCGACAAAGCGAAGAAATCCAGACTCTACGAACGGAGAATGAGCGTAAGGACGTTGAGATAGCTCGCCTTAGACAATTGTTGCAAGGTGGGTAGTTGCATAAATATATTGATTTTACCGGGCAGTCTAAAGATTTAGGCTTGGGTCCGCACTTAAGTATAATTTATTTTTCAGCGAACAACCAGCCTCAACCGCCGCAACAACAGCTTCAAGTTATTCCAGTTCGACTGCCCCTCGTCAATCTTCCGCAACAGCATCACGCCAATGCGCCGCAACAACAGGCCATTCACGGCATTCCGCCGCAACAGCAGGCCGTTCACAACATTCCGCCGCAACAACAGGCCATTCATTACCCTAATCAAGCCGCTCCGGCCTTTGGACAGCAACAACAGAATCAACAGATTCTGCAACAACAACAATTTCCGCCTTTGCAGGGAGCTGATAACATCAATTTGGATGAGTTATTAAATTTTGACAATTTAGAGCGATGAATATAAAATACTTGTTTTTGACTTAAAATATATATTTATACATATACTTATGTATGTACTATTTAAAAAAATAAATTATTGAAATTTTGTTTTAACAATTTTTTGTATCTAAGGTTGCGTACTTATTGCTGTGTACCTTTTAGCCGCAGGCCTGTTAATCTTTATTTCTTGACTTATGTATTTGCCGTTTGTTGTTTTTTCGAATCTGTTGTCCTCTTACTAATGAAAAACAAATTTTGTATTAAATGTGGAACATTAAATACAGATTTAAAAGGATAGCCACTTTGAAGTTAATCACATTTTTGCTACTTTTTGCTTGTTTTATTTGCTCAACGTTTTTAATTTACAACCAATTGCCATACTCAAAAACGTTTGTAAAATTTATAAATTTGTTGAAATCCTCAAATTTTCAACGTAAAATTGTTTTGTTGATCCCAATCTTTTATAGCCAAAATACAAAATTTGAATGTTATGATCGTTTCCGCCCATTTGTTACTAACGAGGAGAAACGTGTCTTTCAATCAATTCGATTAGAACATGTGAGTCTACTGGAAAAGTTTGAACAGACCTCCGAGAAGTTAGATGCAATAAACAAATTGATTCCAATTAAAGGTTAAAAAATTTTTTGGAAATTCTCCTTAAATTTAATGAACTTTTTTATTTAAGAAGCAGAACTCAGGGAAATTCAAATTTTTATCAAAGAGCTGGATTTATCACGACGTGAATATAGTGATAAACGAAGTGTTCAATTAAAACTGCCTCATTCTCCTCTTGAAGAAAATCGAAGAGAAGAGCCCGAAAAGAAATTTTCAAATTTTAATTTATTTGAAGAAAGCATTGATTTTAGGTTGGAAATTTTTTTTATTAAATTTTTTATTTTTAAAAATTTCAGTCGTTGTTCAATTACTAAAGGATTAAAGATATTTTTATATCCTCTATCAAAAAACAGCTCAAAATTGGCGAAGAGATTTTATTTGGAATTTC